AATAATCATCTTAGATTTACTTAATCTTTTTTTTCTTTTTGGGTCATACCTGGAGATGCACAGGGGTTACTCCTGGCTCTGTACTCAGGAACCACCCTGGCGGTGCTCAGGGGACCATATGGGATGCTGGGAATCAAACCCGTAGGCCACGTGCAAGGCAAACACCCTACCTGCTGTGCTATCACTCCAGCCCCGATTTAGTTAATTCTTAATAATCTTTCTAGTCATTTTGTATGGACACAGTAAGAGATACATTAAGCTTATAGGGTGGCTCTCCTGGGGACATCTCACTATAGATCCCAGACTACAGTCCTCAGGTCAGATTAGTCCTTCCTAACTCTATCAGGGTCCTTGTACAAGTAACTTCTCTTTGGGTCATGACAGAATTTGTCCACAACAATCCTCTTAACTTTTTATAAGTTTTTTGGCACTTGGCCTGTCCCATTTCAATGCCAGGGTAGCTCACAGCTTGCCCTGGGTCCATCCAGTCCCTTTGTCGGGACCCTGCTTTTGGGGTGCTAGGAATTAAGGGCAACTGAGACTTAAGTTGAATAAATATCACAGATGCCCAGGAGTAAGTGTTATTTGGAGTCAATTAACACTCAAGCAACGAGCATAGCATCAACTGTCTTCCTGTGTCTATACAAAAAGGACATTGCTCCAAAGTAAACTATGCAAAGGACATAAGGAAAAGAGAAGAGCAATATTTCACTTACAAAATACAAATCCAGAGATCTCTGAAGAATTTTACTTTACAAGTCACAGGGTCCGATTTGGGGATAATGGTGATTTTAGAGAAAGCAGAGCACAGAGGAGAGGTTAAGGATAAACACAGAGGAATGGGAGTGCCTCTGGAGCACTGTAAATGATGTAACCCAATAAACCTAAGCTCCCTGCATCAAGGGAGAAAGGACATACCAATGCTAGCCTACAGTTTTTGTTTGTGGGGGCACACCTGGTGATGCTCAGGGGCTATCCCTAGTTCAGCGCTTGGGAATCACTCCCTGTGTACTCTGGGGTTCACCCAGACCTCCTACATACAAAATCTAATTTTAAAAGTAGCAATAAGGACCAAAGAAAGAGATGGCGCAAGGGCAGGACTTTTTTGCCTTGTACAGGCTCACCTAGGTTTGATCTCTGGCATCCATATGGTCTTCAAAGTAGCACTAGGAATGATCCTTGAGCACAACACCAGGAGTAAGCTCTGAAAAAAGGTGTTGTCCCAAAACCAAAAAATAAAAAATAAATTTTAAGGGGACTGGAGCGATAGCACAGCGGGTAAGGTGTGTGCCTTGCAAGCGGCCAATATGGCCGACCTGAGTTCGATTCCTCCACCCCTCTCGAAGAGCCCGGCAAGCTACCAAGAGTATCTCGCCCGCACAGCAAAGCCTGGCAAGCTCCCTGTGACGTATTCAATATGCCAAACACAGTAACAACAAGTCTCACGACGGAGATGTTACTGGGCCCGCTCGAGCAAATCGATGACTAATGGGAGGACCGGAGTGATAGTACAGCAGGTAGGCATTTGCCTTGCATGCAGCTGACCTTGCAGTTCTACCCTGGCCACCCCATATGGTTCCCCTAAGCACAAACAGGAATAAGTCCCTAGTGCAGAACCAGGAATAACCCCTGAGCATTGCTGGGTGTGGCTCAAAAATATGTCACTGTCACTGTCCTCCCGTTGTTCATCGATTTGCTCAAGCAGGCCCAGTAACATTGTGAGACTTGTTACTGTGTTTGGCATATTGAATATGTCCCGGGTAGCTTGCCAGGTTTTGACATGCACGCGAGATATTCTCGGTAGCTTGCTGTGCTCTCCAAGAGGGGCGGAGGAATCAAACTCAGGTCGGCCAGGTAAGCTGCGTGCAAGGCAAGGCTCAAAAATAAAACAAAAAAAGTTTTAATGAAGCAAGGGTAAGTGGTACAGACTATGCATGAGGACCTACGTTTGACCTCCTAACACTGAAGAGTGGAACACAGAACTGAATTAGTTGTTCCTCTAAAGAACATAGTATAGCAGGCAGGGCACTTACCTTGCATTCAGCCGACCTGGATTCAATCCCCAGTACCCCATAGGGTCCCTGAGCTCTACCAAGAATGATCTTTGAGCATAGAGTCAGTAATTAGCCCTGAGCACGGCAGGATATGGTCCAGGAACAAACAAACAAACAAATAACAAATAAGTAAATAAATCAGGTGCGGGGGTAAGAAATTGGAAGTTCTGTACGTTGTCCATGGAAATGAAAAAATGGTGTCACGGCAATAGGAAATGATTTAGAGGTTGGGGCTGAGGAAATTCAGTAGCCAAGCTCCTGCCTTGTCATCCTGGTAGCCCTCGTTTGGGGGATTCCCAGCACCACAAGCAAGTGTGAGTGGCAGCACATCATTCTGTGATGTCCCCTTTCAGAACCATAACTAAAAGTGTTTGACAACCTTCGCTGCAGCACGTATGCAAACACCACAAGGGTGCCACCCTGGTTGGTGAACCACAACAGAGACCAAAGGGAAAGAATAAAAAAACAGGCCAGAGTGATAGCACAGTGAGTACGGTTTTTTTGCCCTGCATGCAGCCGACCTCTGGTTTGATCCCTTACATCCCATATAGTCCTCCAAACACCACCAGGAGTAATTCCTGAGTGCAAAATCCAGGAGCAACCCTTGAGTGTTGCTGGGTGTGGCTCCAAAACCACATAATAATCAAACATTTTTAAATTAATAAAACACAAAACTTTTTCTTTTTGGGTTCACACTCGGCGATGCTCAGAGGCTACTCCTGGCTCACGCATTCAGGAATTACTCCTGGCAATTCTCAGGGGACCTTATGGGATGCTGGGAATTGAACCCAGGTAGGCCATGTGCAAAGTAAATGCCCTACCCACTGTGCTATCACTCCAGCCCCAAAAAACACAGCATTTTTTTGTTTTTGTTTTTGGGCCACACTCGCCAGTGCTCAGGGGTTACTCCTGCCTCTGCATTCAGAAATTACTCCTGGCGCTGCTCAGGGGACCACAGTGGGATGACTGGAGTCAGACCCAGGTCATCTGTATGTCCTACCCACTGAACTATCGCTCCACCCCCTAAAAAGCAAAATTTGATTCCTAAAAGAAACACAGACTCATGACACACTCCATCGCCTCCTGTTCCATGGGAGAAGGCGGATGTGGAAAAGGTCTGCATGCATCCCAGACCTCATTGAGTTCATTTATTTGCATCTGCAGTGGAACTGGCCACAACACCAGTGTGCAACAGGTGATTTAAAAAAAATTTTTTTTTAATAATGCAGGAGTACTGTTATTTGTTCAGCCATTGATTAAGCTGATTGAACTGGACATGAACTCCACATTACTTTATTTTATTTTATCACTCTGAGATAGAGTTACAAAGCTTTCATGTTTGAGAGAGATTCAGCCATACAATGATGGAACATTCATCCCTCCTCCAGTGCACATTTTCCACCACTGATGTCCCAAGTATCTCCTCCATCCCCACATCCCAGTCCTCACCCTGCCTCTATGGCAGACAATTTCCCCAATACTCTCTCTCTACTTTTGGGCATTATGTTTTGCTCGAATTTTCCCACCACCATTCAAACCTACCTGCCAGGGGCAGATGCTAGATAACTTATTTTCCATAGCTCATTTTGAATATCATGAGAGCTTGTGTGGCCACAACTGTAAATGCAAATTTCTAGATTGTAAATGGTTGGGTTCCAGAGACATCTCTGTATGGCACTAATCCATTTTGCAACAGGTGATTAAGGGTGAGTGTACCCCACGGGCCATCAGCCAGCCGAGAAAGAGAATCCTGTTGTGTTCCCAGCAGCGGTGGGCTTGGAAGAAGAAGGTCCTTGGGGAGCTGAGGAAGAGTCAGTTGGTTCCCCCAGAGACAAGTAGATTGCAGGGAGAGTGTGAATGTGCCTTTAGATCTTCAGCACCAGGTGGTCCCCAGAACAACCTCTGGTAGTCAGCCTGGGTGACCTAGGTAATCCCTGCCCCACCTTGCCCCCATAACCCTCCCCCACCCCAAACACACCCTCCATCTAATACCATGGCCCCTTGCATTGCTCCTCTGGCCAGAATTGCTGGGGGCATCCCCAGGGTTTCCTGAAAAACATCTGGGGGGGAGGGCGCTACAGTTTCCCCTCAAAAAAGCCACAAAGAAGCAAATGATCCGATTCTGTTACTATGTGTTCTGTAGAAGAGTCCAAACCACCTGAAGAGAAAGAAGTGTGGTTGCCAGGAGCACAGGACCGGAAATGATGAAAAAATGAGAGTGAGGTCGGCCAAGTTTATTGGGGAATAGAGGCAGGTAAGGTAAGATACATGCTCAGGAGAGAACGTGGGCTTCTCCAGAGTGGAGGGATTCCAGTACACACCCCAGCATGAAAGCAGGAAAGTGTAAAAGCACACGTGACCCATCTCAAGAGGGGAGATGCAGCAACATGTCCTTGGGCAACTGGGCAATACGTGGGCATGGGTAGCACTTGTGTGCCCTCTCTTTGTTCAAGTTGGCTTTCTAACACTTCTCCCAAACTGGCCCCCTCCCCAGTCTGTTGCTAGGGTGGTTGCCAAGGGGGAAAACTGATGGCATTTTTTGGTTGGGCTATTTTTGGCCACACCTAGATATACTCAGGGGTTAGTCCTGGCTCTGCACTCAGGAATCACTCCTGGCAGTGCTCAGGATAGGATGCTGGGGATCAAGAAGGGTCGCAGCGTGCAAGGCATGCACCCTTACCTGCTATGCTATTGTTCTGGCCCCTGGGATGGGATTATTCTGCCAGGCATGAGAAGGTAAAGCTAGGAACAGCAGGCTGCCTGGGACAGCCTCTTTGGGAAGGAGGGAAGGAAGCAGCAGTGCAGACAGCTGAGAAGGGCACCCCAGAGAGCGGTAACTATTGGGCAAAGGCCAACAGGAGGGCTCCCTAAGCCACACAGGGTCTTTGCTGGCCCCAGTGGTCCTTGCAATTTGCTTGAGGAGCAGAGGCCTCAAAGCCCCAGTCATCACTGGTCTCTGGGCATTGTCTCTATGGCCCACGGCTCCTCAAAGGTCAGCGCGTCCTGTAAGGAGAAGGAGAGGCTGGTTCAGAAAGGCAAGGGGACAGCGGGCTGGGTCCCTCCACCCAGCAGGGATGAGTGGTCACCTGGTCTCCAGCCTGGCCGTGTCTGTGCAGGGTGCGCCGGCGGTGCCACTGGCGTAGGGAGGCGCGGGCCTCACTGCTGAGTCCCTGGGGCGAACGGGCTCCCTCCGGCTCGTAGTGGGCAATATGGTGCAGTGCCCCAAACCACGTGGTCAGGTAGTAGCCGGCTAAGAGGAATGAGGCGACATTAGCCAAAGTTCCCCAGCAGTTGCGGGTCTGGAGTTGGATCTGGGTGGGGGGGGTGGAGAGGGGGTGTCTCTGGATTAGGGGTGGGGGTCTCACCCTCTCCCCGTAGCTCATCTGGATCCAAGAGCTCCATTAGAAACTCCACGTCCAACTGTGTCTCCCCGATGTTGGGACTCCAGATTAGTTCCTCCGTCAGTGCGGGCAGGAAGGCATCAGCTCCCATTGGTTCTAGGGAAGCCAAGGACAGGCTCAGGGGGTGGGTGCATGCAGACACATTCCATTTGCTTTCTTTTTTTTGGGGGGGGGTTACACTTGGCGATGCACAGTGGTTACTCCTGGCTCTGCACTCAGGAATCACTCCTGGTGGTGCTCGGGGGACCATATGGGATGCTGGGAATTGAATCTGGGTCAGCCGCATGCAGGGAAAAACGCTCTATCCACTGTGCTATCGCTCCAATCCCACATTCTATTTGATCTAAGCATGCTCCCCTCTCTTTTGGGGAAGGGGGTGTCACCCTGCTGTGCTTAGGGGTTACTCCTGGCTCTGCACTCAGGGATCATTCCTTTTGGGGATCAGGAGACCATACGAGAAGCCAGAGATCGGACCCTGCTCCTCATGTGCAAGGCAAGTGCCCTCCCACCCTCCCCACACCCTTTTAAAAATTTGTCTGAAGGTGACTGACAGCAATGGCTAAATTAGCCATGCTGCTAAATTTACCTCCAAAGGTTGGTTTAGCACGTCAGAAATATCTTTCCCCCTCTCTTCTCATTACAAGTAGGCACCTCCTATCTGCCATCTGCCCCCACCATCCTCAAGTCACTTTTTTGTTTGTTTTGTTTTGTTTTGGGGTCGCTCCACTTCTTTTTGTATATTTCAGTGTGGTTGTTTTTTGGCGTTTTTTTATTTCCGGGGGAGGGGTGAGGGCTCACCCGGAGGTGCTCAGAGCTTATTCCTGGCTCTATACTCAGGGATCACCCCTGATATGCTCAGGAGACCATAGCGGATGGATGCAGGAGATCAAACCCGGGTCAGCCACAAGCAAGGTAAGTGCCTACTGGCTGTACTACCTCTTTGGCCCCCCACTCCACTTTTGCTCTTTGGTTGTTGGTTTGTTTGTCTGGCAGGTTTGGGGTCACACCCGGGCGTGGTCAGGGAATCTCTCCTGGAGGGCTGGGGTGGGAGGGGGTGGAGTTGTCTTATGGGGTGCGGGGCATTGCGTGCAAGGCAAGCGCCCTATCCGCTGGACTCTCTGGCCCCCCACTCCACTTCTTCGTTTTTTAGGGCCACGCCCGGCGGTGCCGGGGACTCCCTCCTGGCCGTGCGCCTCCCACTCCACGTCCCAGCCGACGCGCTACCTTGGTTCTCGCTGCCAGCCAGGCCTGCGTAAATGTCCCTACAGATCTCCAGCAGCAGCGCCACCTTGCGGCGAGGGGAGCAGGCGTCGTGGAGGTACGCGAGGCGCGTGTGGATGCGGCTCCGCAGGGCGGGGGCGAGGCCCTGCCGCTCTGGCCCCACCACCGCCCGCAGCGCTATCTGTCGCCTCTGCAGGTGCCTCAGCTCCGGGGCGCGGAGGGTGCGGAGTCGCATCCACAGGGCGGGCTTCAGCGGGGCCAACACCGCCCAGCACAAGGCCTCCTCCACCGCGGAATCTGCGTGGGGGAGGAACAAGCGGCAAGGTCGTTCCGTGTCCTCCTGCTCTGCAGCCCCTGTTCCCACCGCTCCTAAGCGGCTAGGGAACACGTGGGGGGGGGGGAGGGGGAGGGGCTGTGGCTGTCACCCCTGGTGAGATGGAGCAGGAGAGCACAGGTATAACATGTACGGCACAAGCAGATTACAGGAAGGTCTAATGGGGGCCGGAGAGGTAGTACAAGCCTTGCCTGTGGATGGCCGGGGTATCATCCCTAGCATTTATTCCCCTGAGCCCCACCAGAAGTGTTCCCTGAGCACCGAGCCAGGAGTGATCCCTGAGCACAGTGGGGTATGGCCTAAAACAAAGTAGTAAAAATAAAAGCTGTAGAATATGGTGTGAGGGACCCGAACAATAGTACAATGGGTAGGGTGTTCGCCTTGCACATGGTCGACCTGGGTTCGATCCCTGGCATCCCATGTGGTCCCCCGAGTAGTGCCAGAAGTAATTCCTGAGTACAGAACCAGGAGGAAACCCTGAGCACTGCTGGGTATGACCCAAGAAGCAAAAAAAAAAAAAAAAAAAAAGAAAGAAAAATGGTGTGAGTAGAAATAGGAAATCTGGGAAATCTGTGGGCCAAATAGATCACCCAGGGCTGGAACAATAGTAAAGTGGGTAGAGCATTTGCTTTGCACACAGACAACCTGGGTTCAATCCCCAGCATCCCATATGGTGCCCAGAGCATCGCTAGGAATAATTCCTGAGTGCAGAGCCAGGAGGAACCTCTGAACATTGCCATGTTTGACCCAAAAAGCAAAAAAAAAAAAAAAAGTGATTGCCCAACCTGAACATGACCACAGCTAGTCCCACTAGCACCCCAGGGAGTCCAGGGAGTGACCCTGAACACTGAGACAGGAGTAGCCCTGGGCATGACAGGTGCGCTACCCCCCCCAAAAAAAAATAAAACCAGGAAAGGTGTGCACACAAATGGGGAAAAGTTGGCTGTCAACATACACATAAAGAGAAAGAGAGTCAATGCAAGTGCATGGGAATTTGGTTCATGGAATAACCCTAAATTCCCTCCCAGTGCCCCTCTTACCAAAGTCCTCGTCCTTCTGGGTGAACTTAGGCCCCCTGGTCCCAAACACAGCCCTGACATCCAGGTCCTTGGCCAGGTGATCTTGCAGGTCGGTCAGGAGGTGCCGCATATCCTGTAGCAGTTCTGTAGCTGGGTCGCCAGGCCTGTGGGGTCCCATGGCATCTGAGGTCAGGCGCGCCCGAAAGCCCCGGAACTGCCTGGCCACGTAGTTGCTCCGAGCTCTGACCAGAGCCCGGACGTGACGGGTGAGCACATCCTCGGATCCTCTCTCCTCCTTGAAATCCTCCTCCTCCTTCTCCTCTGCCAGGCAGGGCAGCGCGAGGTCAGCAAGGTGCAGTTCTGGGCTGAGCATACCTTCCACCCAGGAGACGCGATGAGGGGTGGGGTATCTGGGGGCTAGACGCGTGAGGAGAAGCTCAGGACCACCGAGTGGTGTCCACACCCCCCAGAAGCCCCATGGCCTGCCCTTCTCACCTGGAGTCTCAGCGGTTTCTGGAGGCATCTCCGGGGGTGTCTGCTCTGCCCCCCACCCCTCATGGTGGGCTTCCAGATAGAGCTTGTTCACCATAGACAACCCTCTTTCTGAGGAGTGGAGAGGGACAACGGCCTTCTGCAGAAGAACTGGGACTGGCGAAGGGGAGGTGTCCTGGATCCCTGAGGGCCCAGCCCTGCTGTCTGTGGGGTGCCACCAGAAGCCTTCATTCCCATCCTCACTCCTGAAAGAGCTGAGTGAGGGCTCATGGGACCTGAGGCCCAGGAGTCACGCCTTCCCCACACTCAGACGCCCAGTCCTAGCATCTCTCCCGCTCCCTTTTCCAGTCCCCCAAGTGGCATCCTCAGACCCCGCTGGTGGTGTGTAACTTAACTGTGCCCCCTGAGCGATCGTCTCTCTTACCTGTGTGTTGGCTTCCAGGCTCTAGAGAGTGGGGGGGCAAGAGCAGTGTCCTAGGCAGAACATCCCTGAGAAAAGAGAGAGGGGACTTGCAGTTTAAGTGGGGTACCTTAGCAAATGAACCCTTTTTTCAGTGGGCCAGGGGCCACTCAGGCCACACCAGGAAGTGCTGAGGGGTTACTCTCGGCTCTGAGCTCAAAGATCATCCCTGGCAGGGCCCAAGGGTGCTGGAGACTGCATCACTTGCAAGGATAGCGCCCTCCCTGCTGTGCTATCCCTCCGCCCCCTCCCTGTGATTCTTGGTCGACTGGGTTCACTGTGAGAGTCTGAGGCCCTGTGAGGTTGGGGGGGAGGACCTGGGCCATCCCTGGGGTTTCTTTTTTCTTTTTTTTATCTTTTTTTTGGGGGGAGGGTCACAGGTCACACCCAGAAATGCACAAGGGTTACTCCTGGCTCATGCCAGAATTACTCCTGGTGGTGCTCAGGGGACCATATAGGTTGCTGGGAATCGAACCCGGGTCGGCTGCGTGCAAGGCAGACGCCCTACCTGCTGTATTATTGCTCCATCCCCAATCCCTGGTGTTTCTTGGGGGCCCCCAGGGCTACACCCAGTGATGTTCAGAGGAAGGTGGGGTACCAGGAATCAAACCAAGGTTGGCATGGGTCTTAACCCCTGCAATCATTTCCCTAGGTGCCCTGTACCTGCTGGCTGAGAGGAAGGCCAGGAGGTGGGGCAGGCTTGGCATGCAGAGGTTAGAAGATTCCAGAGTGACACCTGGCAGGAGGGACAAGGAAGAAAATTTGAGGGGTGGTAACTCCTATTTCATGTTTCTCTTATCCCGTCTTTCAGTCTCCCAGAAAAGCGTTAGACGAAGGGAATTCCCACCCTCTGGAGTCCTCTTTTCTCCTGGTTTAGTGCTTGCATCCTGCTTAGGCTATCAAATAGTGTTGATCCACTATAGAAATATTTATGGGCACTTACTTATCTCTAGATAAGACAGAACTGCAAAGACAGACACATTCACTACCACCCTGCCACCTACCTTTCACTGGAGAGACATGAAAGAAATGAGCTAACAGGTGACAGATACATGTGTCTTGTATTGATCACTATAAAAGGAGGGGTCAGAGAGATAGTGCAGTGGCTAGGGCGTCTGCCTTGCAATCAGCCGATCTGGGTTTAGTCCCCCAACATCCCAGTATGGTTCCCTGACCATCACTACAAGTGATTCCTGAGTGCAGAGCCAGGAGCAAGTCCTGAACATTGCTGGGTGTGGTCCCCCATAAAATTAAACCAAACAAGATAAATACAATAATAAAATAAGGGGCTGGAGAGACAGTACAGCAGGAAGTGTGCTTGCCTTGAACATGGTCACCCTAGCTTCAATCCCTTCGAGTGTGGCCCCAAAACCAAAAATTAATTACTCAGTAAAGGTAAAGGTAAAGGCCCTCCCGTTGATCGTCGATTTGCTCGAGCGGGCCCAGTAACGTCTCCATTGGAGACTTTGTTGTTACTGTGTCTGGCATATCGAATACTCTCGGTAGCTTGCCGGGCTCTCCGAGAGGGGCGGAGGAATCGAACTCGGGTCGGCCATGTTGGCCGCTTGTAAGGCGAACGCCCTACCCGCTGTGCTATCGCTCCAGCCCTAAAGGTAAAGGCCCTCCCGTTGATCGTCGATTTGCTCGAGCGGGCCCAGTAATGTCTCCATTGGAGACTCAGTAAAATAAAGTAAAAATAAGATAAAAAGAAACAGACAGATGGGAAGAGGCCAGGACTCAGCAGTGGTGATCAAGGAAGATTATGAGGTGCTGGAGCGAGAGTACAGTGGGTAGGGTATTTGCCTTGCATGAGGCTGACCTGATTCCATCTCCAGAAAGCCAGCACTGCCAGGAGTAATTCCTAAGTACAGAATCAAAAGTAAGTCCTGAGCACCACCAGGTGTGACTCCAAAAAATAAAAAAAAAATAATGTTAATTATTTTTCTTTTTGGGTCACACCTGGCGATACACAGGGGTTACTTCTGGCTCTGTACTCAGGAATTACTCCTGGTGGTGGGATGCCGGGAATCGAAACCGGGTCGTCAGCGTGCAAGGCAAATGCTCTACCCGCTGTGCTATAGCTCCAGCCCCAATAAATGTTTTTTTAAAGGAAGGTTCACTGTCACTGTCACTGTCCTCCCGTTGTTCATCGATTTGCTCGAGCGGGCCCAGTAACGTCTCCATTGGAGACTTTTGTTGTGTTTGGCATATCGAATACCTCACGGGTGGCTTGCCAGGCTCTGCCGTGCAGGCGAGATACTCTCGGTAGCTTGCCGGGCTCTCCGAGAGGGGCGGAGGAATCGAACTCAGGTCGGCCATGTTGGCTGCGTGCAAGGCAAACGCCCTACCGCTGTGCTATCACTCCAGCCCAAAGGAAGGTTATACTTTCACAGAGGCCTGAAGGATGGAGACAGAATCCCTTATTTACACAGAGAGAGGCTCCTTCTGGAAGAACAGATGAAAAGGCCCTGAAGCTGGGACAAATTTTGGGTATTCAGGCAACAGAGGTGACTGAAGCAAAGACATTGAGGGGCAGGAGATGGAGAGGTGGGTGCTGGGGAGAAATTGAAATAAAACCCAAGGGTGCTGTGCGTCCTTGGCGAGGTGTGGCACAGGTACGTAGAACAGTGCCTACGCTCAGAACAAACTGCAGAAGGAGTCCAGGAGACCTGGTGTCTGGAAATCCCTGGTGTCTGGGCTAGACAGAAGGTGCAGATATAGATGCAAGTACTGGGGGAGGTTCGCAAGTACACTGGCTGTGGGCTGGCGCCTTGCGGGGGCCTCATTACCTCCAGGAAGATTCAGGATCTGGTAGGTGTTGACATTCCCTGGTGACCCGTCTGTCTTCAACACCAGGACCTGCCTTGAGGGGTGTCCAATGACCAGGAAACTCTGGGAATTGGAGGCAAAGGGCCCGAAGACAATTTATGCAGATACTTAGTCTAATTCACTTTTTTTTATTTGCTTTTGCTTCTAGGGTCACACCCAGTGATGCTCAGGGGTTCCTCCTGGCTCTGCATTCTGGAATTACTCCTAGTGGTGCTCAGGGGACCATATGGGATGCCAGGGATTGATCCCGGGTTGGCGCCGTGCAAGGGAAATGCCCTACCCGCTGTACTATCGCTCCGGCCCCTAATTCACTTTTTCTTACTGAGCACCCTATTCCTTTGTTCGGGGTTGCACAATCCAGATTTCCTTCCAGGAAACCCCTGCTCAACTTGCAGGACCTGACTTAGCCAATCGGAGAACAGCGCTGTCTGACCAGTGTGATTGGTCCAGAGACAGGAACGTGAACCAGTATCTGCACTGTAGCACTGTCCTCCCATTGTTCATCAATTTGCTTGAGTGGGCGCCAGTAAGGTCTCCATTGCAAGACTAGTTATTACTGTTTTTGGCATATTGAATATGCCACGGGTAGCTTGCCGGGCTCTGCTGTGCGGGTGGGATACTCTTGGTAGCTTGCCGGGCTCTCCGAGAGGAATGGAGGAATTGAATCCGGGTCAGCCGCTTGCAAGGCAAACGCCCTACTCGCTGTGCTATGGCTTCAGCCTGAACCAGACTGAACCAATATCAGCCAGTGAAAATCCCCCAACAGGGGCCAGCGAGATAGTTTAGCGGAGAGGACGGTTGCCTTACACACAATCCAGGTTCAATCCCTGGCATTCCATATGGTGCCCTAAGCACCGCCAGGAGTGATTCCTGAGTGCAGAGCCAGGAGTAACCCCTGAGCATCACGGGTGTGACCGAAAAAAGCCGAAAGAAAAAAGAAAATCCTCCAACAGGTTTTTGGCTCTAGTGCTTCTCTTGCGTCCCCACCCAGAGCAAAGTGGCTGTTTTCGCTCCCTTCCCTTCTCTCTTTACTGTGGAGATGTCCTGGGCAGCACATTTGGTTGGAATGAACCAGAGGTCTAGGAATCCCATTGACTTGGGGTGGAAATTGGGGGTTGGAGGTTGATGAATAAGGATGTGGGGTTGTAAGGTGGTGCCAGGGATCCAACTCGTGGCCTCTTGATCACAGAGATGTAGTCTTTGTTTGATTTTGTTTTTCGGTCATACCAGTAGCACTCAGGGCTGACTCCTAGCTCTGCACTCAAGAATCACTCCTGGAAGGCTTTGGGGACCCTATGGGATGCCAAGGATCCAACCCAGGTTGGCAGTGTGCAAGGCTGCCCATGTACCTTACCCCCTGTACTATGGCTCTGGCTCCTGAGATGTGTGTCTAAGCTGGGGACAGCCACCTTACTACCTCCAGAAGGCCCCCCAAAGAGGAAGCTGTGGTGGGCCCCCTCATTGCTTGTTTCTTGCAGTACTCAGTTTTGTTTTTTTCTTTTTGGGTCACACCCGGCGATGCTCAGGAGTCACTCCTGGCTCTGCACTCAGGAATTACTCCTGGCGGTGCTTGGGGGACCTACGGGATGCTGGGGATCGAACCCGGGCCAGCCGTGCGCAAGGCAAACACCCTACCCGCTGTGCTATCGCTCCAGCCCCGCAGTACTCGTTTTTGTTCCACATGCTCAACCCGGGGGATGGATGGGGAGCGATGCAGGTCTGGTTTCTCATTTCCCCCTGTATCTCTCCCAGGCGAACATATGGAATAACTACCTTGGGGCCAAGAAGCTGGCTTAAAGGGCTGGAGTGCCCTGGTTCAATGCTCAGGGGTAGCTCCTGGCTTTGCTTAGGGGACCCACATGATGTGAGCGATCAAATCTGGGCTTTCTACATGCAAAGCATGCTCTTGACCCATTGTGTTGTCTCTCTGGATCAAAGAGGAATATATATATATATATATATATATATATACACATATACACATATCGGGGCTGGAGCGATAGCACAGCGGGTAGGGCATTCGCCTTACACGCGGCCAACATGGCCGACCCGAGTTCGATTCCTCCGCCCCTCTCGGAGAGCCCGGCAAGCTACCGAGAGTATTCGATATGCCAGACACAGTAACAACAAAGTCTCCAATGGAGACGTTACTGGGCCCGCTCGAGCAAATCGACGATCAACGGGAGGGCCTTTACCTTTACCTTTATACACATATCTCAAAGGGCTGAGATGCAGGCTTTGCATGCTGGAGTGCTCTGGGTTCAAATCCTGGTACCACATGATCCCCTGAACACTTCCCAGTGTGCCCCCCAATTTTTAAAATATTTCTACCATTCACATATTGGAGGGGCTGGAGCAATAGCACAGCGGGTAGGGTGTTTGCCTTGCATGTGGCTGACCTGGGTTCGATTTTTCCGTCCCTCTCGGACAGCCCGGCAAGCTACCGGGAGAATCCTGCCCACACAGCAGACCCTGGCAAGCTCCCCATGGCGTATTCAATATGCCAAAAACAGTAATAACAAGTCTCACAATGGAGACGTTACTGGTGCCTGCTTGAGCAAATCGATGAACAACGGGAGGACAGTGCTACAGTGCACAAATTGGAGAAATTTGGGGTGGTTTGGTGGGGGCACATGTACTATAGTGTTATGGGGCTATACCCAACTCAGTGCTCCAGGGTCCTGTTACATCACTCCTGGCAGTGCTCAGGGGTCAGTATCAGGCGGTCTGAGGGACAGAATCTAAACCTCCTTTATACAAACCACGTGCTCAGCCCTCTGAGCTATGGCTCCCGCCCTACAGAGTAAGCTCTAGTCCCCAGGCATTCAGAATTCCCCACAGTTCACATAGACACCAATTAATGGGATGGAAATAAACTTGTGAGTTGTCTGGTACTCCGAATCTGGGGGGGTTGTCTCATAGCTGCCAGCAGGGGGCGCCCTGGGACCCGTCCGGGGAACCGCTGTACTCACCCCAGGCGGCCACGCCTCCACGAGGGCTTCCGCATTTAGGCCTTCCAGTTCTGGGACCTGCCAGGCTCCCTGTGTCCTCTGCAGGCGCAAGATTGGTTCTGGGATCCCCGGGGCCCCTACGCGGGTGTCAGCTACTCCATTTGCCTGTGATGGGGCCAGTCTGGGGCAGGACCCGAGTCAAGATCAAAGATGCAGAGAATGAAAAGCGAGGGCAAAGGGTCAGAGATGGGGTGCAGGGTCCTGGGGTGTGGCAGCAGAGGCTGGAAGGGGCATTTAAACCCAGGGATGGGGACCCTCCCGTCCACTCTCTCACCTCTCCATATCTTGGACCTGCAGGGGCCGTGGACTCTGGCCTGCCCATCGTCAGGATGTGGGGGTCCAGGCAGCCATGGCGTGGGTCCAGACAGGGTGGAAGAGAATCTGGCTGGAGGTGGCTCCAGCCCTGGGGGGTGGTAGAACTATTCACAACCAGGGCCAGACAGACAGGACAGGGCTAAAGCACTTGCCTGGTCTTCTTTGGTGGGGAGGGGGTTGAGGCCACACCGGAGGTACTTTATGCTCATGAGTGATCCCCAGTAGCTCCAAGGGGACGATATGCGGTGCCAGGGGTTAAAGCAGGGTTGGCCACATGCAGGGCAATAAGGTGCCTTGCATCCCAGTGACCCAGATTGACGTTGGAGTCCGCAGCACCATATATGGTCCCCTGAGCACAGCCAACAGTCATTTCTAAGCACAGGGCCAAGAATAGTCCTTGAGCACTTCTGGGTGTGGTCCAATCCTCCGGCCATGAGAAAACAAAACAAAACAAAACAAAAAGCCTTTGGGGCTAGAGAGACAGTACAAGGTGCTTGGCTAGTATGCAGCCAACTCAGATTGAATGGCTGCCACTGCCAGGAATGATCCCTGAGCACAGAACCAGGAGTAAGCCTTAACAAAGCACTGCCAAGAGTGACCCCAAAACTGAAACAAAGGAAACAGAAAAAAACTCTGTACAGTCAGTAAAACAGACTCTGGACATTCACCCTGAAGCATGGAGTGTACTGGGAGCTCGATGGTGAGGAGCCCTAGGGCTCCAGTGACACCAGCCAGTATCCATGGGTCATGGGAGGACAGGAGGACTCAAAATGGCCACTGTTTACCAAGTGGTAGGGAAAAGTTCTGATATAATTTATTTGCTACTCCTGGCTCTGTGCTCAGGGGACCATAAGCAGTGCCGTGCCACAGGCAAGAAAAACATCTTTACCCCTGTGCTCTCTCTCTGGTTCCTATATAGCTCAGGTATTATATTATTTTGTTCTGTGTTTGGTGTTCTGGGCTTAATTCTGCATTCAGGAATCACTCTTTTGTTTTATTTTGGGGCCACACCTGGCGATGGCTCAGGGGTTACTCCTGGCTCTGCACCCAGGAAATATTCCTCGTGGTGCTCGAGGGACCATTTGGGATACTGGGGATTGAACCCGGGTCAACTACGCCCTGGCCTTCAGGGATTACTTTTAGCAGGGCTCAGGAATTGAGTCCAGGTGGACTGGACTCAATCTATGGGATTGAGTCCAGGTGGGCTGCATGCAAGGCCATTGTCTTCTCCCTTGTACTATCTGGCTCAGATTTTAAAAACAAGTACTAGAAGTTGTCACATGTTTATGATGGTTTGAGCATTGATGGGACCTGTTTGTTAATTCGGAGCAGACCCCATAATGAGCAGCAGTGCTACTCCAATCTCTCTGCTTCTATGTCTGTGCACTTGGTGATACTTGGCGGGGACCACGTGTTCCTGGGAATAAACCAGGCTTGGCTGCAAATAGGCAACTGCCTTACCCCTGTACTACCTTCTCCGGTCCCCCAATTCCAGTTTTTTTTAATGAAAAATATAGTTATTGGGGCTGGAGCGATAGCACAGCGGGTAGGGAGTTTGCCTTGCATGCGGCGGACCCAGGTTCGATTCCCAGCATTCCATATGGTCCCCCGAGCACTGCCAGGAGTAATTCCTGAGTGCATGAGCCAGGAGTAAGCCCTGAGTATCGCCGGGTGTGACCCAAAAAGAAAAAAGTATATACATATAGTTATTATACTTTGGGCTGAAGCAATAGCACAGCGGGTAGGGTGTTTGCCTTGCACGTGGCCAACCTGGGCTCGATTCCTCCGTCCCTCTGGAGAGCACAGCAAGCTACCGAGAGATTCCCACCCGCACGGCAGAGCCTGGCAAGCTCCCAGAGGCGTATTCAATATGCCAAATAACAGTAACAACAAGTCTCACAATGGAGACATTACTGATGCCCGCTCGAGCAAATCGCTGAACAATGGGAGAACAGTGCTACAGTGCTATTATAGTTTAGGTCATATGTTCATAATAGTTTTAATGTTTATGGTTTGGAGGTTTTTTGGGTTTTTTTTTTTGTTTTGGGGCCATGATGACAGTATTCAGGGCTTTTCCTGGCTCTGCACTCGAGATCACTCCCGGTGGAGCTTGCGGGACCATACAAGATGCCAGGGATCAAACCTAGATCAGCACTTGCAAGACAGGCACCCACTGTGCTATCGCTCCAGCCTATTTATGGTTTTGATACCATTACTTCACCTCACAACCATCAAAGTGCCCAAGACCTTCCACACCCCTAGACTGCTTTCAGTGTACCCCGTCACCATCCCCAAATCCCTTCCTCCTTTGGATTCTCAATAGTTCCCCTTTTTTGGGGGGGGTGTTTTGGGGCCACACCTGGCTGTGCTCAGGGTTTACTCTTGGCTTTGTGCTTAGGGATCACTCCTAGCTCTGGGTACCTTTTGGGGTGGCAGGGATCAAACCCGTGTTGACAGCATGCAGGACAGTACCCTACTATCTCGCGACCCTAATGATTCCAATTTCAACAAGTGCTGATGCCCAATGATGCCGCGTGGTCTGGATGAATAACCTGTGCTGAAACCTGGTGTTGGCCCAGAGTAGGGACTTGAGAAATGTCAACAAACCTTATACAAAAGGGACTGTGCCCGGTGTTAGCACAGTGGGTAGACACTTGCCCTTGACTGCAGTTTGATCCCTGGAATCCCAGGTGGTTTCCTGAGGCCCCCAGGAGTTATCCCTGAGCATAGAGCCAGGAGAAAGCCCTGAGCACACCCGGGTATGACCCAAGTATGACACACCCAGGTATGACAAAAATGTCAAGCCTAATACAACATCCCCGCTTCTCTTCCCAGACCAGGGGAGGGGCCCTCAACAGTTTCCCAACTTTTTTGTTGTTTTTGGTTCACACCCCTCAATGTTCAGGGATTACTCCTGGCTCAGTGTTCAGGAATTATTCCTGGCAGTGCCTGGGACACCATATGGGGTGCCAGGGATGGAACCTGGGTCAGCCCCATGCAAGGCAAGTGCCCTCTTCACTGTGCTATCTCTCCGGCCCCTTCCCATCATTTTCTTATGAAAAACTAGCAAACCCTTAGAGGAAGCAGAACTTCTACAGGGAACAACCATGGCTTCCCCTGATTCCATTCTCCCTTGGACACTGTCTCCACTGCCCTTCTGCTCAGCTGGCTCCCAGCGCTTGGGGACAGAGTCCTCAAAGGATGATGGCATTTCTGAATATTTTTCCTGCAGGGGTCCCAGGAATGGGAAGCTAGTGCCAGAAGGGAGGGTCCCTGTGCCTCCAGCCAGCCAGCCAGGCCCAGAGCTCAGGCCCAGAACCCTGTGCCAGCGCCCTGCCCCCACCCCACCCCACCCAACCTCCCTAGTCCCATCTTGTTAAGGGTGGGCACAGGTCTGGATGATACAACAGCACAGCACATGCATGCCCCACTGCAGTCTAGGAAGCTCTAGGCTCAGGGTTCTAGAAAGGGGTAGAGGGGGGATGGGGGACAGAGAATAGGCTGGAGGGGGTGGGGAAGGGAGGCAGGGGGCCCCCATGGGAGTCAGGCAGCTGCCTGGTACCCAAGGGCAGCAGCAGTGGGGGGCGGTGAAGATGCTGGGTCCCTGGGGGCCCTACCTGTTCCGGAAGAGAGGCCTGAGACAGCAGAAGCGAAAGTGAGTCTGGGGCAGAGGAAGTGGGGTGCAGGGGAAGAGGCGGGGCTGTGACATCTGAAATCTACCTGCTTCCCCTTTGAGGGGGTGGGGAGCTCTGGCCTGAGGTGAGTAGGCTCCGGACCAAGGGGCCATGGGCAGTGGGGGGACCCGGTCCACCTGATCCGCCTAGCTCCCGTTCGTGGCAGCACCCCTCACTTTCTTGTGAAAGCCCGAGATGGCCTGGGGTCCGCACCCCTCCCTCCAGCTGCCTCCCGTGTGCGCGCCCACGCAGGAGAAGACAAGAGCCAGACGAGACGGACAGCGGTGGCTGGTTAGCTCTGGGTGTTTAATTTGTCTCCAGCAAAGAGCAATTGATCGGTTGCCCGTCCCTGCACGGGAAAGGGGCCCCCACGAGAGGGGGCAGCACCCACTTTGGGGGCTGAGGTTTGCAGATCCAGACCCCCACCCACGTGGCGATAATGCAAGGGCCAGTACCCGGGCCCCCAGCTAGGCTGGGTTAGGTCCCATCTGCGTGACCACAGGCTCCGGGCCCCCCCATCCTGGGATGGTTAGCAGTCAGGGGGACCCTCTGGCTGCTGGGAGCAGTTAGGAGATTAGGTGAGGGAGCGCCTCGCCCCTGGAAGGGGTTGGGGCTGTTAGACACGGGCCACCCCAGGTCAGTCCTCCGGTGTTAGACTGGTCAGGGCGATGGGAGGTGGGGGGGGGGGGCACTTGGGCGTGGGCGGGGCTTGGTTAAGAGATTGGGGAACTGTTCAGCGCGCCCAGAGGAGGAGAGCTGTAAGTTAGAGGGGGCTGCCCTGAAGGAGGTGCGGGTCCTGCAGGGGACACGCCCTGGTCACTGGGTCTGGTCCTTGGCGGGAGGTGGGGAGGCCCCGGGAGAGGGCCCCGAGGTGGAGGTGGGGTTGGGGCTCCTTGGCTCCGCCTGGGCGTCGATGCGGGCGTGCTCCTTCCGGACCAGCTCCTCCAGCTCCTTCTGCGGGGTGGGGGGGGAGGGGGGGGAGACAGGCCAAGGTCACTACACCTCAGGGGTCCAGGCAGGGTGTGTGTGTGGGGGGGACAGGATGTGGGGGTGGGGGTGGATATAGGGGTACAAGCTCTTCACCTTCCATCCCAGGAGGTCGGCAAGGGCCAGGCAGCCCTGGTCGCAGTCACCCAGCCAGGCCACGTCCCTGCAGCAGGGGTTGGGGGGGAAAGTCAGCCTCCAGCCTGTCCTCCCACCGTCCCACTCCCCTGCAACTCTGTGCCCGGAACAGGCCAGGCCTCACCTGTAGGCCTTCTTGGAGTCAAAGTCCATGCCGCCTCCCATGCCCATCATCATGCCCAGGAACGGGTCCGTCTGCGGGGAAGGTGCGGGGTCGGGGAGCGCAGAACGCCCCCCCCCCGACCCCGCCAGTAGGTGATCTGGCTGCCCCCCCACCCCACCCCACTCGCCTTCTTTGTGGTGCGGGGCGCCCCCTAGTGGTGCCTGCGAGGGAAATGCCTGAGCCATGCCCAGGGAACTACCCTCCCAAGGGGGCGCGCGGGGGGCGGGGGGGGGGGGAAGATTTGGGGGTTGGGGCTTCCTCTTTGCGGCTCAGTTGCTCAACAAAACAACCTCGGGGGGCCCAGGGACTCTGAGCGTGCGTGGGAGACCGTGCGTGCACGTGCGCACAGATGAGTGTGTGTGGGCAGCTGCGTGCGTGCGTGCGTGCATGTGCGGGCCTGCAGGAGCGCGTGCGTATCTGAGTGGGTGCTGGGGAGGGGGGTGCGCGCACGTGTGTGCACGCATGACGGTGCGTGCAAGCTGTTGTATGCACACGCTGTGTCTGGGCGTGCGTGCGTGTGCACCGTGCGCCTGCTGCAGGCACGCTGTCGGGGCACGGCAGGAGAAGGCGCGTCCACGAAGCCCCTCACCTGGCCGGTCTTCTCCTTGTTGATGAGCAGGCGCGGGGTGGAGAGGGGGGCCCTGCGGGAAGAAGCCCGTGAGGCCCCCTGCTCCGGCGCCCAGTGCTCCGCCCCCCGCCCCGCCCCGCCCCCTGCCCACCTACTTGCTGATGAGGGAGGCGAAGGGCTGCACCTGCAGGGAGGTGCCCATGATGATGAGGAGGTCCACCTTCCGGAAGTCCTGCGAGGAAGCAGCCAGTGAAGCGTGGGGTAGGGGACAGCGGGGAGGGGGTCGGGTCAGGTCGGGGGTGGGGGACACTCACCGACTGCAAGCAGGAGAAGAAGCGCGCCGGCAGGTTCTCGCCAAAGAAGATGATGTCTGAGGCCACAGACAGGACAGACACACAGACAGAGAGAGGATGAACGGGGAGGGAGGGGCAGAAGAAAGTGGGGGTGTGGCCGGCCAGACCGGCAGGAACTACTGCCCTCAGGTCTGGGGACACCCTGTAGGCATGGGTAAGTGTGGATGTGTGTGTGTGGGGGGTCCCCTCCTCCCCCTCCACCCCTCACCCCTGCTCACCAGGCTTCACCAAGCTCTGACACTTCTCACACTTGGGAGTCACCTCGGAGAAGATCTTTTCTGGGGAAGGGGACGGTGAGGAAGGTGAGGACCCCCCCTTCTCCATTCTCCACGCCCCCATCCAGCCCCGGGAGACCCCTGTGCCTGGCGCTAAGAGCCTCCTTTCTTTTTTAGGGTTGGGTGTTTGGGTGACACCTGGTGGTGCTGGGGGAGCCGAGTCCTGCCAGGGACCAACCCTGGGCCTCCACATGCAAACGTATTTCTCCAGCCCGGGCCTCCCTGCTTAGAGAGCCCCCAGCCACGCCCAGCACCTGTCCACACTGCTGGAGGGACGCAGAGGGGCAGACACTCAACAGTACCTTTCTCGCCTGGGTTCAGGAGGGCGGCAGAGGGAGTGGGAAGGGCACGCGGCTGGTCCTGGGATAAAGGCGTCTCCTTGGGTTCCCCCTCCCCCGTTTCTGCAACAGCCCCCCGCTGACCTTGTAACTTTGCCCCTCATTGCTTAACCATCAAGGCATTGGAAAGCACCATGGGCGCGGCCACCCTCAGGGTCCATTCACCCACCCTCCTGGGCTCCTGTCCTCCTCGCACCCCACGTCCCCAGGGGTTGCCCTGTCTGGTGGGAGGCAGAATGGCACAATGTTCCTGCAAGCTGCCCACCAGGGGGCTATTCAGGACGCCCCGGGCCGCAGCTGTCCCCTGCCAGACACGGGAGCTCTGTCCAGCGGCACAGAGAGCTGCAGAATAAGTTTCTGTGGGCGACATCGGTGCCTCTCGGCTGGCACAATGGGGGCCAGACACGGCGGGCACCCCTGCAATGGGCGCCAACTGGCTTGTGGGGTTTCTTGGGACACTGCCCTGACCCAGCAGGGCCTGTGACGTCCGTGAATCCTGCCTGCTGTGCACCTCAGGACACCCCCCAACGCCCCTCTCCACTCCCCCCTACCCCCCGTCCTGCCAGCTTGGAGCTGGCATCACACGTCACAGCAGGTCCTAAACCTGCCTTGGTTCAGTGGCTCTATGTGGGGTCGAAGCTACAGGGCTGGGGGAGTGAGGAGGGTTTTTTTCCGTGTCAAGCAGTAAAAGTTCTTTTTTTTTTAATTTTGGTCTGGGGGCATAGCTTCTAGCAGCGCCCACCCCCCCATCCTCACCCCCACCCCAGCACACACACGCACACACAGAGATGGAAGTAGTTTATATTGCAGAAAGCTCTTTGGACAATTATGCCTACTAGGATGGGGGTGTGTGACCTAGGCAGGGTGGGGTCACAGCACCCACAGAACAAGAACTGAGGGATCTAGAACTTGGGGGCCGGCTCTGTGGGAGGTGCAAACTGGCTACACCTTGAGTGAAACCCCTTCTTACCGGGCTATGAGGGAGGGGTGCTGGAGGCAGTGAACCCCCAAAACCACTTCAGATATGGGGGGTTACTATTATCTACTCACGAGGACCAGGGAGAAGGCTCAAAGGGCAGGTCCTCATCCTCTGGAGGTTGGAGCCCCGAGTTCCATCCCCAGCACCGACAGAAGCAATCCCCAGGCACAAGCCAGGTGTGGCCCCCCCAAATCAAAACAAACCAGAAATGAGGCATCACAATGGGGGATGCCCCCATGCAGGACAGGAGTCCCATGCGGTTCCTGAGAGGCAGTGGGAAGCCAGGGGCGCTCACCTTTCATCCAGCTCAGGGGGTATTCCTGCCGGCACAGCGGGCTGACACAGTGCGACGTGTGGAAGGTGCCGTGGGCCTCCACCAAGTCCTCAGGTTCCAGCCCCGCAACACGTTCCAGGGTGTCGATGTTCTGCAAGGAGGGATGGGCGGGATCTTATCACCCAGTCAGACAGTGGCAAACAGAGGCAGGACCGAGGTAAGCATCAGGGCCAGGCTGCATGGCTGCAGAAACTCTCCTGTCCTTTATGCTCTTTCTCAGTTTTGCTGTGCCAGGGATCGAACCTGGGGCCTCACGCACGCAAGGTTAGAGCTCGGCTGCTGAGTTACAGTCCTCCTGTCCGTGCTGAGAGGGTGATTCAGTCACTGTGCCAGGCCCGGGATGTGTGTCCCATGTGCACAAGCACCCAAGTTTGACCCCAGCACTGCATGGTCACCTTAGCACTGTCGCATCAGAGGACCAAACTCTGAACTGTGAGAACTGGAGCAATAGTACAGTGGGGAGGGCGTTTGCCTTGCATGCAGCCAACCAGGATGTGATCCTCGGCATCCTGTATGGTTCCCCGAGCCCACCAGGAGTGATCCCTAAGTGAAGAGCTAGGAGTCAACCCTGAGCACCATGGGGTGTGGCACAGAAACAAAACCAAACTAACAAACAAAAAACACCAAAAAGAAAAAAAAAGTCACAGCCAGAAACGCAGTTCTGAGACAGAGTGCTTGTCTAGCATATGCCAGGTCTCTCCTTTGCAACACACACACATACACACACACACACACACACACACACACACACGCAAACTCCCATGAGTGTGGGTCCAGGCCCAGTTGGGGTGCCCTCCCCCTCTGGTGTTTGGCTGCAGACTGGACCATTCTGCTTGTTTTACAGAAATACCCTTTTGTTCCACCCAGACTGTCTTGATATTACCAGACTGAAATCCATGGCAATTCATGGTGCGCGGCTCCAAGGTTTCCACTGTCCCCCGACCCTCCTCCCAGGTGGTAGCCTTGGGCAGTGCCCAATCTGCACAGCTGGATGTGGTGGCCGCGGCCAAGCACTAACATAAACCTGTAACCACGGTGGCTGGTCTGGGTGGAAACCCACCGTTTCCCTAAATAGCAATGAGGCTGCCTACTGGGATCTAGTGCCAGGATGGCTGAAGCCTGCAAATGCGTGCGCGCATGTGCGTGTGTGCGTGCGTGCATGCGTGTGTGTGTGTGTGTGTGTGTGTGAGAGAGATGTTGGGGGGTGAGGCACATGCAGAGTGTGTGTGTGTGTGTGTGTGTATGTATGTATGTGATGTTGGGGGGTGGGAGGCACACGCAGTAGTGCTCAGGACTTACTCTTGGCTCTGTGCTCCGTGATCACTCTGGTGGGGAATTGAGAGACCATATGTGTTGTGGGGGGGATTGAGCCCATGTTGGCTGACGCAAGGTAGGCACCCTACCTGCTGCACGATCCCTCCGGCCCCTCCTGCATGGTTTTTTTTTTTCCAGAAAACAAAGAGAATTTTGCTTCTGCAGCTGACACTCCACTTCTCTGTCACAGAGATCTCTGTGTCCCACCCCTCTGCAGAAGCTCCTGTCTGGGGCTCTCGGGTGCTGCAGATGGCTGGTTCCTGTCCCCCAGCTGTGCCTCGAGGCTTCCCAGACACTTGGCCAACCACAGGAGGCGCTTCTTTCCCAGGCCAGATGGCCCCAACTGCCCTCCACTTGGCGCGGGCGAGCAGCTTGTCCTCAGACAAGAGTCAGCTGTGCCCTCCGCCCCCCGCCCCCCCATCCCCGCCCTGCTGACTTTCCCACCACTGTCCGGCTCCCACGGGTGGGCTGAGCAGTGTGAATGCAGAGTTGGAGGAGCAGGAACAAGAACTGCCCTATGGCGGTCATTCTTCTTCCCTCTTTTATTTTATTTCTTTGTTTGTCTGGGGGCAACACCCAGCAGCGCTCAGGGCTTACTCCTGGCTCTGAGCGCAGGGATCACTCCTGGCCGGCTCAGGGTACCATATGGGGTGCCGGGGATCAAACCCAGGTCATCTGCGTGCACAGCAAACTCCCTACCTGCTGTGCTATCTCTCCAGCCCCTCTTTTACTTTATTTTATTTTAAAAAAAAAGCTTTTTTTTTCCCCTAAGGGGGAGAATATCTGGCAATGCTTAGGGGCTACACCTATCTCTGTGCTCAAAATCACTTCTAGGGTTGGAGCGATAGTACAGCAGGTAGAGTGTTTGCCTTGCACATGGCTGACCTGGGTTCGATTCCTAGCATCTCATATGGTCCCCTGAGCACTGCCAGGAGTAATTCCCGAGTGCAGAGCCAGGAGTAACCCCTGAGCATCACTGGGTGTGAACGACAAAAGGAAAAAAGAGAAAGAAATCACTTCTAGTGGTGCTTGGAGGACCAGACAGGATGCCCAGGATTGAATCATGGTTGGTTGTGTGCAAGGCAAGCACCCTGCCTGCTGTACTATTTCTCTGGCCCATCTCTTTTATTTTTGGGATTTTTCATTAAAATTTTTTGGAGCTGGTGCACACTCTGGCAGTGTAGCAGTGCTCAGGACTTACTTCTGGCTGTAGGCTCACTTCTTGTTTTTTCTTTTGGGCCTTGGGGCCACACCCAGCAGTGCTCAGGGATTACTCCTGGCTCTGTACTCAGGAATGATTCCTCGTAGTGGGGTTCAGGTGACCATGTGTGGGATGCCTGGAATTGAACCCGGGTCGGCTGTGTGCAAGGCAAGTGCCCTCCTGGCTGTGCTGTGGCCCCGGCTCTTTTCCAGGCCTCTTTCCAGAGAGAAGCTGCTAACAAACAGAAATGAGGTGCACTCCTCCGGTACCCGGATGAAACGTTCGCTCTGAGACACGGAGAGGCACAGAAGCACCAAGGATGCGGGTGGGTGTGGTGTGGAGTGTATCTGCATAGCCTGGGTGCTCGTTTGCATAGGGTCAGGAAGTCATCAAAGGTAACAGCAGGGGCTGGAGTAATAGCATAGTGGGGAAGGCGGTTGCCTTGCACGCGGTCGACCCGGGTTCGATTCCCAACATCCCATATGGTCCCCCGAGCATCAGGAGTAATTCCTGAGTGTAGAGTCAGGAGTAACTCCTGAGCATCACTGGGTGTGACACCCCCCAAAAAATAAAGTGAGAGCAGAGGGCAGCAGCAGTGTTCCTGGGAGGGACAATGGCCCAGCAAGTTCTCTGCTGAAGGCTAGGAGGCAGGCTGATGTCACCATCTGGGAACAGGCCCAGAGGCTACCCCCCTCCCCACACCCCACGGGAAACAGGCGGGGAGGGGCTTGGGCTAAGGCAACACCTTCTCCCAGAGCAGCCTCAGCTGGCGCCCGCTGAGAAATCTTGGCCGTTGTTTGTTTGGCGACATCTGGCAGGGTGCAGGGATCACTCCTGGCTCTGTGCTCAGGGACCACTCCGGGAGGTTTCGGGATTCTGTGTGATGCTGGCGAGCGAGCTGGGGTGGGCTGTGTGCAAGGCAAGTGCTCTACCCGCTATGTTATCTCTACGGCTGTATTATCTCTCTGGCCTACAATCTCTGCAGTTTTATTTATTTTCTGTGGGTTTAAAACCTTGGCTCACTTTTCTGGGCTGGAGCAATAGCACAGCGGGTAGGGCGTTTGCCTTGCACGCAGCTGACCTGAGTTCGATTCCCAGCATCCCATATGGTCCCCTGAGCACTGCCAGGAGTGATTCCTGAGTGCAGAGCTAGGAGTAACCCCTGTGCATTGCCGGGTGTGACCCAAAAAGCTAAAAAAAAAAAAAAAAAAAACCCTTGGCTCACTTTTTAGGGAGGGCAGTGTCCCACACAGTGTTCACGAGGCTCTAGGGACCCCACTGGCGACTCTCAGCCACTCAGGCTGGTGGTATAATGCAAGGGCCTGAGGTGGCAGTGCTGTCTGGGCCCTGCAGAGGTGGGGAAACCCAGAGCATCCCTTGATGCTGGGACCCTCCAGGGCTGTACCCAGTGAGGCTTGACTATCTCCAGGCCCCAGGTGGCTCACATTTCATTTCACAACTTCGTATCAGCGTTGGAGAAATAGCACATCGAGTAGGGCACTTGCCTTGCATGCAGCCGAACTGGGTTCAATTCCCAGCATCCCATATGGGCCCCTGAGCCCCACCAGAAACAATCCCTGAGTACTACTAAGTGTGGCCCCAAACACAAGCACACACACACACACACACACACACACATTCACATAAACAAAAAAGAAAAACCATTATATTGCTAATTGAAACACCATCTATGGCAGCTTTTTAAAAAGTCACCTAGGGGCTGGAGCAATAGTACAGCGGGTAGGTAGTTTGCCTTGACGCGGCCGACCCAGGCTCGATTCCCAGCATTCCATATGATCCCCCAAGCACCTCCAGGAGTAATTCCTGAGTGCAAAGCCAGGAGTAACCCCTGTGCATTGCTGGGTGTGACCCAAAAAGGAAAAAAAAAGTCAACTAATCCTACCAAGCTTTGCTCTACTTAATAAAAATATTTCCCTAGCGCTGGTGAGACAGTGGTGCACATGCTTGGTTGGGGGTTCCTGGCATCACATCCCACCCCGTCAATCATGATGCTCCCCACGGTGCTCTCAGGACGCGCCAGGGGCCTCACGCTCTGTGCTGACACTGGGGATCCCACACAGTGGAGTTGCTGGGTCTCTCCTTGGACTCATGACCTCAGATTGGCTAGGCAGAAGCTTGGTGCCACGGACCCGCCTCCCACAGTCCTGTGGGTGATTTCTGAAGAGCAGGAAAGATAGGACAGCGGGAAGGGCACTGGCCTTGCACACGGCAGACCTGGGTTCAATCCCGGGCATCCCATCTGGTTCCCCGAGTGCTGCCAGGAGTGAACCCTGAGTGCAGAGCTAGGAGTAAGTCCTGAGCACTGCCAGGTGTGGCACAAAAAAACTTAAAAAAAAAAAATAGCAGGTTGGAGAGGTAGTAGAGGGGAAGGTGCTTGCCTTGCACACAGCTGACCTGGGTTTGATCCCTGGTATCCCTTATAGTCCCCTGAGCACTACCAGGAGTGATCCCCAAGCACCACGGGGTACGGTCCAAAACCTTTTTTTTTTTTTTTTTTTTTTTTTGCTTTTTGGGTTTACATCCGGCAATGCACAGGGGTTACTCCTGGCTTTGCACTCAGGAATTACTCCTGGTGGTGCTCGGGGGACCATATGGGATGCTGGGAATCGAACCAAACACCCTACCCAGTGTACTATCACTCCACCAACCCCCCCAAAAAATTTTTTTTTAAATAAAGTGAAAAGCAGGTGTCCGGGTGACTGAGTTAGTCAGGCACCTGCCTGGCAGGACTGACAGAATGTGGTTCCGGGCATGGCCCCACATGTGATTCCCAGTGTGAGTGAGCACTGCCACCAAGCGTGTCCTCCCCTCGGAGGATGGCAACTAAGTCACCATGACAACAGTGAAGGGAAGGGGACAGGACCAAAATAAAACAGACCAAAGGGCAGGAAGCTGTGGGGTGGGGATGCGGCTGGCGGGGCGAGTGGGGGAGCCGGGTTCAGAAGCCAACATCTAGTGGACCCGGCAGAGACGTCTGAATCACAGGCGCCTGGAGCAGCAGCTGCGGGCAGGGCAGGTCTGGGGGACGCTGTGTCCTGGGCGTCACTCCCAGATCTAAGGACCACATCATCACAGCTCAGAAAGCAGCACACATGAGGTGTTCCAGAAATCGGGGTCAGAGTCCAAAACGATGGAAGTTAAAGAGGGCCACAAGTTTGAATGAAATGGTTTCATGAAATGAGAATGGAACTTTTTTGCTTTTTTGTGGGTGGTGCTCAGGGCTTACTCCTGGCTCTGGGCTTAGGGATCACTCCTGGTGGGGTCTGGAGGACCACATGGATATAGGGTACTGGGGGATCACACCGAGGTTGCCCTCATGTAAGGCAAGTGCCCTATTCTCTGTAATAACGCTCAGGCCTCAGAAGCAGGACTTTTGCTTTCATTTTCCCTTTTGTCTTTTTTTTTTTAGCTGTCCCTGGGGGTGATCTGGAAAGCTTATGGAGTATGCCAGGTATTGAATTGGGGATGTGGGGGCTTGGAGAAAAAGTAGGGCAGGTAAGGGCACTTGCCTTGGACATGGCTAACCCAGGTTCAATCCCTGGCACCCTGTATGGTCCCCTGAGCCCTGCCAGGAATGATCCTTGAGCACAGTGCCAAGTTCAGCCCTAGGGGGCTGGAGGGATGACAGAGGGGAGGGCGCTTGCCTTGCATGCAGCCCACCCAGGTTCCATACCGGACATCATCCCATATGGTCCCCTAAGCCCCACCAGGAGTTATTTCTGAGTGCAAAGCCAAGGTAACCCCTGAGCATAGTGGCAGGTGGTTCAAACAACAATCAAAAAAACAAAAATAGGAGTCAGCCCTGAGACCACTGGGTATGGGTTCCCCCCCTCCCCCCCTTCCCTACCAAAAAAAAAAAACTGAACCGGGGTTGGCTGCATGACTGGCAGTGCCTTTACACTGCACTATACCCCCACAACCAGATGAATTCCCCTGAAACACAGACACAGTTCTCATTGTAACTGTTCCCTTGTGTACAGGACACCCCCGTTCCCCCTCCCCCTCACCCACACACACAATGCTCCTGGGCCTGCATAACTGTGCTCTCTGCTTCTCACCATCTGCTTGCTCCTCGTCCTTCCTGCCCATGGCCTCTCCCGGGCCTCAGTGTCCCCGCTCTGGGGCGGGGCAGGGGTATCTGCTTTGTGCCGGCCAGCAGGGCCTGGCACCGCCTAACACTTGGGACAGCCGCTGACAAGTCGGACCGGACGGCTGGGCTGTGGGGAGGACGGCCAGAGATCCCGCACAAGCGCCGTTTGTGTGGCGCCAGACCGCGCAGGGCACACGGGAAGAAAGGACAGGCTTATCCTGAGCGCGGAGGCTCCCCGGGGGGCAGGGGGCGGCCAGACCCTCCCCCAGCACCAGCTGGAGATCCCCGGACCAGCGAAGGGCGCGCTCGTCCCCCTGGCGGCAGCGGAGGGCACTGCAGGTGCAGGAGTACCCAGAAGCGGGAGTGGGGGTGGGGGGTGGGGGTGGGGGGGTCTGAGGCATGATTCTATCGCTGCTTCAGCCAGTCCTGGCATTGGGGGGGGCGTGGTTTTGAGGCCACAACTGGCGATGCTCAGGGACTGCTCCTGGCTCTATGCTCAGGAATCACTCCTGGCGGTGCTCGCAGATACTAATGGGATGCTGAGGATCGAACCCAGGCCGGCCGCGTGCCAAGAAAGCGCCCTCCCCGCTGTGCCATCGCCCCGCCCACTGTCATGCCATCTCCACGCGTGTTCATGAAGGTCGATGGGGGGATGGCAGGAGAGGGGCGTTGCAAAGAGCGGAGTCTGGACACTCGCTGTCTGTCTGTCCAGCGCTGTGCGTGGAGAAATGCTCACACAAAAATCTAATTCATACTAAAAGGCTGAGGCAGAAGAGACTCAAAGGGCCCAAAATATTTGACTTTTTTTCCCCCTGTTTTTGGGTAATACTCAGGGTTTACTCCTGGAAGGTTTGGGAGACCACAGGGGTGCCAAGGGACTGAACCTGAGTCAGTCAAGGCAAGAGCCCTACTAGATGTTCTGTCTCTCTGGCCTTCCCAAAATAATTGCTTTGGATTTTTTTTTACCTGTTTATTTTGGGGCCACACTAGGCAATGCCCAGGGCTTATTCCTGGCTCTGAACAGGGCTCACTCCTGGCGGTGCTCAGGGGACCTTCTGGAGTGCTGGGAACTGAACTTAGGTTGGCTACATGCGTGAAGTGCCTTAACCCTTATACTGTCTCTCCTGCCCAGAGAGTCTTCATTTATTAATTTTTTGTTTTAGGGTCACATCTGGCAATGCTCAGGGGTTATCCCTGACTCTGCACTCAGGAATTACTCCTGGTGGTGCTCAGGAGACCATATGGGGTGCTGGGAACTGAACCTGGGTCAGCCATGTGCAAGGCGAACGCCCGACTCCCTGTGTTATGGGTCCTGCCCCACAGACCAGTCTTTATTTTTCTTTGTTTTTTTAATTAAAAAAATACTTTTTAAAATGCATTTTTATGATGATTTGTTCAAGGCATTGAACACCAATCCCATCACCAAAATTAAATATTTTCTGTTGTTTTTGGGTTACACCTGACTCTGCACTCAGGAATTGCACCTGGCGGGGCTCAGGTGACCATATGGGATGCCGAGGGATGGAACCTGGCTTGGCCGCCTGCAAGACCCAGCACCCTCCCTACTGTACTGTCTCTCCAGTCCCAACCACGGACGCGTCCCTGAAACTTCAAACGCAAATGACAGAAAGATAGAGCAGTACATACATTTTCAAAGTTAGGGGTGCGAGCCCAGAATGACTCCTGCATATAAAAAGTCCCATAGGCCAACCCTTGGGAAACTCAGAGTCGGCAGGTTTTTTTTTGGGGGGGGGGTCACATTTGGCAATTTACAGGGGTTACTCCTGGCTCTGCACTCAGGAATTACTCCTGGCAGTGTTCGGGGGACCATACGGGGTGCTGGGAATCGAACCCGGGTGCAAGGAAATGCTCCACCCACTGTGCTATCGCTCAGGGTCAGCAGGTTTTGCCAGGTCAAGTTCTTTCGGGGTGATCTCTGGAAAACCCTAATCAATACTAGGTGCTCTTCAGATGGAGGGACCCTCCCTGCAGGAGCTTGCTGGGCCAAGGGGAATGGAAGACAGCTGGGGGGAAGGGAAGGTCATGAGCACTGCGCTCTTGGCCTGCCTTGGCCCTGCCCTGCTGCCCCCTACCTGCGTATAGCATCGCTGCAGCAGCCCTTTCTCCTTCAGCAGGCGGATGAAGTAGTGACAGATGGTCGGCTGCAGAGAACAATCAGTCAGGCATTGGGAATCCGTCCAGAGGTTGCACCCGCCTCAGCCCTCCCCCTCCCCCGTCTGCCCACCCTGCCCTTCCGCCAGTGCAAGTGCAGGAGCCCAGCACCGGGCCCATTTCACAGATGAGGACACTGAGGCCTGGGTGGGAGAGGGGGATGTCTGCTCCTGCCCCCTGGCTGGAGGGGAAAGGAATTGGGGTTTGCACAAAACCAGTCTGGCTCCAGCATCTGGGCTCTTACCAACTCACAGTCCAGAACAACCTTCCTCCTTGGCTACATCCAGCTTCATTTTACAGGAGGGAAACAGAGGTCCCAGGAAAGGAGGGGCCAGCAGCAGGCGTCCCACACAGGGCCTCCCAGCCAGGGCCCAGGTACTTAATGGCCCTCTGACATTTTGTTTTGTTTTGGGGGCCACACCCAGTTATGGCAGAGCTGACCCTGGCTCTGCACTCAGGGATCACTCCGTGAGGACTATATGAGGTACCAGAGATAGAACCTGGGTCGGCCGCATGTAAGGCAAATTTCCTCCCCGCTGTGCTATCATACTGACACCCTCTCTCTTGACATTTGTCTGAGGGTTCAGGGTTCCTTCCCATACCCGTTGTCAGAGAGAGAGAGAGAGAGAGAGAGAGAGAGAACTTACCTTGAACTGCCCGGGATAGAGTTCCTTGGCGAGGGCAAAGAAGGGCTCTGGATGTTTCTGTGGGTGAGACACCGCGGGCAGATGGGCACTCAATGTCCACCCACTTCCCGCCCTGTCCTGGCAGACACCCTCCCAGGCCATCACGCACCTTGAAGAAGCCAATCTCAAAGATGGCCTCGGGGTAGGGCAGCTTGTACTTCTCCAGGTTGGCGTAGAGCCCGGTGGTTGGTGAGCGGAAGTCAGGGATGCCAGAGGCTGGGAAGGAGGGTCATACATGGGGACCCTGCCCCATCTACACCACAGGGGCCCCCCTCTCCAGGTGAGGACCCCCCACATGGCTTCTCCCGCCTGGGAGTGGGGGGGGGGTTGGGGTAGCAGAGCGGCACTTACATGTGGAGATTCCAGCTCCCACCATACAGATGACCCTGCGGCCTGGCGGAGAAGTAGACACGTCACATGATGCACAGGGTGAGGGAGGGACCCCACAAGAACCCCCAGCCCCAGGCCATAGAAATATACACAAGAGAAAGGGCATTTGCCTTGCACATGCCCAACACGGGTTTGACTCCTGGCACCCCATAGGGTCCCCTGAGCCGGCCAGAAGTGATCCCTGAGTGCAGAGCTGGAAGTAAGCCCTGAGCACAGCCTCAAAACTAAACACCAGGGTATGGGGCAATAATACAGTGGGTAAGGCGTTTGCCTTGCACGCGGTCGACCCAGGTTCGATTCCTAGCATCCCATGTGGTTCCCTGAGCACCGCCAGGAGTAATTCCTGAGTGCATGAGCCAAAAAGAAAAAAAAAAATCTAAACACCAAAAAAGAAAAAACCTTCAGCCCCTTCGCTGCTCCTTGTGCACCAACTTCTCAGATATAGTGATGGTTCTGCCACCCCATGGAACAAATGGGGCAACATAGCGTGGAAAGGGGAGAGGGGACTGTCCCAACACCACAGACGGAGAGGCCGGTATGGGGACAGAGAGTCCAGCGCTCGGGACGAGGCCCACTGAGAAAGGGCTTGCAGAGACAAGCTTCTTCTCACTAGGTCTACTCAAAACCAGCCTGAGAATGGTTTTGTGGGTTTTCCCGTTGTGGGAAGTGGCACCCCCCACCCCCATCCCCACCCCACCAGGGCTGCCAGTTATTTAAAACCAAGTCTTGGGGTGGGGGAGGTGAGGGCTAAAGCTGTGAGCTCTGTCCTGGGCGTCCAGGTTCTTGATTTCTCCACAGCCTTGAGCACAGCAGATCCGGGTTCGAGCCTGGCACCTCACATAGTGCCCCAGAGCTATCGAGAGCATCCCGCCCGCACAGCAGACTCTGAGCACAGAGCTGGGAGCAAGTCCCTAGCATGGCCAGGTATGACCCCAAAATAACAAACGGAAACAAGTCTTTGGGGGAGGGAGGGAGACTGAAGCAATAGTGCAGCAGGTAGGGCGTCTGCCTTGCAAGCGGTGGACCTAGTTTCAATCCCTGGCACCCCCCGCCCACCCCAAGCCCTTTCAGGAGTGGACCCTGAGCGCAGAGTCAGAAGTTAGCCCTAAGCACTGCTGGGGGCGGCCCCCAAACCAGAACCAACCAACCGAACAAAACTCCCAGGTCCTTGGACACATCCGGGGTGATCCTCTACTTTTGGCAGGTGTGAGAGTTCCTGGGACCCCTCGATCCTCCCATCCTCTCGAGCTGACACGACTAAGTTCCAGCACACACCCACCGCCCAGGAACCTGGGAGCTTTTAGGGACCTGCCACATGGCTGGCCAGTGACTTGTTGTTACTGTTTTTGGCATATCGAATACGCCACGGGAAGCTTGCCAGGCTCTGCCGTGCGGGCAGATAGCGACAGCACCGTGGATAGGGCATTTGCCTTGCATGCAGCCAACCCAGGTTCGATTCCTCAGCCCCTCTCAGAGAGCCCAGCAAGCTACCAAGAGTATACCGCCCTCTTGGCAGAGCCTGTCAAGCTCCCCGTGGCGTATTCGATATGCCAAACACAGTAACAAGTCTCACAATGGAGACATTACTGGTTCCCGCTTGAGCAAATCGATGAACAACGGGAAGACAGTGCTACAGTGGACAGTGCAGTGGTACCACATGGCGGGCCACACAGCCAACACCCCGTAACCAGGGGAGCAGGTAAGGCCTTCAACCCGGCCCTCCTACTCTGCAGCCGTGGGATCTCAGCCAGGGGACTCCTCTGGGGTCTGCTGGCTCTGCCATGGTCTACATAGTCCTGCACCTGTGGCCCCTGTGGCCACTGTCATTCAAGAGTCGATGCTTCTTGAGCTTCTAGAACCCTGAGGCTCACATGTTTAGAAGCACAGCGTCCCTGGAACATTGGGGTGCGGGCTGGGGGGCCTCCGTGGTGCAGGAGGACTCAGTCCACATCTACCCTGGGTGTGAAAGTAGCCCATGGAACCTCAGCGGCTGGAGGGGCACGGCCCTCCCATGCAGCTGCTGGGACAGACGCACATGTCAGAGCTCTGGGGGATTTTGCCTAAGCAAAGTGAGTCTGCCGCCTCCATGGCCAGACCCCGGGGTGGGACCCTTTGCTCTGGACTCAGCGGGGCTGGGTTCCTTCCTGGCTCTGCCTCTCTCTGGCTGTGACTCACTGTCTCCCTGGGTCTCAGTTTCCTCCTCTGTCCAGATCTCCCTGGAACCGGGGGAACATTAACCACAAGAGCTGCGTGGGCTTTGCACGCCTGAGGCCCTGGGTCTGATTCCCAGCACCATTAAAACTCATAATACTAAAGATCAAACAAGAAGACGCCTGTAAAGGCCTGAGCTTGAGAGCCTGATAAGCACCGGATGGAACTGGGGTGATGATGTACTGCGAGCCCTCAGAGGTGCTTCTCCGCAACCCAGGTGCAGGGGAGCAGAGGGAGTCAACACTACCTCCTCCAGGCCCCGAGCACTGGCACACGGGCTACAGCATTGGTACACAGCTGCAGCCGGCTGTGGGGCCAGCCAAGAGTGGGGCCCAGGGCAGGGCGAAGGTCACGACTCAAGGCAGGGAAACCAGAAAAGGTCTTATCAACAGGCTGTTCTGGAGGGGCGGGAGCAATAGCACAGTGGGTAGGGTGTTTGCCTTGCACACGGCCAACCTGGGTTCGATTCCCAGCATCCCATATGGTCCCCCAAGCACCGCCAGGGGTAATTCCTGAGTGCAGAGAGTGCAGAGCCAGGAGTAACCCCTGTGCATTGCCGGGTGTGACCCAAAAAGAAAAAAAAAAAAGAAGGCTGTTCTGGGGGGCTGGAGTGATATAGCACAGTGGGGAGGGAATTTGCCCTACACAAGGCTGACCCAGGTTCGATCTCCAGCATCCCATAGGGTTCCCTGAGCACCACCAGGAGTAATTCCTGAGTGCAGAGCCAGGAGGAACCCCTGAACAATGCTGGGTGTGAGCCCCAAGAGCAGAGAGAGAGAGAGAGAGAGAGAGAGAGAACAGACTATATAGAACCCTCAAAGGGATGACTGTGGTCTGGGTTCTCCAACTCTGGCCACCTGGACTCTCTGTCCACCCCCGCAGGCCTCCTTGAGAGCCAGCCACAGAGTCCAAGGCTGCAGTGGCTGCTGCGCCCCCTTCAATCTGTCCCTTTGAGCTAGTCCCTGACTGTCCTCAGGCCAGTGAGAAGCAGGGGGAGATGAGACCCAGGGCCAGCCCTGCACAGACACACAGGCTCGGGGACACAGTGACCTGTGGTGCCGGGGATGGAGCCTGTGCCCCAGCCCTTCGAACCATCTGACAGTGTGAGGGAGACAGAACAGCTCCCACCCCACACTGCTCAGAGCAGGCTTTAGGGTCAGGGCGAGTTGATGCTTGTAGGCCAGGCCTGAGTGCTCTGGTGTCTCGCGAGAAGTGTGTGGGCTGGGGGGCGCTGGCCGAGTGGGGTGCAGGGTACTCACAGCGCTCACTCTGCATGTAGCGGGACACCCCCTCCAGGGTCAACTCATCCAGGAGACGCTCTTTCTGGGAACCCAGACCCAGGGTCTGGGAGAAGAAATTCCGCAGGAAGTCCACTGGGCGCGGAAGAGAAGGCAGTGAGTGCGGGGCTGGGGCTGCGCTACCACCCCCAACCCAGGCCCCAGGGCTGGTCCAGCCAGGGATCTCGGGGTGCAGGCACCCCAGGTCACAAGCTTCACGGTCACCACCACCCCCACCTCCCGTCCCAGTCCCACCCCCCACACCTGCGCCCAGGAGTGATACTCACTCTCCGCTTCTCCGCCCACGGCTCCTTCCTCAGAGTCAGAATCGGAGTCCTGGAAGGGGTGGGGTGGGGTGACCAGGCCCGAGAAGTGGGGTTAGGGAGCGAGGGTGCCACCAGGGTTTGGGGGAAGGCTCTGGTGGGCCTGAGGGCACGTGCAGGGAGCAGGGGCAGTTGGGGACATAGCTCTGTACTGAGGTTAAGGGGTCCTGCTGCACACAGAGTTGGGGGTGCTGGGTGGAGGAGGAAGGGGGTGTGCCCAGGTGAGGTGCTCCAGAAACACGGGCCACACTGTTATGTATGTGCAGAGGTTCATGGGGGGCGGGGGGCACCTCAAACCCTACACCACTCTTGGGTTGGGGGCCCTGACGGTTCCCCCTGGGCAGTGCCCCTTACACGGCCAGCCTCCATCTGGCAGCCTGCCCCCCCAACCCCATTTTCCAACCCTCTGTCTCTTTATCCTCTCCTTCCCTTGGCCGGGCTCCCCAGTCTGCTCTCTGGGCTCTGTCCTGGCATACCCCCCACTCCCCCTGCACTACTTGCCTTGGTCATGCCCTCGCCCAATCCTGAGAGATGCCACCTCTTCCCAGATCTGGACTCCCATGACACTTCCCTTAGGGTGACCCCTCCCTGCCCAACTCCTTACTGCCGTAGCATCTCCCCCAAATCACTCCTTCTCCTGGGCCCTGCCTCAGTGTGGGCCCTGCACCCCCAAAGTCTGCTAGACACCTCCCGCCTCCCTCCCCCAACTTCCTGTCCCTCCTCAGGCTGGTCTGACCTGTCCTCCCCACCCATAGCCCCCCAAGAGCGTGGCATGTCTGGGCTGACCCCCCACTCCCCCCTCTCAAAAGCCGTTTCCCCTGGGCCAGGATGATAGCACAGCAGGTAGGGCATTTGTCTTGCATCTGGCCGACCTGAGTTTGATCACCAGCATCCCATATAGTCCTCCAAGCACCGCCAGGAGTGATTCCTGAGTGCAGAGCCAGGAGGAACCCCTGAGCATCACTGGGTGTGAACCCTTCCACCCCCCCCAAAAAAAGCAAAAAAAAAAAAGCCTTTTTCCCATCTGCTCTATCTTTTAGGGCAATACTGCCAGCCACCTGGGCTCGCCCAGTGCCGAGGGTAGGATCTGGCTTCTGCTGGGGCTCCCAAGCCAAATGAAGCCCCTCTGTGTGCATGGCCAAGGTGGGACCCTGCAGGGCGGCTCCCCACAAGGGCAGCTGGGTCCAACTCACTCTCCTGCCTCCAACAACCCCCTCTCTCTCTTCACTCACAGTCGGGGTATGGGGGGCCCACAGCTTAAACTGGAAGCTCCCTTCCTTCCCAAGAAACTTTCCCGATTTTAGCTGTCAGGCACTTTTGCCTGAGTAGTTATTAACAGAAACGGTTATTCCTCCAGAGTTTTGCTCCAAACAGAAAAATCATTCATGGGGGCCGGAGCAATAGTTCAGCAGAGAGGGCATTTGCCTTGCATGCAGCCGGCATGCAAGATTCGATCCCCAGCATTCCATAGGGTGCCCGAGCACCATCATGAATAATTCCTGAGTGAAGAGCCAGGAGTAACCCCTGAGCATTGCTGGGTGTGTTCCCGAAATCAAAGGAAAAAGAAAATTCATTCTTGGACTGTGAAGATGGTACAGTGGGAGTCAGAACACGTGGCTTGCAAGCAGGAGCCCTGAGTGTGAGTCCCAGAACTGCATGGTCCCTTGAGAATCACTGGGCAGGGCTCCAAACCCCAAATAAAGAAATAAACATGGAATGGGAGCGATAGCACAGCAGGTAAGGAGCTTGCCTTGCAAGTGGCCGGCCTGGGTTTGATCCCCAGCATCCCATATGGTCCCCTGAACACTACTAGGAGTGATTCCTTAGTGCAGAGACACCCCTGAATATCATCAGGTGTTACCCCCCTCCAAAACAAACAAACAAACAAAAAAAAACTAAATAAATGAACATGGGATAGAGTGACAGTACAGCAGGTTTTAAGTCGCTTGCTTTACTTGTGGCTGACAATCCCTGGCACCCCATATGACCCCCTTAGCCCTGCCAGGAGTGATCCCTGAATGCAGAGCCAGAAGAAATTAATTTTCCTGAGCATTGTTGGTGAGACCCCCAATCCAAAATTAATAAATAAGTAGATAAATAAATAAAATTAATTTGTAGTCCAGAAGTTCACACAATGCTGTCCCATCATTTTCTACAGCCATCTAGGACAGACCCCCCCCCCCCCCAACACACACACTTCCCAGTAGCCAGCGGGACCACGGTCAGGGCCCACATAGGCTCACTAGACCACCTGCTGCTGGTCACCCACATCCAGGCCTTCTCCAGCTCTGGCCCGACACACCACCACAATCAACAGAATGCCTGGCTTTGGCAACTTTATAGCATCAAATCTTGTTTCTTGACACTGGTAAATCGGCTGTACAGAAGATCTGACACTGGGGCCAGAGAGATAATACAGCGAGTAGGGTTGCCTAGAAGGACTCTTGCCTTGCATGCGGCTGACCTGGGTTCGATCCCCCGGCATTCATACGGTTTCCAGAACTCACAAGGAGTGATTCCTGACTGCAGAGCCAGGAGTAAGTCCTGAGCACTGCCAGTGTGGCTGACAAAAACAGCAACACCAAAAAAAAAAAAAGAAGCCCCGACACCTTCTGGCCCTGTCTGGAAGGTGCCTTCTCCCTCCGCAGTTCCTGCCCTGGCCCACTCTAGAAGCTTCCCTGGACCTGGGGGCTGAAGGTGCTGGCAAGCCGACAGAACAGCGGGGGCTCTGCAGAAGGAACTCAGGACTCTGCCTCAGAGCTGGGCACAAGAGGGCTTAAAGGGTGGGCTGGAGGAGCCCCAAGCCTCCTTCCCTGCTCCTCTGGTCAGACAGAAGGACAGAGGCAAATTCTTTAGCTACTCTGCCTCCAATGCCTCATCTGTGAAATGGCCCCAGATTTGCTGCCCACCTTTGCCCAAGAGAAAGGGCGGTGCAAAACTGCAGGAAAAGCCCTAAGACACCAGCCCTGATCCCCCCCACAACCCGGCCACTGATTCCTGAACTATCACCCCACCCCCCCACCCAGGCTGCACCTAACACCAGCCCTAAAATTCGAAATCACCCCTCACTTGGTACAATGCATCGGCAGCTTGGAGTGCACCCCAGACCCACCTGGGATCCCTCCAGGAATGGGGCCTGGCAGACTCCTCCCCACACACCAACCCCCACCACAAAAACTAACTCTAAGGTCCCAAGGGGCTCTGAGTTATCATCACCCCAGAGGGTCACTTTCCTGTCCCTTGTCTCCCCCAGTCCAGGAGAGCCCTGGATTTGGGATCAAATCAGAGACCTGCCACTCTCTGGTCCAGCACAGGTGAGGTTCAGAAGGAATGGGGGTCGGGGGAGGGAGCAAGGAAAGAGGAATATTTTGGGAGGGCAGACCGGGGCTCCAGGCCACACACCCCATCTACATAGTCCCCCAAACCACAATTCCCTGGAGCAGTAAGCTGAGGGCCCAGGGGAACTGTCTTCCCTTGGCCACCTCCCTCCCACCCACCCCCATCCCCTGTTGGGGTGTGCAAGCAATTCCAACTCTCTCCTTCCCTCCACCCTTGCCCACCATCTCACCTGAGCCTCCTGCACCTTCCCTGTCTGGGTCTCCACAGGGTCAGAGGCTGGGGGAGCAGATGTGGTTATAGACGAGGGAATGGTTAAGGAAGAACTCAAGAGTTCCAACGCAGGGGGCTGGGGCTGGGGGGGGGGGGCAAGATACTCCCCTCACTTAGTTATTCTGGGATAGGAGATGGTGGGTCGAGGCAGGATAGAGGGAGGGGAGGGGAAAAGGCAGAGATTAATGGAGTGTGTGAGACAGGACAGAGGCTGGATGAGAGAAAGGGGGAGGACACGGCCTCAGAAAGGGGATCAACTGGGTGCTGTACGTGAATGGAGAGTTCTGTTTAAGGACAAAAAGAAGTTTCCCAAGGAACAGAGGAGAGACACTCCAGCTGGAGGTGGGTTTGGGAGAGGCGGTGTGCAGGTGGATGTAGGGTTTCCGCGAGGCGCGGGAACTGGGGGAAGAGACAGGAGGGGACGCCCGGGGTTCCGCTAGCATCCCACACGACTCCCCCCAACTCCCCTGGCAACTGGGATCGCGCCAACCTAAAGTCCTCTGCAACCCGGATCCTCAGTAAAGTGCGAGAAACACACGATCACCAGCGATCACGATCACGGCGAACGGGGCGAACATACCCGTGAATTCTCGCGATCCAGACACCCACCAACTTAATCCAATGGATCACTTGGCAACTGCCCCGAACCCCGCTCGTCTCCCTTTCCCCGCCCAGCCGCAAGGCAGCCGGGATCTCCTGCCCGATCTCGGGCCCCGGGGCCTGCAGCCTTCAGCCAGGCCCCGGCGCGGCCCGACCCTCCCACCCGTGCCCCCGACTCACGGTCCGGCTCGGCCATGGGTGCGGGGCGGGGGCCCTCGGGGCTGTCACCGACTTCTCTGTCCCGTGACGGCACCGGAAACAGGAGGGGCAGACGAGAACTACATCTCCCAGCAGCCACCGCGGGTCCATGCACGTTCTCCGTGAAAGCCGGGAGCGCGCCCCTCTCAGGTAAGGAAGACACGCTCCGTTCGGACTACAAGTCCCAGAGTGCCCCGCGCTGGCAGCCATGTTGGTAAAGGGCGCTGGGAAACTGTGGAAACGCAGCCTCAGTCCATCTGATATTCTGATTGGGTATGTTGTAGAACGGGGCGGGGCGCGTGCTATTTAGACCACCCTGATTGGGTGAGTCAGGGGGCGTGTTGGGGAATTCCCCGCAGGGCGGAAGCGCCCGAACTCCAGGCAAAGCCCAGCGACGGGCTGGAAGCTGTGGGGAGCCCTTGAATCTTCGGGGGCTATGGCAGGGGTCGCGTGCTTGGGGAAGACTTCGGATACTGACGAATGGTGCGACAGTGGCCTGGGCTCTCTGGGTCCGGACGCAGCAGCCCCCGCAGGACCGGCGCTGACCGCTGAGCTGGGCCCGGGGCTGTCGTGGGAGCCCCTCGTCTTTGGCTACGTCACAGAGGACGGGGACACGTGAGTGAAACTTGGGCTGCCCAGCGGGACCTTGCGTCCGATATCTGCTCAGTTTCTGATACTGGCCGGGTTACCCCTTCTTCCCAAACCAGACTTCTGATGCTTGACATCCTGACCTCTAACCCTCTTACTAAAACCGAATAATTTCTGACCTGCATTTCTTGAGTTCTGGGTTTCAAAAGTCCCACATCCTGGGCCGGAAAGAGTATAGCCGGCAAGCGCTTGCCTTGCTGGAGTTCGAACCCGGGTTCGATCCTTATCCTCAGCGTTCCATATGGTCCCCTGAGCATTGCTAGGAGTGATCCCAGATCGCTGAGCCAGGTGTAACCCCTGAGCATCACAGGGGGTGGCCCCAGAACAAAAACAAAAAAGAGCCCCACATTCCTATCTATTGATTTAAAAGCTCTAGGTGACCTTCCTGACCCCATTCCTGAGCTCTTGGTTGGAAGGTGTAGCTCAGGCAGGCCCCTCCTGAACTCTGACCTCCAAATAGGATTTCTGACCCTTGGCTCCTGGTACATCCAAGTCCTAGATTTTGATATTCAAGTGAAATAATTAGCAGCGCCCTTTGGGAGATGCTGGCCAGCCTGCTCGGGTATGTAATTTCTTTATATGGGTCCCTCTCTTGCTTCCTCTGTGTTTCTGTCTCTGTAGCTGTCTGTCTCAATTTTCCTTAGCTTCCTCTACTTACTGGGGCTGGAGAGATAGTTCAGGACATAGGCACTTCTCCCACTGAATATGGCTGGCCTCAGTTGGATCCCTGGCACCACATGGTCAGCACCACCGGGTATGGCCCCAGCTTTGCTTTTTTTTTTTTTTTTTGTTAAAGAGGTTTGGGGGGACCAGAGCAATAGTACAGCAGGGAGGGCATTTGCCTTGCATGCAGCCAGTATGCAAGATTCGATCCCTGGCATTCCATATGGTCCCCTATGTATTGCCAGGAATGATTCCTGAGTGCAGGGCCAGTAGTAACCCCTGAATTTTGCCGGGTCTGACCCGAAAAGGAAAAGGAAGAGGAAAAAAGGTTTTTGGTGGAGATTGGGCCACTAACAGCTGGTGTTCAGGGGTTATTTCTTGCTCTCTGCATCAGAATGACCCCTTAGGGTGTTCAGGGAACCATTTGTGGTGCCAGGTATTCAAACTTTCAAACAAGGGTGAGTTGTGTGCACTGTAAGACTGACCTCCTGTACTATCTCTTCAGCCCCTAAAACTTTTCAGTTGTTTCCATATCTTGGTTATTGTACTAATCGCTGCAATGAACATAGGCATACATCTATCTTTTTGAATGAATATTTTTGTGCAAAGCATCCTTTGGGGGCTGGAGACAGTACAGTAGGGAGGGCATTTGCCTTGCACATGGCTGGCCCGGGTGCCATCCCCAAATCCCATATGGTCCCCCAAGTACTGCCAGGAGTAATTCTTGAGTGCAGAACCAGGAATAACTTCTGAGCATCACCAGGTGTGTGTGTGTGTGTGTGTGAGAGAGAGAGAGAGAGAGAGAGAGAGAGAGAGAGAGAGAGAGAGGAAAGCATCCTCTAATTGTACCCAAGTCTATTATTCTGTTTCTCTAGCTGCACACTATTCTTTTTTTAAAAAATTTTTTCTTCCCTTTTTCTTTTTGGTTTGTGGGCCATACCTGGCAGTATTCAGTGCTTACTCCTGGCTCTGTGCTCAGGATCGTTCCTGGAGGGGCTCGGGAGACCAAATGGGATGCTGAGGATCGAACCTGGGTTGGTTGAGTGCAAGGCAGACATCATCCCTGCTCTACTGTTACTTCAGCCCCTACACCATTGTTAGTGACTATTTGTTTTCTCTGTTTTTGTTTGTTTGTTTCTTTCTTTCTTTCTTTGCTTGCTTTTGGACCACACCTGACAATGCTCAGGGCTTACTCCTATCTCTGTGCTCAAGGACCACTCCTGGTGATGCTCAGGGAACCATATGTGGTGTCAGGGACCAAACCCAGGTCAGTCACATGCATAATAAATGCTCTATCCACAAGGTGTGCTATCTCTCTAGCCCAAAGAAAATATTTATTTATTGATTTTTGCTTTTTGTGTCACACCCGGCAAGGCTCAGGGACTATTTCTGCCTCTTGCACTCAGGAATTACTCCTGGCGGTGCTTGGGGGACCATATGGGATGCTGAGGACTGAACCCGGGTTGGCCCATGCAAGGCAAATGCCCTCCCCACTGTACTATCACTCCGGCCCAAGAAAATACTTATTTTCTTTTTTCTTTTTTTTTGGGGGGTGGCGGCCATCCTGGCTCTGTACTCAGGGATCACTCCTGGTGGTACTCAGGAAATCATATGGGGTACTTGGCATAGAACCCGGGTCAGCCATGTGCATGGCAACTGCCTTTCTGCTGTAGTATTGCTTCAACCCCGCAACCATATCCTTTCTGATGACAAATATTCTATTTGTTCTGTCAATTGTTAAGTGATAGGTATTGAAATCAACAGTCATTAGGCGTTCATTTATTTCTCCATAGTTTAGTCAGGTTTTACTTTGTGTAATTTGATGTGATTAGGGACACACTTGCTTAGAATTTTTCTGTTGCTTAATTGGCCTCTTACATTGCAAAATAATCTATCTTGGTAATCCTTGTTCTGAAATCTTTAATATTACAACTTCTGCTTTCTTTGGAATAACTGGAGTTAGCATAGTTTAACTATTCCCTACCCTTTTGTTATTCTATTTATTTTGATTTGGGGAGTATTGGTGGTGGTGGGGGGAGAAACATTACACCCGGCTGTGCTCAGGGCTTACTTCTGGAGGACTTGGGGGACCATGTATGGTACGGGGGACCAAACCCATTATTTGATTTTTAAATAGGGGTTACTCCTAGCAAAACTCTGCCCATGTAGCCCATGGCGCTTGGTATGCACTAGCGGCTCACCTGATACTGGGATTGAACTTGGGCTCTTTGCATATGGTAGGTGTATGAGTGCTCTTCCTGGGCCTCACATCCTTCCAGGGGGAGCGTCCCAAGTGGTGCTCAGGAGGCCCAGGGGATCCTCCCTGATTGTTGGCCAACCAGGCCAGTGTTTCGATTCAAGAGCCTGAGGCAGTACTGCTGATGATTATCTGGGCCACACATGGGGATGCTCAGGGGCCCCCAGGGTTCCACATGGCTAATCTTAGGGGACTCTATGGTGCCGGTGATTGAACCAGGGTGGATGACATTGAAGACATGTGCTTTAACCGCTGAACTGCCTTTCCAGGTTCCCTCAGCCTTTTATCTTTAACCTTTGAAAATATTTATGTTTAGGGGCCAGAGTGATAGTACAGCAGGTAGGGTGCTTACCTTGCACATGGCTAACCCAAGTATTACTCTTTGTAGGAAAGGAAAGCCAGTCCTAGGCCTTACCCAGGTCTTAAAGTCCCTTGCCTCTCACTCAGAAAAGAATTTCAGGAGTAGATGAGCAGTGAGGTAAAAACAGATTTTATTTGGAGGCTTTCTGAGGAAGGGGAAGGAGGGAGAGAGAAATTGAGTAATGCGTTCAAGAGAGAACGTGAACTTCTCTGAAGGTGGCGAGAGCCCCAGTACACATCTCAAGAGGGGAGATGCAGGCGACACATGTGCTCGGGCACCACATGTGCTTAGCCATACGGACATAAACAGCACATGGGCTTGGGCACATGCTTCATTAGTTCAAGTTGGCTTTTACAGGGTTTCTCTAAGCTGCCCCACATGGGGCTTTCTAGCTAGATAAGAGTCTGTTGCTAGCTTGGTTGCCAAGGCGGCGGTAGAGGTGGGATGTCTTCTTTGACTCCTTTCTTGACCTTAGCTACTCTGGAGCTTCTCTTAGAGGATGGTCCGGCTTTCTCTAGTCTAAGCTAGTAAAGGTCTTATCAAGTCTTCCTTCCTGTATCCTCAACGTGGGTCCTGACAGCCTGTTGGACTAGTTGGTTATTTCTTCCCAGGAATTCCCATCCCTCTCTACCTGCCTGCATTATTTATATTTAAAGAGTTTTTCTCCTAGGAAGCATATCTTTGGATTTTGCTTTTCATTCAGTCTGACATTTTCTCCCTTTTTTTTTTTTTTTTTTGCTTTTTGGGTCACACCTGGCGATGCACAGGGGTTCCTCCTGGCTCTGCACTCAGAAGTTACTCCTGGCGGTGCTCAGGGGACCATGTGGGATGCTGGGAATCGAACCCGGGTCGGCCGCGTGCAAGGCAAACGCCCTCCCCGCTGTGCTATCTCTCCAGCCCTATTTTCTCCCTTTTAATTGAACTTCTTAGATCATTTATATAGTAGTAGATCTCCAATCTTGATCTTGTTATGTTTGTCATCTTTTTTGTTTTATCATTTGTCAGCTTTCCGAACTGTCTCTTCTTTCACTCTTTCCTCTGTTGCTGCTCTAATTTCCAAGCGAGTCGGTTTTGATCCAGTCTGTTTCATTTGCTCATTAGCTTCAACTGCTTTGTTTTGTTACTTTAGTGGCTGCTTTGAAACACATAATTTTGCCAACCACCTGCTTTTGGGTGGCAGGGAGCTGAGGAAGAAAGTTTTTACATCACTTCAGGGTTGAACAAAAGCCAGAAAATGCCTCTTCTGAAGTGAAAATGAGGTGAAGTGCAGATTTCAAAACCTCTACAAATAAAGTTCCTTCAGAGTCCAGCCACTTGCCCTTGTTTTTGTAGGGCAAGTGGTTTCCTTTGGAATCCAGCAGTTAAGCAGAGTTGGAAATGGGGAGACCTTCAGATTTGCTAAGCCCGAGATCAACATCTACGATCTAGGGGCCGGAGCAATAGTACAGCAGGGAGGGTGCTTGCCATGCACGTTTCCAGCCTGAAGTGTGGGCTCTGACCCCTCCAGGAGTGACCCCTGAGTGCAGAACCAGGAGTAAGCTCTGAGCACTGCCAGGTGAGTCCCCAAAACAAATGAACAAACAGAAAAACCATATCTGTACCTATTCAGGTCTATAGCTATATCTAAGTATCTATAACTATGTTTGTCTAGAGCTACACATCCACATCTCTATCTCCGTCTCCATCACTCTAAATCTGCACGGTCCCCATACATCTCCAGGAGCAATCCCTGAGTACTGAGCTGGGGTAGCCCCTGAGCACCGCCAGGTGTGGGACACCCTTATCCCCCACCCCCCCAAATTTTGTTTCTTTGTTGTAGTCTTTTTGTTAAACTTTGGGCTTGGGGGCACAGCTGGTTGTGTTCAGGGGCTACTCCTGACTCTGCTGAGGGTCGTCACTTCCTGCAGTGTGTTGGAGGGATCATGAGGTATAGGGGATCAAAACCTGAGTGAACGACAGACTGCCAGAGTCCTTGGCCCCTGTGGTCTGACCGGCACATTTGTCCACAGGGCTCTGCACTTGGCGGTGATTCATCAGCACGACTCTTTCCTAGATTTCCTTCTAGGCTTCGCGGCCGGCACTGAGTACTTGGATCTGCAGAACGACCTGGGACAGGTGACCCACGTGGAGGGGCAGCAAAATGGGACGTAGGGCCCAGGGCCTCTGGACGCCCGCTAACCCCGGCCCTTTGCTCCTGCAGACAGCCCTGCACCTGGCAGCCATCCTGGGGGAGGAGTCAGCTGTGGAGAAGCTGTACGCGGCGGGTGCCGGGGTGCAGGTGGCGGAGCGCGGGGGCCACACGGCGCTGCACCTGGCCTGCCGCTCGGGGGCGCACGCGTGCGCCCGCGCACTGCTCCGGCCCCGGCCCCGCTGCCCCCGAGGGGCCCCCAACACCTACCTCACTCAGGGCTCCGGCCCTCACACGGACGACAGCCCCGCCGCGGAGAAGGAGGGGGAGGAGGAGCGGGAGAGCGAGCAGGACTGGAGGCTCCAGCTGCAGGCCGAGAACTACGAGGGTGAGGGGCCCACCGACCCCAGCCGGATTGCCGAGGGCTGGGTCGGTGGGACACAGGCCCCGCATCGGACCACTCAAGCACTCGGTCTGACGCTGCTGGGGGCCTGTCATAGGGCGGGGCAGAGAGGCTATCATTCAGATGTGGGGTCCTGGGGTTCAATCCCGGGCACTGCAGAATAAACACACACACCCCCACTCATACCACACGTGCCCCCCCCACCATACTTTATCACATGCACCCACACACACAACATACCACTCACATCGCACGTGTACACGTACTCCCCACCACGTACCCACATACACGCACACATCACATACCCCACCCAACCACACATACCACACGTGCCCCCACCATACTTTCACACATGCCCACACACACAACATACCACTCACATCGTACACACATACCCCCACCACGTACACACGTACATCACACATCACATACACACCACATAGACTCACACCACACACCCCCCGTGTGCTCTGCACACCACACTTATCACATACACACTCCCACAGACAACATACCACACACATCCTATGTATACCCCCACACTACATACACAAACTCCTTCCTTCCCCCCAACTGCCCACAGCCCCCTAAAACATTGTGCAGACGTACTTTTACACACACACACACACACACACACATAGAATGCCCATGCCTCCCCCACACATACTACCCCCATATAACACTCACGCCCCCGACACATGTACTTCCCCCCACATGTATACACACCCACATGTATACACACCCACACACACACTTCCCCCCCCCCCCCCCCCGCCTTGCACACTGCTCACACATCCAGCCTGTGTGCTCCTGGACCCCCTCCCAGGCTTCCATTCCACAGACCAGCCCACCCATGATGAGGAAACCAAGTCAAAGGCCCCCTGTGAAATGCGGGCAGCCCAGGCTCCCCAACACTGATTCTGGTGCTCCAGGACACCTCCCTTATCTCGGCCATTGGGAGGGGGAATAGATATCTGCCCGGGGCCTGGCCCCTGACCCCTCAGCCCAGCTCCATGGGACCAGGCCCCTCCATAGAGGCGGGCCGGCCAGCAGCCCACGTTCAGGGCCTCCCCGCACCCCACTAACTCAGGCCTTGGGCCTCTCAGAACCCGAGGAACTGAGCCGTGTAAGTCGACCTTTGTAAGTAGACCAGAGGCTCTGGCATGGTCAGGACTGGTCCCCAGATCCGGTTCTCCTGTCCAAGTGCCCCAGCTCTACCCCACGGGCCCCCAGGCATTGCAGCCCGGCCACAATCCAGGCCATCTGGGACAGACATTTGGGGTGCGGTGCCCCTCACATGCTCAGGAACTCAGGATTGAGACTCCACACTGGGGTGCCCCTCAGTCTCCTCCTGCAGGGACTCGGTCGTTCACCGATTTCCCCATCTTTTGACCCCAGGCCACACTCCGCTGCACGTGGCTGTCATCCACAAAGATGCAGAAATGGTCCGGCTGCTGAAAGAGGCTGGAGCTGACCTCAACAAAACGGTGAGTGAATGTGTGTGTGTGCGTGTGTGTGTGTGGGTCCCCCCTAGGGAACACGGGGGTTCCCCACAGTCCAGCGAGTGTTGACCTCTCTGCCATCCCTCCCCTGGCAGGAGCCCACCTGTGGCCGAAGCCCCTTGCACTTGGCAGTGGAGGCCCAGGCAGCTGACGTGCTGGAGCTTCTCCTGACGGCTGGGGCCGACCCCACTGCCCGCATGTATGGTGGCCGCACCCCTCTGGGCTGTGCCACCCTCCGGCCCAACCCTGACCTTGTGCAACTCCTTCGTGAGCGAGGAGCCCCTGAGCCTGAGGAGGAGGAGGACGATGACGATGACGATGATGATGACAAGCCCAGCCTCTGTAGCAGCAGTGGAGACAGTGACAGTGACTGCGGGGATGAGGCAGTGAGTTGGGGAAAGATGGGGGCGGGGCGGGGCGGGGCGGGGCAGGATTGCAGGGGAGCGACCCCCTGCCCAGGGGAGAAATATTGGAAGGTGATGGGTACACGGCGTGAGGTGGGGGTAGTGGGGGCCGGGGCGTTGGGGCCCAGTTTTGCTGAGCGAGAGTCAAAAGTTGGTCTCTGGCAGTCTTTGGGTCACTGGCCATGGCAGGGAAGGATGCTGGGAACTGGAGACGGGCATAAGGCTTTTGCATATGGGCAGCGGTTGGGGTGGAAGCTGAAGACCCCAGTGGTCCCGGGCCGAAGCGCCAGAGAAAAGCCCTGACTGTGGGAGACGAGACCTGGAGAATGGGGGGACCCACGGAAGAAGGTGTGGGGGGGGGGGTGGTGGTGGTGGGTCACAGCCGGATCTGGCAGTCCGGGGAACCAGGGCAGCCCCCTGAACCCATCGTCCCACCCCTTCTTCCCCACAGGGCCAATACGACGACATCGTGATGCACAGTGGGCGGAGTCAAGCCAGGACCTCTCCCAGCCCAGCCTCCAGACCCCTCCCCGCAAAGCCCTGCAACCCTGCAGACCCCACAGACCCTGCAGTCCCCTGTGACCCCGCGGCCCCACAGGAGCCTGGTGAATAAAATCCCACTTAGGACAATAGACTCTGCTGATGAGCGCTGCCCCCCACCCCCATCATGTGCTCCCCAGTAAGGCTCAGAGACTTGCTTTGTGCTTTCTTTATTCACGCAGGAAGGTTGGGATGGGTGAGGTGGGGGTGTCCTGAGTCAGCCTGAGCCCAGCCCAGATTTGACCCTCCGCAGGCCCATGACCAAGGACCACCCTTCTCCACTCCTGCCTGGCCAGGCATGGAATGGGGTGCCAGGTGTGGAGGGGGCTTTGGGGACAAAGGTACGAAGCCGGAGGGTTGGGGGTTAGCCGGGCGGCCCCCCCTGGGATCAGCCCTCCCTCCGGAGCTCCTCCCCCAGCACCTCCGTGGCCTTCTTCAGCTCCTCTCTCACGTGCTCCAGCCGCTCTACTTCATGCTCCTGGGGATCAGAGAAGGGTGCTTAGCATACCCAGAACCCCCCCCCGCGGAACTGGGGACCCCACTGCACCCAGCAGTGGGCAACACAGCCTGCCTGTGATTCCGGAGTGTCAGAATCAGCGGCAGGGGAGCCATGGAGCCAGCTGGGAGGGGGTGCTGCCTGGGGACCCCGAGGTGGGCCAGCACACCCTGCTGATAGTGGGATGGCCTTTGTGGTCACTACCTCCCTCCTGGGTTGTCACACACTTTCCATGGCTTGGACAGGGCCTGGCGGCCACTGTGCATAATCCAAGCAGAGCCAAACCGTGGCTTGGCTCGTGGCTCCAGTGCTCTCAGGACGTCATCTGAGCAAGTGGACGGGCATCCTAGTCTCTGCCAGGTTCTGTCCCTGGGACAGTGGGTGGCGGAGTTCTGCCCCCTCCCCCCTGAGGCCCACCGTGCGTTCCCCTCACTGCCTCTACTCACCGCCTTCTCTCGAGCCGCTTCCTTCTCCTCCTGCTGGGCCTCGGCTGGTGGCTGGTAGACATGGTGGGGTGGCGACGGCTCCCCCCGCTGCTCTGCCTCGGACCCCAGCCACAGGCTGTGAGTATCCCCCAGCACCTTCACATCCTTCTCTGTCTCCTCATCCCGGGCCTGCTCTGCCACCCGCTTCTGGGTACCACCTGTGCCCTCCAGACGCAGCCACCACGGGCCCCCAAAGGCCCCGCGGGCCCCGCTCTTCTGTCCGTCCTCCTGCGCGTCCTCCTGGCGGAGGCGGCTGTGCAGCTGCTCCTGGACCGCCTGTTCCCGCACTGTGGACTCGTGGGCCTTCCCCGTCTCGTCCTCCTGGCCTGACCTGGTCTCAGCAGCCTCCCGCTTTTCCAGGTTCGCATCCGCTGCCCCGCAGCCGTGCAGTTCTGGGGGGCACATTTCTGCCAGACACACTGTGCAGCCAGGAGGGCCGGCAGGCTGGGGCGCCCCCAGGGTCTCAGGGAGGCGCCCTGGGGGGCTCCCGGCGCTACTCAGGCTTTCATGGAGCTCTTGGGGGCCACACAGTGGGTCTCAATGCAAGGGCCCAGTGAGCGGGGCCCCTTCCCAGGGTTTCATGGGAGGCATAGCCGGGGGGTCACTATGAGTATCCCAGGAGACTTTCTGACATTTCAGGGGGCCCACACCCGGGCTGGGACCTACCTCTGTGGAGAAGGGCCATGCAAGGTCCATGTTGTGCTTGGCCCAGTGTTAGCATGTCCGAGACCACCTGTGCCAGGCAACGGGTCAGCTGGGGGACAGGGACAGAAGGGGCTTGAGGGAGGAATCCAGTGATAGGGGGGAGGGTGGGCAAGAAGTCCTGGCATCTCAGAGGGTAAGGAGGGTGGAATCGACGTTCCTCACCTCCTCCTTGGAGGGCCTCAGCGCTGGGGGAGCAGCAGCGGCTGTGGAGGAAGAGGCAGGGCCGAGGCTGGTCAGCTGCATGTTGATCCCTCCCCACCCCCAGCCCACCTGCCAGGTGCCCCACCGTCCTGCCACATCATCCTTGTCCCCGCACCCTGGGTCCATGCAGAGGTACCCAGGTGCCCGTCCACTTCCTGGCTCTCACCTGCTCCCAGGAGCAGCGGCAACAGCACACAGGCAGGTGACATGGTGCAAGCTGCCAGAACCCTCTGCCAGGGCTACCCGGGCCAGGCAGCACCTCCTTATAACCCCATAGGGGAGGAAGTGACATCATTGGTGCCCCATCCATTGCCCAGGGGCAGGGGGACAGCTGCAAGGCGGTGGAGACCCTCAATTATTCATAGCGCTCCGGGGCCACCTGCCTGGCACTGCCCCCCTCTAATCTCCTGAGTGCCAGCATTGAAGAGGGTGGGGGCTTGTCCGTGGAGAAACGGGCTCTGAGTTACCTGGCTGGGGAGCACAGTGGGTTGGAATCCTCAGTGGCCACTAATAGGTCAGCCTCTGCCTCCGTCCTGCCTGAGGCCCCAGCTTCATCTGGAAAACACTCTCCACTTTGTTCTCTGGCGCCTGGGACTAGACATCTCAAGTAGCTATTGTGCTCCTGACCGCAGCAGGGAATCACCTTGTGGTGGCCTGAACTTCACAAAGGGCGGTGCTGGGGCTGGAACTACTGTACAGCAGGGAGGGAACTTGCCCTGCGGGAGACTGACTGACCCTGTGATTCCCCAGCACCTTATAGCCTCTGCCAAGAGTGATTCTAGAGTGCCGAGCCTGGAGTAAGCCCTGAGCACTGCTGGGTGTGTCCCCCACACAGAAGGACAATGCTGTGGGCTGGTGCTGGGGACTCACCATGCACCCGCGGGCCCCTCCTAACAGGGGGCCTCATTTCTGAGAGGGGCCTCATTTCTGAGAGGCTGTGGCCGAACAGCTGCAGCCCACCCGTCCATAGCCAGAGGGCTGAGCTGAATCCCCCTCCAGGGTGAGCACCAAATATGCCCTACTCCTTGCAGGGGCCCTTCACTTGATTTATTTTGATCTGAGGCCACTGTGTGATGGTGTTCAGAGGCTACTCCTGTTTTTGTGCTTGGTGTCATTCCTAGCAATCAAAATTGCTAGGAATCAAGCATTCCAAACACGAGCGTGTGCTGCTGTCAAAGTGCATGGTTGGTCGACTTGTTGAGCTCTCCAGCCCTGTTGGGTTTTTACTGAACATCTTCTGTGTGGCCAGCCCTTGAGGCTGGGGAGAATTGGCAAGGAACTGATACCTCTCAATTTTCCTTTCCTCTTTTGTCTTTGGGGTCACACCCAGCCGTGCTCAGGGATCACTCCTGGTAGGGCTTGGAACCACTTGGGATGCTGGGAGCTGAGCCCAGTTGAGTTGTATGCAAAGCAAGCACCTTACTCATTGTACTCTGGACCCCTTTCCTGCCCTCTTTTGGAGGAAAGCCACATCCGGTGGTTCTCTGCCTCAGGTACCTGCAACACCAGGGCTTGAAATCTTGAATCAGCTGTATGCAAGGCAATTGCCTAACCTCTGTGCCCTCTCTGTGGCCCGTGGGGAGAGCCAGCTGTAAAGTTCACACTCACTGGGTAAAAGAAATAGCCATGGCCATGGAGTGCAGTAGAGGCCCTGTACCAGGTGGCCAGGTTAGTTCTGGAGGGGACTGAGTACCCATGAGGGATGAGAGGACTGGCAAGGCCAGAGGCGGGGTGCAGCAGGATCAGGCGGGGCTGCTGACCCGGGTGACATCATGGTTCTTTCCAGTGAGGAGTCACAAGAGGCCGCTGGGCAAGGGAGGGATATGATCTGCCCTGGGGCTTTCCCATGACTGAGGGTTGAGCAGAGACAAGGGGGTGGGACCTCTTCCTTTGAGGACAGTGGGGAGCACTGGGGAGGGCCAGAGCGCTGGGTTACGGGACTGCTGGACGTGGTGCAGTCGTGTGGTGAGGAGAAGCTGGGTACAGCCCGGTGTGGACACGCAGAGTTGGGTGAGAGAATGGCCATCCGTAGACTGGGCCAGCCTGCAGCTGAGGGAGGAGGGCGGGGGCACCGGAAGGTGCTACTTCTCCCCAGGCCTCGGCCCCTCCCAGCAGCAGTCCCCGGCTGGCTCAGAGGCCCCACAAGCACGCCACTCACCTTCTGACCATTTATTGGAGATTCTGTGGGTACAGGCAGTGGTTCTTTGTTCTTTTGGGGGTGGGGGATTTGAACCACACTCTCCGGTGATCAGGGGCTACTCCCAACTCTGTACTGAATGAGGGTCACACCTGGTGTGGGACTCTGGGGACACGGGGTGTTGGAGACCCAATCGACTGGGCCTTACCCCACACTGTCACTCTGGTCCCTCCAGCACTGAGAACGGAGGAAGAGAGACGACGCCTCCTCCCTCTTCCTCCCCCCACACCCCCAGAATCCTCAAGACTCCAAAAGTCCATTGTCCAGGGTAGAGAGAAACTCCTGCGCCCGCAACCCTGCACCAGGAGGCAGAAGAGGGTGTAGCTGGGCATGGAGCTGGCACAGTGTGGCAAGGACGGGCTCTGGGGGGGTGGAGGATCAAGAGCTCCAGCCAGCAGCAACAGGCCACCAACAGTTCCTGGCTCAGCGCCTGGGCTTCTGTGGCTGGTTGGGGCCGATATAGCGCAGAGGCACATGGGTGGGGGCCGTGATCCGCTCGGTGCCCACGTAGGGCTGCAGCACAGAGGGCACCAGCACAGAGCCGTCCTGTGGACAAACACAGGGGCTCAGGAGGAGCCTCGACCCCACCCCTGCCCCAACTTTGGCCCTGTCCCTATCCCACATCTGCACCCACAGTGGCCCAGCCTCCACCCTCGGCCCTGCCCCTACCCTACATTTGCCCCACCACTTTGGCCCCGCCCACAAACCACGCCCCACGCATTTGGCCCCGCCCTCCCGTCTACACCCTTGGCCCCGCCCCTCCCGCCTCCCCGGGGAGCTCCTCACTTGCTGCTGGTTGCTCTCCAGGAGGGCGATGATGAGGCGGGGCACAGCGCAGGCCGTGGCGTTCACCTAACAGGGAGAGGGGCGCTCAGAGCTAGGTGGGAGGCAGGGGAGGCGGTGGGGGTGGGCGGGGCGCAGCCTCACCGTGTGGGCGAAGTTCAGCTCCCCGGCTTCCGTCTGGAACATGATGTGCAGGCGCCGGCTCTGGAAGTCTGTGCAGTTGGACGCGCTGGTGACCTGAGGGTGGGGGTTGGGGGGCACAGCGGGTGAGGGCATCGGCCATGTGGGGCAAGCCTGTTCCCCACCCCCCACCCTGGGCCCCGCACGGCTCACCTCCCCAAAGCTCCCGCGGCCCGGCATCCAGGCCTCCAGGTCGTACTTGCGGTAGGCCGGGAGGCCCAGCTCCTGCGTGGGCATGTCCAGGACCCTAAGGACAAGGTTAGTAGAGCCAGGAGGGAGAAGCGAGGGCAGCGGAGTTGACTCAGATGGGGTGCCCTGAGTTTTGGGCCCCAGCAGCACCCCACGTGGACCAGTGCTGGGGCCACGGTGTGGGACCTCAGGAACCAGGGTCAGGCACCCCAACAACGTGTCCTGGTGAGCACAACCACCTCCCTGAGCAGGCAAGGGGAAGGGGGTGGGTCCCCACCACAAGCAGGAGGCAGCAGGGAGCAGGGCGGGCACAGCCTCACCCCTCTCTGTGATGACCCCACGCTTGACCTCCAGGGGACCAGAAGGCAGGTCTGGCACCATCCTGGTCCCTCTTAAAGGGAAGGGCAGTGCCACCCTCCAGCCCTGCCCGCTGTCCTGAGCACATCAGGGACTCTGCAGAGGAGGCAGTCTGCAGTGGGAGGACCCACGGGAAGGGGCCTGGGTCGTACGCTAGGGTGTCCTGTGCGGAGGGTGCCATGTTGGAATCTTAGGCTCCCTGGGGGCGGGGGGGGGGGGGGGGCTCGTGCCCGCTTTAGCCCCTGCCCCTACCGGAAGTGCAGGCCCAGTTCAGTCAGAATCTCCATCTGCAGGGACAGGAACTCCTCCAGCAGTGCAGAGCTCTGCTCCAGCCCTGGGCCTGTCACCCCGAACATTTCCACCTGCAGAGCGCAGTGGGCGTCAGTGGGTTTGGGGTGGGCCCTCTGGAGTCACTGCTGAACACCCCACAACCACCCCCCTCCCACACACACAGTTTCAGCCCCTGACCTTGGTGAAGTGGTGGACACGGTATAGCCCCCACGGCTCCTTCCCCGTGTGCGTCTCAGCCCGGTAGCAGGTGCTGGAACAAACCATCCTGGGGTGCAGATGGGGGTCACGGGGGATGGCACAGGGGGGTCGGGGGGACAGTACATGGGGGTTGGGGGGACAGCACACGGGGGTCGGGGACAGCACACGGGGGTCGGGGGAAATGCACAAGGGCATTGGTGGGAAGGGGATAAAGAACTGGGTGTCACCTGACTGGCAGGTCCCGGAAGGCTACAGAGTGGTCCATGAAGTAGCCTGCGAGGAAAGGGGACAGAACAAGGGGGGGCCTTTGTGGGGATCAGCAGTTTCCCCAACACCACTGGGCCTGCAGTTGGACCCGTGCTGCTGTCCAGTGAACAGCCTGCACCCCCTGACGTGTTGGCCCTGGGTTTCCCCGTGCTCCCCGCTGTCCCCCCAGCCCGAGGATTTAGCAGGTACCCCCATTCCTCGCTGGCCACCGGAGCCTCACCTGCGAGGCCCACCTCTGCCGTCCCAGCCAGGTTGAGATCTTCAAAGCGGGAGGGGTCGATATTGTAGATTTGGGAGGGGGTGGCATTGGGGGTCATCCCACAGCCCTCCTGCAGCAGGGGCCAGGGGTCAGAGGTCAGAGGATCAGGCAATGGGCAGGCCTCCATTCTACCAGTCACAGTCTCTGCTCCTACCCTGATATTTGGGACTGGACCTGCCCTCTGCCCTTTGCCCCACCAGGCCCAGGGGGGGATGGGAGGGCTTGGGCCTGCCACCCTGCAGGGGGCAGAGGGGCTCACTCACAAACACAGCTCCTCGGAGAAGGTCGGGTACGGTCATGGGGATGAAGCCCTGCGAGGGGGAGGGGAATGAGGACACAGCCATGGCCCCCCAGACCTGGGGCCTGGCCAGGGGGTTGGGGGGTCCTGCCTCGTCACTCAGCTCACCCCAGGGCAGCTGGGGTGTGTTTCACAGGCCAGATCTGCTTGTGTCCCTCCCCTGCTCCCCCATTTCCCCAGGGGGCTCGAGTCCCTCACTGAAGTCCTGCCTCACCCCTGCCTCACTTCCCAGGCAGCCCTCTCCTCCGGGGCCAGCTGCACACACCTGCCCTGGGACCCTCCTCGCATCTTAGTGGGTGTATGAGAAAGGGCCCCTCCCGCCTCCTGCCTCCCGTGAACTTAGGTATGCAGGCGCCTGGTGCAAAACTTGGCCAAAGGGGCCTTGTGCCTCCTGAGCCAGCTGTGGGCTGGGCCACCCCCTGCAGGCAGCCCTCCCTCCTGGCCCATACCCGGTGGACGAGCTTGTTGAGTGTGAAGTTGACCAGGCCGTGCTGCAGGAGGGCGCCAGCCCCACGCAGGTAGTAGGAGCGGTGGCCGGACACGTGCGACAGGCGTCTGGGAGGCGGGGGGGGGGCAGGAAATAGGCAGGTGCGGGGGGCTGTGGCGGGGAGGCTGGATGGGGGTGGGTGCTGGGTACCCGGGGGTAGCACCCCAGCTGCCAGGCGGAGCCCGGGCATTAAACATTCATGCCGGGTGTGGCCATGGCGGCTTTGCATCCAGGCCCAGCCTGGGGAGAGGAGGCAGCTGCCAGCTGTTGGGGCGCAGGGGCTGGGCCTAGGGGCCAGCAGGGGGAGGGGGCTCACTTCTGACGGATGATGTCGAGCTTCTCCCCGATTTCCAGGTGGCCTCGGGGTTGGAAGGAGAAAGCTAGACATGGAGGCAAAACAATGGGGGTGAGGGAGGCAGGTGTAGAGCCCGGGCGCAAGGATTAAGGAGGGCAGGGAGGGCCGGAAGACGGTTTCACAGTTTCACAGCTCCAAACATTTGCGTAGGGGCCAGAGGGGTTAAGGCGCTTGCCTTGTACAAGGCACTGCAGGTTCTATCCCTGGCACCCCACATAGTCCCCCCAAGACTCACTGGGAGTTATCCCTGAGCACAGAGACACGATATGGCAAATAAAAACACAGTTACCCAGTAAGCCTCATGCACAAGTTCAAATCCGGAGGCTGCCCTGGCACCCTGCTGTTGGGCTCCCCCAGGGGAAAGGGCCTGGAAGATGGCACAGTGACGCAGAAAACACTCAGGCAAGGGGAAAGCAAAAAGGAGAAATAGGGAGGCGGGGTGGGACGGTGAGGAGAGAGGACATCAACAGTAGGAGAGGAAGAAAGGAGAGAGACAGAGGGAAGAGATGGCAGGAAGAAAGGAGGCTGAGGAGAGACCGGGCAGACACATCAGGGGTGGGCAAGAATCAGACACGGAGCCCCCGGGGAGCCCAAGGGACAGACACACAGAGCCTGCCTAGGCATGGGGGCGGGGAGGGGGTGGGGAGGAAAACCAGACAGTGAGGTCCCCACCCCGAGGCAGAAGCCCCCCAGTCCCCTGGGCTCTGCAGGTGATGGCCCAGGCCCGCGGCCCACCTGGCTTCTCTCCCACCACATGGAGCACGCGGGCCTGGCTCTCGTCCCCGACGGGCTGCAGGAAGACAGCGGGGTCACGGGCGGTCACTCCTTGGTGGGGGGCGTGTCTGCCCGCCTACCCGCCTGCCCCAACCCCGCACTGCTCACCACATCAGGGTGGGTCTGGTTGGGCAGCTTCAGTGCCCGCAGGTAGAAGTGCTCCTCCAATTGCGCCTCCTTGGGGTACAGGAGCAGAAGCTGCTTCCGGATCTCCCGGCCCTGGGCTCGAAGACTCTGATACTGGGGGTCCTGGAGTGAGGGCGGCAGGGTCAGCCTGTACACTGGGGTGGGGTCCTCTCTGCCAACCTGATATATATTTTTTTTTTGCTTTTTGGGTCACACCTAGTGGGCTACTGGGGGGCTGCTCCCAGCTCTGTGCTGGGGACTGAACTTGGGCCTCCCATATGCAAAGCCTGAGCACGGCCGGCCAGCTGGGCCCTTTCCCACAACGACCTGAACCCTTGGGTTTGCAAACCCTTGATGATAATAAAGACATTCGCGGCCTCCTCCTGAATTTCTTTTCGGGGAATTCATCACCATGTCACCGTATCCTGGGACCAGGACTCAGTCCTCCACCACCTAAACATTCCTGGGCCTGGGTCAGTGATAGGCTCAAAGACCAGCCATAAGCCCAAGCGGAACTCAGGAGAAACCACCCCAGGATGGTGTTTTGGTGTGACTGGGCCCCTCTGCACCTGACCTGCCTCCCCTTCTCCTAAGAGAAAACTCATCTGGGAACGAGAGGGAAGCAGAGCTGGAGATGGAGCCAGGAGCTGGATCTAGCTGTTCCTGAAGGGGGCTTTGCTTTTTTGACTCCAGACCATCTACATTATTATTATTATTATATTATTATTTTGGTTTGTTTTCTTTTCCTTAATCTTGTTTGAGTTGCTTGCTTGCATCTCAAACAATTGGGGCTGTCAGGGGGTGCCTGGAAGTGAATCCAGGGCCTCACACACGTGAGCATGTGCTGTCCCTGCAGGGGCCTCCCTGGCCCCCTGAGCTGTGTTTCCTTCTAAGTGCCATGGGGGAGCTGTGCCTGACAGGTTGATTGCTGCCCACACCCCACCAAGGACCGACTCCGGCTCTCCACAGTACCTGCTGCGCTTGACTCTTGTCCTGGTCCACCTGGTGGGAGAGAGGCAAAAGGGGGTGATTGGGTTGATGAAGCTGGGGGCTGGGAAGGGGACAGGGGCAGAGCAGGTGGACCTGAATGTCCTCCTCTGTCAGTGCCTGGGGGGCGGGGGGAGTCCCTCCTCCACTGTGCCTCAGTTTCCCGATCAGTGTGGCTGAGAGGAGGCACGCTCACCCCATAGGAGCCAGGATCACGCACCGTACCCTGCCCAGCGTGATGCTGGCCCAATAGAGTCTCTGTTCTGTGGAGGAGGGACTGGGGCCTGTTTAGGGAAAGCCTGGGAGACTGTATTTGGGGGCCTTTGATACTCCTGAAATGTTCACACCCAGGACTGTCGAGTGGGTCAGGCTGACTGCTGGATACTACCAATTTTGCGTCCTTGGACTGACCTTCCCCCCTCTCTGAGCCTCAGTCTCCCCACCTGTGACCTGGGATGCTATCAAGGGTCACCAGGCAGGGCAGCTGTGCGACCTCTTGGCGTGGGTGAGCAAGCTCCCGAGGAGCACTTGCACCGGCCTAGGGTAAGGTGGGAACTGGTGCCAACCGGGGCAGCCTATGGCCGATGCCCACATCAGATGCAGGGGTGGCCTGGATAGAGGACCCGTGTCACGAGGGGCTTTGGAATCCTGCCCCGCCCTTTCCCAGCCGCAGACCCGGCACTTTTCTCTGTCCCTCTGCTGGACAGAAGGTTTGTTTGGTTCCCTAGGCGGCGTAAGGCCTGAGGGTGAGAAAGCCGGGAGCCAGCCCCTGCCACACAGCGGTGACTGTGTGAACAGCCAATAGTCTTCCTTGTTTGTTTTGGGCCCATTCCCGGCAGTGCTCGGGGCTTCCACCTGGCTCTGCACTCAGGCATCACTCCTGGTGGGACACAGGGGACCATATGGGACACTGGGGTTGGAACCCAGGACAGCCGTGTGAAAGAGAAGCACCTACCCTGTGCTTCAATCTCTCCAGCCCCTACTTGTCTTATTTTTGAGCCTCTCCTGGTTGGGTCCCAGGATGCCTAGGATGGAACCTGGGTCCCCTGCAGGCAGAGCCTGAGCGCCAGCCCTTTGAGCCCTTGCCGCCTGGACCTCTCACGGCTCCAGCATGGCGGCTCCAGTGCATGCTGGGCCCTGCATTCACGTTGCCATGACAATGTGGAAACTCCAGTTTGCAGGTGCTGCAGTGGCCCAACTGGAAACTGCCCATCTGCCTCCCTCCTCTCCTGCGGCCCTATGTCCAGCAGCCTGCATTGCTGCCACAGTCACCCCACCCGCTGCTGATCACCTATGGGGGTGCGGCATCCGGGTTCCAAGACTTGAGGGAGCCCACACCCCTCAGGAAAGTGCCCCGGCTTTGCCTCAGGTCGGGCAGGAACTTGAGAGGGGAAACTGAGGCCCAGAGGGCATGGTGGCATCCTGGGTGCAGGGAGAGGGAGGGGAACTGGGGGTGTTGGGGAAAGCTGCCGAGGCACAGTCCCCTGGATGTGGAACCCCAGGGTTTGTCGGCCACAGCCAGAGGCCTCGAAGGCCCTGGCCCACACCCACAACCCCAACCCCCTGCCCTGCGGCCGCACCCCACTCACCATCAGGGCCCGCACGGCCTCTGCCACTGCGTTCTTCTCTTCCTCCAACCTCTGGATCTGCTCCCTCAGCTCCCTCAACGCCTGCCAGGTGGAGACCTGAGAGGGAGAAGGGAAGGGCATTTGCCTTGCAAGCAGCTGACCCAGGTTCCATCCCTGGCCCCCCTGTGATCTCCTGAACACTGCCGAGAGTGATCCCTGAGCACAGAGCCTGCTGTACTATCTTTCTGGTCCCTTTGTTGTTGCTGTTTTTGGGGTCACACCCGGCAGTGCTCAGGGGTTACTCCTGCCTCTGCACTCAGGAATCACTCCTGGCAGTGCTCAGGTGACCATATGAGATGCTGGGGATCGAACTTGGGTTGGCCACGTACAAGGCAAGCACCCTACCTGCTATAGTATGCCTCCAGCTCCATTTGGCCAAACTTCAGCCATATCTTTTTTTGTGGGGGGTCACTCCTGGCAGCTTGGGCTATTACTCTCTGATCGGTGCTCCAGGCTTGCTCTTTTCTGGCGCATGGGGGTCATGCAGGGTCAGACGGAACCCAGGCTTCCAGCAGGCAGAGCCTGTGCTCTGGCCCACTGAGTCATCTCCCTAGTTCCATTTTAATTCTCTGTTATTTGGCGGGGGTGTGGGGGGTTCCCCAAGCAGTGTTTAGGACACCTGGGGCCCTACTGTGTGAGCCCCACCAACCGGGTCTGCGGTACAATACGAAAGCTGAGAGGACAGTGCTTCTTGGGCCCTTGGTGCTGGGGATTTCCCCGGGGGTGCCCTGTAATATGTGGGTGCCTCCAGGGCTGCACCTAGTGATGCTTTTGGGGCCATGTGGTGCTGGGAATTTAACCCAGGTCAGCACATGACGGGCACGTGCCCTAACCGCTGTGCTGTCCCTGGCCCCTTTTGTAAAGTACAGTTACATAGAAACGAAATCAGCTCAGTCATCCTTAGAAGCTTCCACTGTCCCAAACTCTTGTCCCCATTAAAACTGTAACTTCAGGGACCAAAGAGATAGTACAGCGGGTAGGGTGCTTGCCTTGCACATAGCTGATCAGGGTTCAATTCCCAGCACCACATATGGTCCCCCGTGCCCTGCCAGGAGTGATCCCTGAATGCAGAGCTAGGAGTAAGCCCTGAGCATTGCCATGTGTGGCCCCCAAATGAAAATAAAATTAATACTAAATAAATTTGTTGAATTCTTCGAGAGCAGCCAATCTGGATTCAATTCCTGGCACTGCATATGGTTCCCTGAGTACTGCAGGAATGACTCCTGAGCACAGCATCAGGGTTAAGTCTTGGGTATTACTGGGTATGGCCCAACACCATGCCCAAATATAGGAGGGCACACCCAGTGATGCTCAGCGGCTACTCCTTACCCACTATACTATCTCTTTGGCCCCAATATATTCTTAGGCTATTAGTTTTTCCATTAAAAACAAAATTGGGGGGACATAATGGCACCCACTTCATAGGCCTGCTGTGAAACTTAACAGGATGAATGCAGATGCCCTTAGAAGGGATGATCAGGGAGACCAGAGATGGCTCAGAGTATCTGGGATCCCCACCATCCTCAGCACCCCAGCAGAATCTAGAAATACAGTCACTCTGCTTCTAGTTTCCAAGTATATAACAGTACTAGCTATTATTATCAACGTGATGATGATTTTTGAGGGGGAGCTGTCACTGAGATTCTTGACCATCAGGGTAGCAGTTCAAAGAATGTGATGATGCCCTGGACCTTTAGGATCTCCAGGACTATAACCAGGAGCTGCTGGCGGGGGAGGGGGGGGAACGACACAACACTTTTGTGGTGCCCAGAATCAAACCCGATCAACTGCAAGCAAGGATAGTATCTTAACCCCTATACTATCTCCCAGCCCCCATGATGGTTGCGATTCACCCTTATTCTCCTGGAGCTCTCTAAATATATGTGCAATATAACCAGTCACTCAGTGTGGGTGTAAAACAAAACAAAACAAAAAACATTCCCTCACGCACTGGGTAGGTATGACTTGGAATGATAGTAGAACAGGTGCGGCATTTGCCATGCTTGTGGCTGGTCGGGGTTCAATCTCCAGTATCCCATGTGGTCTCCCGAGCACCAGCAGGAGTGACCCTTGAAGATGGCCGGATGAGCCCCTGCACCAAACTCCACCTCCACCCCCACCCAGCCGCAAAAAAAAAAAAAAAAAGCTGTGTAGGATAGGACCCCGCCTCTCTCCATGTCTCATTGTGTCCCACTGTGAAGGCACAGAATGGAAGGAACAAAAATAGGCTCTTGATAGCAAAAACTGGGCCCCATTGATACTGGGAACAAGTGGCACCATAAGCCAAATCTAAGACTGGCTGTACTGGGGCCCGAGAAATATACAGCAGGTAGGGTGGTTGCCTTGCACGTGGACAACCTGAGTTCAGTCCCCGGCATCGCATATGGTCCTCCAAGCACCGCCAGGAATGATTCCTGAGTGCAGAGCCAGGAGTAACCCCTGAGCAACACCCGGGTGGCCCAAAGACAAAAAAAAAAAAAAGACGACTGGCTGAACGTGGGAAGAAAGTACGTTCCCGCGGCAAGCCTGCCTCCTGCCGGCGCAGAGACGCAGGTGGGTTGAGCGAGAGCAGCCCCGCGCACTCACGATGCCGTGCAAGTCCTCAGGCTGCAGCGCCCCCTTGCGGTGCTCCAGCGCGCGCGCGGCCTCTTCGGGGCACGCGCACAGCGGCTCCATGTCCAGTTGCGGGAGCGCGCTGTAGCCTTCGCGCGCATGCTCGTACAGAAGGTTCCGGTCTCGTCTCTCCGTGCCGAAGCTTCTCCCGCGACTCGGGCTGCAGCTCCAATTTCTTTGGGGCCGGACCCTCCGCACCGCCACCAGAGGCCACAAGCGCCGCGCCATGGACGCAGCCATCTTGGACGAGGGATACGGGGGTCACTCACTCTTCGGCACGCCCACTCCACATCTAAGCCAATAGCAGAGTGCTCGTACCGTAGGCCCCGCCCCATTCCTTCAAAACAGCCCAATGGGAGGAGGCGTCCAAAATTGACTTACACAATGGTCCAATGGTTGTCTGTGTCCCGCCCCCTCAGAGGCAGAAGCAGCCAATCCCTGTCGGTACAACCGGAAGGGGTTAGAGGTCTCGGCGTGTCTGCGGACCCTGTTGGGTGGAGGAGGTCTGTGGAGTCCTTAGGTGCGTTTAAGCTGCCCTTGCCAGCTCCTGTTTCCTCATTCCTCCTTCCCCGGGACTGGGGTGCCTGGTAGACCCCCGAAAGTCCCCAGTTTGAGGCAGGACTCCTGGCGGCATGAGGGCTCGTGGTCAGAACCCTAGGGGAACTTCCATAGCCTTAAGCATTTTCCTCGGAGAGCTGTATGGGGAGACTTGGTGCCTGCGTTTTTGCGAGTTTGGGGGGTTTCCTTTCTGAATCTCTTATCTCCTAACACAGGGACTCTGCAGGCGGCGCGATGTCCTGGTCCGGCCTTCTCCGAGGGCTCAGTGCATCCCTAAGTTACGGTAAGTGGAGGGTTTGGGCTGCAGAGGCGAGGCAGTATAAAGAGTATTAAGAGTGTTTTCCCTCTGCGACTTGACATTTTCAGTCAGTGCGTATGCCTGGCGCTAAACCTTGCCCTCCTGCAGCATGACGAGCTGCGCTGCCTCGGGTCTGTCCCAGGAGTTTGGGTTTATTGACTGCTGCACACCCGTAGACGCGGCATCCGAGCCAGGTGACTTCCAGCACCCTGTAGATTGCATCTGTTTCACCGGCTTCCCTAGATCGTGCCCTTTGTGAGCTGTTTTGCTGTTGCATTCACCCTGCCAAACTTTATGAACCTCCTGAGTGCACTTCCCCACAGAATGCCACGGTCAACTCCCCAGCACTGAGAGTTCAGGGGTCTTCCTTATGGGCATGAAACCTACAAAGAGACTTGTAAGCCCTGAACACCCCTGGGGGTCATCCAAAGCCCCCTCTTTTTTTTGGGGGGGGCTGGTTTGGGGCCATACCTGGTGGTGCTCAGAGTGTACTCCTCGGGGCTGTGCATTCAAGAATCATTCATGGTAGTGTTGGGGGACCCTATGAGATGCCCAGGATTAAAACTTGGTTGGCAGCATGCAAGGCAAACACTCTACATGCTGTACTATCTCTCAGCACCCCCATTCTTAAGAAATTGACTTAGGTAGTGAAGCGGGGAGCACATTTGCCTTGCACAAAGCCGACCTGAGTTTGATTTCCAGCGTCCCATATGGTCCCCTGAGCGTTCCCGTAGTGATTCCTGAGTGCTCAGATTCCTCAGGTTACTCCTGAGCCAGGAGTAACCCCTGAGCATCGCTGGGTGTGTCCCAAAAAGGCAAAAAAAAAAAAAAAGTTAATTCAATTAATGTCAAGTGCTGCGCCTAGATCCTTACCTGCCCAGTAAGTAAATCCTCTGGAAGATTCAGCCACCACAGGAGATGCAAGGAGATGAATGGCAGTCTGCCCAGGATGTTCTCTGGGTATTCAGGAGTGGGGAGTTGGGCTGTAAAGGACATCTCTCACTGGAAGCTCCGTCAGGACAGGGCCCAGGGTTGCCCCTCCTGTCACTGTGTTTCCATTGTACCTTGCTGAAGGGGTGTGGGGGGGCTGTTCTGGCTAGCTCGGGACACCATACAGTGGTGGGGATGGAACCGAGACTCCTGCATGCAGTCTCTGAGCCCGCTCTCAGGCCAGGACCTGGCCCCAGCCTGGAGGAGAGGGTGTCAGGAAGGGTTTCGAGACAGGGTGATGGGACCTGACCTGATGTTCCCAGGGACCCTCGGGCTACCTGTGGGGAGTAGGGGGTGATCTGGAAGGAAGAAGAAAACAGGCAAGGCCAGTGGAGGGCGAGGGTGGACAGGACCAGGGATTGGAAATTGGGGTGACACCACCCACAAAATCCTCTAGGTGGCATCTGGGGACATGAAGAGCCTGGAGCAGTCCTCAACACTGTGTGAATCCACTTGTTTTTATCATGCTTGAACAGCATTAAAACCGCTACCTTCCTGGCAGAATAAAATTGACTTAATTCACAATCCAGAGACTGCTTGCCTCGCTCCCGCCACATCCCCCGTTTTTTCCCAAAGGCGAATTAAATTCTTGTACACTGCTGAGGCTAGAGCCTCAGCCATGGCTGTTGCTAGGTCAGGGTGGTGATTGTTACCTACTCATCCAGCCCTCGATGGAACGTGCTCCACTGGGCGCCCAGCACACCAGAATCGAATTGAACTGAATCTGCGTCCTGTGTAATGAGCCCCCACCATCCTCCTGGTTGTGTCTCTCCAGGCCTTGCCCTGGCCCCCCGGCCATGGGCCCCCCGCACCATGGCCACCCTGAACCAGATGCACCGCCAGGGCCTGCCGAAGCCCAAGCCTTCACCTCCAGGCCCCACGGCTGGCCGGCCGCAGCTGAAAGGGGTGGTGCTGCGCACCTTCATCCGCAAGCCCAAGAAGCCCAACTCGGCCAACCGCAAGTGCTGCCGCGTGCGGCTCAGCACCGGCCGGGAGGCCGTGTGCTTCATCCCTGGTGAGGGCCACTCGCTGCAGGAGCACCATGTGGTTTTGATCCAGGGTGGCCGCACCCAGGACCTGCCCGGCGTCAAGCTCAAGGTGGTGCGTGGCAAGTACGACTGTGGCCACGTGCAGAAGAAGAAGTGAACCCAGGTGCCTGGGGAGGTCTGGGGGATGCAGGTTGTTGGCCTCCCTCCCCTCACCACACACACAGAGCCTCCTGGGAAAGCTGTTCTAGATGCAGCTGGGCCTGGGTTCAAAGACAGACTCTATCTTCCAGCAAGAGTCCAGAACCTCGCCCGGACAGGGAGTGGAATTCCCCGGCTTGAGGCTCTGGCTGGATACCACTGCCTCCTGCTGGGAGGAGGTTGCAATAAACACGAACCTCAGAATCTGAGCCCTCTCTCAGTGCCCTTGTCACCCTGGGTGTGAGTCCTTGGCCACTGACACCCCTACTAAGCGCATCCGTGTGCCCACTACTCCCAGTAGGCCCAGCCCCAGCTGTGATGTTGGCACAAAGGGGACCGGGAGGAGGAAGTGGGGCGGGCAGAGGGGGGGACAGTACTTCCCACATGAGTGCTGCCTTTCAGGCCCAGCTGCCCCCTCTTCATTGTCCTGTGACTGGATTTCTCTGTTCTCCCAGCCCTTCTGGGCTTCAGTTTCCACACTGGGAAAATGGCACCAAGACTAAAGCCCCCCACCCCTGGTCCTGTACCATGCTCAATGTGAAGATCTGGGCCCAGTTTCATAGCACCCCCCAGGTGGCCATCTGTGACTTCCTGGCCAGGTGCCCCAGGGCATGTCCCTGAGCCTCCAGCCTGAGCTGTGCTGGGCACACGAGGGCCACACATCGCCTGGCAGGGGGTTGCTCCCAGGGGCACCAATCATAGAACAGCATCTCACATTTGGCACCCATTTTATTGTCCGGTGTCCCGTGGGAGAGTCGGGGAAGTTGGGCCTGGAGCTCTCTCCTTTGCAGTGCACGTGGGGGTGTGTCCTGGGAGGCAGAGGATCAGCCCCGGAACTGCCCCGGTATTGTGCTGGCCCAAGAGGGGGTTTGCACCCCAGAAATCCCCCAAGTAGGGTTTTCTTCAGTGTCCCTGTCCCTCCTTTCAGGGACAGACTGCCCCCCTCCCCCATGCCTGCTTCCTGCCCGCAGTCAGCTTGCTCCGGCGACACCCCAGTCCTCGTCCTGATGGGCATCTCGCAGCCCCCTGGGGAGGAAGCCAGCCCAGGAGGGCACTTTGCTGGTTGGTTCGCTGACAGCTGACGTTGCTGGCAGGCCCATCCGGGCGTTGAGTTCTTAACACCTGCCATCCCAGCCGGAGGCCAAGGAAGCTGGGAACAGCTGAGTCCCTGATTTGTCTCAGGACACAGAGACCGACCTGCTGAAGCAGCAGCAAGTGGGGTTCATGGGCGCTGTGCCAAGGCCAGGCCACTTGGCACGCACATGCCCCCACTGCCCCTGGGCATCCTTCGGTTCCTGCCTGCGGTGGTAGTGGTGGTGGTGGTGGTAGCGGCGGGAGAGCGGCTAGGACAGGCGCAGCCTGACTCGCACACTGGAGTGAGTGACCAGCGCACCGTAGTGTCCTGCCCAGGACCGTGTGTCTCGCCCATACTGCTCAAAGGACACATAGCGGATGCCCTTGCCGAAGTTGGAGAACACGTGGGAGACCTGTGGGGCAGGAGAGGAAGAGCATGAGGGGCCAGACCCCAAGACCCAGCTCTGGGAAGCAGATCCCCAGGGACACCTGAAGACATGGGGTGCTGGTCTTGGGGGGGGGTATGGGTGGGAGAAACAGCAGGTAAAGCACTTGCCTTGCATGCAGACAGTCCGGATTCAATCCCTGGCATCCCGTAGGGTCCCCGAGCACTGCCAGGAATGATTTCTGAGTGCAGGAGTAAACCCTGAGCAATGTCTGGCATGCCTCCCCCCCCCCCCCAAAAAAAAAAAACAAATACATGGACAGTGCGGGCAGAGATAAGAATGTGGAGAAGGAGGTCTCAGCAGGCTCTAGAGTGGGGCTGAGGCCTCATGTCCCTCACACAGGTGCAGACGCCTGAGGCAGAAAAATGCTTGGAGGAGCTGGGGAGAGGGGTCAGTTGGGTAATGGGCTGCCCAAGCCTTGGGCTATCCATGGACCACCCGAGGACTTTGGCTTGAATCTCTTGTATCTTTTGCAAGTTTGGGAGATGCAGGTTAAGTCTCCTGCATGTGGCCGCAACCAAGACACTGGTTCAAATCTCCCCATTGGTGCTCAGGTGCCAGTCCCAGTGAGCCTCAGTGTGGTGGTATGGGCCTGCTGGTGACCCCTGGAGCCAGTGCTGGAGCCATAGACTGTACCTGGTGGTACTTTGGGGCAGCTGTGCTGGGTATGGAACACGAGGGACAGAAGCAGGGTTTCATGCGTGCCAGGCTTGCGCACCAGCCTCTGAACTATTGGCTCCGCAGGTTTTTTTTTTTTCTTGCTTTTTGGGTCACACCCGGTGATGCACAGGGGTTATTCCTGGCTTTGCACTCAGGAATAACTCCTGGCAGTGCTCAGAGAACCATATGAGATGCTGGGAGTCGAACCCGGGTCGGCCGCGTGCAAGGCAAACTCCCTACCTGCTGTGCTATTGCTCCAATATCCCCCGCAATCATTTTTAACTGTGATAAAATTCACATAGCAGGGCAGAAAGGATGGCAAGAAGGTTAAGTCTCCTGCATGTGGCTGCAGCCAAGACACTGGTTCAGATCTCCGCACCAGAGACCACAGTGATAGTACAGCAGGCAGGGCACTTGCCTAGCATGCAGCCAATCAGGTTCAAGCCCTGGCACCCCATGCATTCCCCCAAACTCACCAGTAGTGATCACAGCCGTGAGCGAGGAGCAGAGCTGGGGGTGGCCCCCGAACCGAGACAAATCCCTGTACCACATAAGGTGCCCCCCAGGTACCTCTAGGCAGAACCCTTGAACACAGAGCCAGGCATGGCCCCATACCGTTTAAATTGGGGGCTAGGGATATGAACGGGTTTTATCCCACAGACCAGTGTCCCCACCCCCAACCCCCAAACACTTGGTGTGGTCCCTGCAAAACTGCTGAGCCTGAACATGGCCTGAGTGTGGGTCACAAATTCAAGGTGGACAATTCAGGGATTTTTGTCCAATCATGGTTATGCAACCATCGCCAGTCTCTAATTTGGGAACATTTCCATCAGCGCCCCCGAAAGCTCTAGTCTCTGAGCTGTTGCTTCCAGTTACACAAACACCCACCCCTTCCCAGCGGCCACCGCTCCCACCACCACTGGCCCTGAGCCTCCTAGAAGTGCAGCCATGCGCCGTGCCATGTGCTCTGGCAATCCACTCCTTTTTTAAAATTTCATTTTATTTGGCTTCAGGGCCACACCTGGCTAGGCTGAGGTCCTACTCTTGGCTTTGCATTCAGGGATCACACTTCATGGGCTTAGGGGGCCAGGGATTGAACCCGGGTCAGCCACGTGCAAGACAAAGTGCCCTGCCTGCTGTACTATCTCTGTGACCTCAACACTTCCTCCTTTGTACAGCAGCTGGCCAGGCACTGCAGGCAGAGCCAGGGAGGCTGATGTTCCCTGGGGTGAGTTACACAAACTCACTGGATGCCCACTGCATGTCGTGTGGGAACTAGAGCACATGCAAGGTTACCCAAATGATGGGGGAGGGCTGGGGGGTCCTGGGCTTGGAAGCCAGTCTAGCTGGAATCGGGATTTGCACAGCTTTTGCACCTCAGGCCAATCTCAGACCCTCCCTGCCTCAGCATCCTCCACTCTAGAAGGGGAGAGGCCAGGGCTTTCATTCTGTGCTGCACTCCCCCAGCACCGATGGCAGACCCCAGACATGAATGTGCCGGCATGAAACTAAACCGGTCTCCGGGACCATGTGGAATGGGGCTGGGTGACTCTCTCTGTTGACTGAATCAGCTGTTACTGCTGAGCCAGCACTGATGAAGCAGAGATGAAAAGTGAGCACCGAGAAGGGGTGCTCGTCTGCCTTTGCGCAGCGCTGAGTGGTTCGGAGGGGCATTTTGACCCACCTGGCGGCAGCCTCTCTCAGTCCACTGAAGGACCGGGTTGGGGGAAGCCGAGAACTTGACCACTTCATTCTCATACTCGTCCAGGAGGCGGACCCGGAGCCGGTAGATGCAGCCGCAGTTCTCTCGGGCACCCCACCTGCCAGGTGGTGGTGAGCCTTGATGTCCCTGTCACCCACCCAAGTCGCTGGGTTGGAGGGAAGGAGGTTGAGGGCTGGGTCGCCCTGCACTAGGATCAAGGGGCACTGGCCTGCACAGCAAATGGAAGGGGTGGGACCTGGAAAACTGAGGGAGGAGCCTGGGCACAGGGCGGAGCCAGGGCCTGGAAGTGGAGCCAGAATCTAGGGTAGAGTCGGGGATCAGGGGCGGAGCCAGGATCAAGGGGTGGAGCCAGGGCCTGGAGGTGGAGCCAGGGTTTAGGGGCGGAGCCAGGATTAGGGGTGAAACCAGGGCCTGGAGGTGGAGCCAGAGTCTGGGGGTGGAGCCAGAGCCTGGGAGTGGAGTCTGGTCCTGGGGCGGAGCCAGAATGTGGAGTGTATTTTGGGTGCTCTGCAGCTGGGACTGGAGTCTAGGGGAGGAGCCCGGGAATTCTGGGGGCGGGGTTAGCTTGGGGGTGGGGCCTGTTGCTTAGGGATGGAGCTCAATTGTGGGGGTGGAGCTCTGAGGGATGATTTGGGTAGGATGTGTGGGGTAAGGAAGAGGGACTGAGGGGCACATACAGTTCCCTAGGAAAGTGCCAGAACCCCAGAGAAGTTGGGTTTGTAGTGGAGAAGCAAAAGCGTTGAAGCCTGCATTGTGGAATGGTGTGTGTGTATGTGTGTGGGGGGCTGCGCTGGACGGAGGAAGGCTTGTCCTGAAACCATCCCCAGCCCCTCCCCTGACCTTAGTCCTCAGTGGGCCAGAAGCCCCCAGGAGAGCCACAAACTCTCAGGATGAGAACTGAGTTGGGGGGATTGGGGTGAAGGTTAGGTGGCACAGCTTGTTTGCTTCAGACCAAGACAAGCCTGTGAGGATCCCCGCTCTCCTCCATCTCCTCCCCCAATCACACTAGGCCTGCTGGGGAGAGGCCAGGAAGGACAGTAGCCAGGGGTCCTGCCTCTCAGAGAGAGCATCCCTGCCCCCTCCCCAATTGCCCCGTGAAGGGGCAATGACTGACTCCGGGGCTGATGGAGCTGCAGCGGTCCCTGAGGCTCCTCCAGAGGCAGGTGGTCAGTTCCTACTCACCAGTCAGCCACACAGATCTCGATCTGGGCACTGTCTAGCAGCTCCTGCCACACGCCCTCCATTACCAAGTCCACCAGCTGCCTCTTGAAACACCATCTGGGGAAGGGAGAGGGGACAGTCACTAACCTTCATGCAAGCTGCCTCCTCCAAGAAGCCTTCCTTGCCCACCCCTGGGGCTATCAGGTGACATGGAGGTGGGGCCAGCCACACTGCTGTGTCCCTCTTTGAGCCTCTCCATTCTTCACCCTGCTCTGGGCATCCAAGAAGCTGACCTGGGTAGGGTTAACCCGATATTTGTGGGGACCAGAAGGTGATTGTTATGGATGTCCACATACTGGACATCAGAGCAGGCATAGCTGAGGATCCAGGTCTCCTTTCCAGCTGGCAGGAAGCACCCAGAGCCAGAGGGAGTGAGGAACGAGGAAAACCAGGGCATTTTGCTTCCAGGCTCCCTCCCCAGAGATCACTGGAGACTGTGGTTCCCCTCCAGGAGAGAACAGCCCCCATAGAACTCGCCCTTTCTCCCCTCACCCCAGGCTCCACCCCAGCTGTCACTAGCTCATGGGTGACAGTATCCCTTGCCCTCCTCAAATCCCTACACACGATAATAATGTCAAGTGATCCAGTGGAACAGAACAGTGTGCTTCTCAGGGACAGACCTAGGGGTGCTTGGGGACTTCATAAATGAGAAAGGTCGCACCTCTCCTCTATGGAGAATGGGGATTTTTTAAAATTTTGGCTCAGGGCTTACTCCTGTCTCTATGCTCAGGAAACCTTATGGGTTGCCGGGAATCGAACCCAGGTCAGCTACATGCAAGACAAATGCCCTACTTGCGGAAGTATTGCTCCAGTTTCCAGAAATGGGGAGTTCCTCAGTGTAGAGGATTTTGAGAACACTGGCTCCATAATATATGGGAGGGGAAAAATAGGATCTTGCTCAACGCCACATCTAAAGGCAGATCAAAGAGCTAAATGTGAAAGCTAAAGCTAGGAAGTTATGAGACTTTTCATTTTATTTTGGGTTTTGGGCCAAATGGTGCTCAGGAGCTATTCCTGTGCTCAGGAGTGACGCCTGGTGGTGCTTGGGAGATAGATCTGAGGTCAGCAGCATGTAAGGTTAAGTACCTTACCCCTGTCCTATCTCTCTGGTCCCTACAAGACTAGTTTTAGGATCTAAGGGTAGGCAAGATTTTTTGTTTGTTTTTGGGCTATACCCAGCAATGCTTAGAGATTGCTCCTGGCTCTGCATGTTGGAATACTCCTGGCTGGCTTGAGGGATGATATGGGATGCCAGGGATCAAACCCACATCAGATGCGTGCAAAGCAAGTGCCTTTCCCGCTATACTATCACTCCAACCAGTAGGCAAAAATTTCTTTTTCATTTTTTTTTTTTGGGGGGGAGTCACACCCAGAGATGCACAGGGGTTACTCCTGGCTCTGCACTCAGGAATTACTCCTGGCGGTGCTTAGAGGACCATATGGGATGCTGCGAATCGAACCCAGGTTGGCCACGTGCAAGGCAAATGTCCTACCCGCTGTGCTATCACTTCAGCCCCCAGTAGGCAAGAATTTTTAAAAACAAAATGTGAGAAACAAAATCAAAAGAAGAGCAGAGACAGAAGAGAAAAAGAGAGGTCTGAGCACATGAACAGAAAAGACTCCTGCTCAATAATCAAGAATGGCATGCACACTGTTAATACTAATTGCAAAGCAGAAGGTTTCTTCTTTTTTTTTCTTTGACCACCTGGCTGTGCTCAGGGATTCCTCTTGGTGGGCTTGGGGGACCATACGGGTTGCCAGGGATCAAACCTGGGTCAGGCAGGTGCAAGGCTACATGTTCTGCTATTGCTACAGCCCCAAAGCAAAAGATTTCTGCAGGTCCAAAATAGACAAGGGGCTGACATGTAGGATATACAAGGAATTCTTGTCTATCAACAAGATTAAGCGATCAGCTCTCCTAGACTACATGAACAGGCAACTTATAACAGAGGGAATCAGAAAAAGCAAACACATAACGAGATACTTAATTAGCAGTAAATTGAAACATGCAAATTAAACAGCAATGAGATACCACTTCACCGCAATATGCTGACAACCGCTAGAAAGTCGGATAATGCCACTTCAGAATGAGAGGCTCAGGGCTGGGGATGGAGTTCTGCAGGAGAGAACTTGCCTTGCATGTGTGAGGCAGCTCCCTCCCCAGTATCTGTCTGTCTGTCTGTCTGTCTGTCTGTCTCTCTCTCTCACACACACACAAACACAGTGAGTGACTCCAAAAGAGGACTAGGAAAATGTGAGGAAATGGATTCAGGGTTCGAGGATAAAGAGCAGGAGTCTGTTTTGTTTTTTCAGCCAGGAACGTTAATCACAATCAGAAACTCTGGGGGCACTTTACCTGGGCTCAGATTCCAGCTCCTCCACTTCCTAGATGATGTCACCTTCTAGTGCCTCAGTTTCCCATCAAAAAGTGGAGATAATTATAGTTCCCTATGTTACAGGGTGGTTGCTTCAAGGATTAGAAGAACTATCATCTGGCATAAGCCCTTGAGATGTTTTCTGTGGCTGTTACTATCTTACTGTTTATGGTTTGTTTGTTTGTGGTGGGGGAAGAGGAGTATGGGGGTGCCAAACCAAGGGCCTTCACAAAGGGCAAGCATGTCCTCTGGCTGAGCCATACTCAGGGCCTTTAAATTTACTTGTTTGTTTTGGGGGACCTTATCCCTGATTCTGCATTCAGGGATCACTCCTGGTAGGGCTCAGGGGACCATTTGGAGTGCTGGGGATTGAATATGGGTCAGCTGTGTGCAAAGCATGCTACCTACCTGCTGCACTATCCTCCAGTCCCTACTTTCACATTTTTAATACTCTCCCTACCCTGCATGAAAAATGCAAATAGGGGCTGAGAGATAGTACAATGGGTGGGGTGTTTGGCCTGCATGTGGCTGACCAGGGTTCAATCTCTGGCATCTCATATGGTCTTCTGAGCACCACTAGGAGTAATTCCTGAGTGAAGAGCCAAGGTTAACCCCTAAGCACCCAAACAAACAAACTCCCCCCCAAAATGCAGATAAATAAAAACAGCAGGTTCTAGAGTCGGAGTAATAGTACAGCAGGTAGGGCTCTTGCCTTCCATGAGGCCAACATGGATTCAATCCCCAACACTCTATATGATCCCCCAAGCACCACTAGGAATGATTCCTGAGTGCAGAGCCAGGAATAAGCCCTGAGTACCTCTGGGTGTACCCTCCCCCCCCCCCCCCCCCCCCCCCGCCAAATAAACAAACAACAACAAACCCTAGGTTCTGGGTCTGGGCCAGAGAGATAGCTCACCACGTCCTGGCCCTGATCCCCCATGCATTGCGGGGGGTGGGGGGGCCCAAACGAAAACAAAACAATAAGACAAAAAAGAGTAGGTCCTGATCATTCAGAATGTTCCGTATCTCTCTGACATAGAAAATAGTGCTAGACACCTGGCAGACCCTCCAACACTATTTCTGAGTGAACTGGGAAAGAAGTGAGATGGTGAAAGTGAGTTAGGGTCCTCCTCCCTCCTCTTGAGGGTCTTCTTGAGAGTCACTCACTCGAAAGAAGTCACAAAGCAGGTCTGGGAAGGAGCCCCAGGCACCAGGATTAGGTTCTTTTCCACCGCCCAGCCATTCCCGCCGTGCTCCACCTCCCAGCCTCTGAAGCCCTCTGTGAAATACAATAGCGTTAGACCACCCGGTGTTCCAGCAGCCTCCACCCCCGGCAGAGTCCCCGCCTCTGAACCCGCCCACCAGCATCTCCCTCCCGACTCCTCCTGCAGCTTCAACGCTGACCCGCCTTCCCAGCAGTCAGCATTCCTCATGCCACCCACCGCGTCACTCAGACCCGCCCTAATTCTGCGGCCACGCTAGCTCCTTCTTGGCGCCAGGGTCCCACGCCCTCCCACACCTCCGGCTTGGCCCCGCCCCCAGCTCAGCTGTCTTTCCCGCCGCCTATCAAATGAGGCCGCACATATCTCCGAGGGCCCCGCCCCCACCATCACCCAATCGGCTTCTCCCCGGTTTGCCCGACTCCTCCCCCTCCGACTACGCCCACCTGGTCTTACCTACCAGGTTGTATCTTTCTGGCCGCTGCTCTCCGCCCTGGGCCAGGCGGGCCTCCGGGCTTGGCCAATCTAGGGGTACCCGTAGTCCCAGCCCACCCCTGTCCTTCGCGATTGGGCCCCACCCTGACACCCACGCTCTCCGCAGGAGTTGAAGATGAGGTTGCGGCCCAGGGGCGCGCGCAAACAGTAGCGCGCCAGGGCGCAGAGCGGGAACTCGTCCTCCTCGTCGCGGGCCGGCGGGCAGCGCTGGGCGGCCGCGTAGAGGGCACGGCCCTGGGCGCTGCGGTCGCGGGCCAGCTGCAGCAGCCACACGGTGGGCCCGTCCACCACGTCGCGCCAGGTGCGGCACACGGCACGGCAGCACATCACCAGGGCTCGCGGCGGCACGTAGCTCAGCACTTGCACCAGCAGCTCCGGGGGCAGCTCGTCCAAGGCCAAGGCTGGCTCGGCGGGCAGCCGCCTCGAGGGCCGGGCGCCCATCTCGAGCCTCGACGCCCTACAAGGGGGAGAAAGGTCACGCGAGGTTCAGGGAGGTCTGTCTGCAACGCATGCCACGCCGCCACCACCCCTAACCTCTGCCCGTATGAAAGGCCCATGAGGCTTGACTGTAACTCCCCTGCCCTCCCCCCCCCCCCCCCCCCCCCCCCCGCCCAGGTCCAATCAGATTCCATGGAAAACCCGGGAACAACAGTGAAGGTGAAAACCAGGGCATGCCAATTGACTCCCCAAGATGAGAGTTTTCCTCTCGTGGTCTTTTTTTCTTGTATTTTATTCTTTCTTTTCCTTTTGCCACATCAGGTGGTATTCAGAGGTTACCCCTGACTCTACATTCAGGAATTACTCTTGACGGGGCTCGGGATCATGTGAAGTGCAGGGGATGGAACTTGGATCAGCTGCATGCAAGGCAAGAGGCCTACTCACTGTACTAACTCTCCAACACATCATTTTCTTTTTTGTTTTTGTTTGTCTTTTTCTTTCGTTTCTTTTTTTCTTTTCTACCTTCCTTTTCTTCCTTCCTCCCTCCCTCCCTCCCTCCCTCCTTCCCTTCCTTCTCTTTCTTTCTTTTCTTTTTTCTTTCTTTTCTACCTTCCTTTCTCTCTCTTTCTTTCCTTCTTTCCTTCTTTCTTTCTTTCTTTCTTTCTTTCTTTCTTTCTTTCTTTCTTTCATATGTTTAGGGGCCCATAATCCTAGCTCTGTGCTGAGAGATCATTCCTGGCATGGCTCAGGGGACCATATGTGATATCGGGGATCAAACCTGGGTCAGGTGCATGCAAGGCAAGCACCCTGCTGACTGGACTCTTGGCCCTTCATTTTCTGCCTAAAGCGAAATACCGCTGGCTGAGTGAGACTTCATTTGGATGGCGAACCACCGCTGTTATCTCTGGCCAGCAGGTGCTGGTTCAGGCTGAGCACTTTATAAACATAAATCTTTATCCATAAGCACACTGAAGCCCTGGGAGAATAAAATCATTCCTCCACCTTTGATCTTGGGCACATCCTTGGCAAAATCTATATCCTCAGGCTCCTCCCAATCTTGCAGTTGCCTGCTGGCCTGAGCCTTCCTTTAGTTTGCTCGGGGGTTATGCCTGCCTCTGCACTCTGAAATCACTATTGGCAGGGGGGACCAAGTGGGATGCCGGGATTCAACCCAACATGGCCGGACGCAAAGCAAGTGCTCTACCTGCTGTACTATCACCCTGGCTCCCACCCCAACTCTCCTTTTGGGGCCCTTCCTGTTTGGTGCTGTTTCCAGGTTATTCTCCCTCCCCCATGCCCCAGCTTCGAATCTCATCACAGTAACTAATTCACTACCCTATCACCTGCCTCAGTTGCTGGCCAGATCACCACTCTACACTCTGTCACGTCAGCACACAGCCTCTTGGGAACCTTTCTCTCACTCCACCCCACTCCCCACCCTCCCCCCATCTCCCTCCAGTCTGGTTCCAAGTTAATCAGAGTAAGCATCTCTGAACACACTAACCACCCTTTCCCCTCCAGCTTCCTCCCATCTGTGACCCTGGCTGCAGGCAGTCCTGTGCCCACCCAGGCCCCCTGCCCATTGCATACCAAAGTGGCTGAAGAACAGCCAGTTGGCTCCTGGCATGAGTCAGTGACCTTGGCTTCCCCAACTTTTCCCTGGGGAGATGAACTGGATTTTTAAAATTTATTATTTTTGGGTTTTGGGTCATACCTGGTGGTGTTCAGGGCTTACTCCTGGCTCTACACTCAGGGATCACTCCTGGCAGTGCTCCGGAGAACTTGTAGGATGCTGGGATCACACTCAAGTCAGCAATGTGCAAGGCAAGTGCCCACTATTGCAAAGCAAGTGCCGTATTATTGCTCCAGTCCCTGAGGACCTGAATTCATTGAGTCTTCCGCTCTCCAGGTAGTGATTGCACCTTCTCCCCACTCCCCCACATCCCTCCTTCTACCTGCCAGCTCTCCGTCCATCCTTCTCCGGCACCTTCCTCATCCCCACCCTCCAACCCTGTGTCACCAGTCCCAGCAGTCCACTGTGCCATCTCACTCATCTGAACACAGTCCATCCCACCCTTTCTCCATGCTGCTCGGCCCGGGTGTCTCTGCTGCTCTTTGCAGTCAAATCTCGGGGGCTGGACAGATAACACAGCAGGGAGGGCATCTGCCTTGCATGCAGCTGACCCAGGCTCAGTCCTCAGCATCCCATAAGGTCCCCCAAGCACTATCAGGAGTGATTCCTGAGTGCAGAGCCAGGAGTAACCCCTGAGCATCGCCCCTGAACATCACGGGGTATGACCCCAAAAAGCAAAAACAAAAAACAAAATCCAGTCGAATCTCTCCAAAAAAGTGTCTGCTCTTGTTGTCTCCATGTTTCCTCTGTCTCTGTCTGTCTGTTTGTCTGTCTTTGTGTTTGGGCCACACCTGGTGATGCCCCAGCCACCTTGGTCTCTATTCCTTATTTGGGCAGGTGGGAGAGAGGACTTGACACCACATCTATGCAAAGCCTGGATGAGCTGCAGCCTCGTAAGCCCCTTCTCTTCCCCTGCTCTCCCCTCCCCTCCCCTCTCCTTCACCATCCCTCCCTGCCCCTCCCCTCCTCCTTCTCTCTGATCTCTTAGGCTTAGGGTTCTGGATTCTGTTTCCATTCCTTGCTCCCCTCCAGCCTGCTCCTTACAAACAGCCAGATCAGGCAGCCATAGGGGACCCAGAGGGGTCTGGTCACAAGCCCTCAGGTCCTGTCCCACCGCATGTGGTCAGCCGTGCTCCCCTCCCTGCCCTCTCTCCCCGCTTCAAGGCCTCTACAGGCAGTTCCCTTCATTGGGACACAGAGATCCTTCTGCTGACTTCCGTACTTCAACTCTTCCCTCAAATGGCAATTTCTCTCCGAGACCTTTCTTTACTTATTTCCAATTTTAGGGTGCACAACTACTTACTCCCCTTTCTCTTTTCCTCTTTCTCGAAGCTCTCACCAGCATTGAACTTTTTTTTTGTGTGGGCCACACCCAGTGGTGCTCAGGGCTTACTCATAGCTCTATGTTCAGGGATCACTCCTGGCAGGCACGAGGAACCCTAGGGGATGCCAGGGATCAAACCAAGGTTGGCCTCTTGCAAGGCAAGTACCTGATCCACTGTACTGTCACTCTGGCCCCTGAACACATCCCATTTACCTAATTATTTTCTGGCTCCCTGACCACACTGGATGAGCCACGTGGGCAGAACTCTCGCTCCTTCGCCCGCTCCTGCCAGGGGCCAGGCCAGTTCAGTGAAGACTCATTCCAGGAAACTCCCACATTGGAAAATCTGCTTCACCGATGAGGAGACTGAGGCAGAGCAAGGAGAAACACTCCCTCTAGTCTGAACTGGAGATCAGCCCCAGAGAAGGTGCTTTCCCGGGCTTCCTGCTGTGAACAGGGGCAGGTTCCATCCTGGCTGCGGGCCTCAGTTTCCCCTTCTGACACTGAGGAGTAGCCGGGCTGTGGGGAGGATGAAAGGAGGGCACAGTGGCCCAGCGCTCCCAGAAAGCTGGTGGTGTCTCATAATGAAGCTTGAAACTAACTGAATAGGAAACACTAAATTATGCCGGAGGCTGCCATAAAAGGGACGGGGCACCCCAGGAGGCACATTATTTTCATCTGATGACCTGGACTGGCCTCTGTCAAACCGCTGTGCCGGGCATGGACGTGGGATCGTCTCACAAATTCCATTATGTCTAAAGGACAGCATGAGCCTCCGAGGTTACCCGGGTTAAACAGCCTCAATGATGTAGAGTTGGCGCCGGAGATCAAAGGCCAGGAAGCGCTCACCTCCCGTCCACACGATCACTTTTAAATAAATTGATGACGGTCGAGTTAAGAAATAAGTCTGGATTGAGGTCGGGGAGATAATAAGGGAGGAAGGCTTTTGCCTTGCTCACGGCTGACTCAGATTCGATACCCAAGCATTGCACATGGTGCTCTGAACCCTGCCAGGAAGGATCCTTGACAGCAGAGCCAGGAGGAAGCGCTGAGCATCCCTGGATGCAGCCCAATAGTCAAATAATAATAACAATAATGATGATAAGGGGCCAGAGCAATAGTGCAGCAGGCGGGAAGGGCATTTGCCTTGCATGCAGTCAACCTGGGTTTGATCTCCAGAATGCCAGATGGTCCCCCCAAGCACTGCCAGGAATAATTCTTGAGTGCAGAACCAGAAGTAACCCCTGAACATTGCTGGGTCTGACCCAAAAAACAAAAAAACAAACAACAACAACAAAAAAGACAAGCCCAGATGGGGCCGAAGTGGTAAGACAGCAGGCAGAGTGCTTGCCTTGCATGTGGCAGACCCAGGTTCGATCCCCAGCATCCCATATGGTTCCCTGAGCATCGCCAGGAGTGGTTCCTGAGTTCAGAGCCAGGAGGAACCCCTGATCATCACCAGGGGTGGCCCCAAAACAACAGTAATAGACCTGGATCAGTCACGTGATTCATGGACACCTGCGTGAGACAGAAGTGGAGGGGGCACTGGAGTGTCTGGAGGGGGTTGAAGGTGAGGCTGTGCTTTTCCCCAGATGCTGAGCACCTGCTGCACTTGACAAGCTCGGGTGTGCAACTCACCAGAGAGCAATTCCCGGAGCACTTTCCTGAGGAATGTGCCGGCCACAGGCACCCTGGGCTTTCCGGAGCTGGGAGACCCCTCACCACCAAGGGCAGCAATACTTCACTGAGAAGCAGGACCTTCAAGAGATGAACCTTATGATTTCCAAAATACTTGTCTGAAGGCCAGAGAGGTAGCTCAAGGACTTGAGAGTGCACTTTGCATGTCGGAGGCCTGAGTTTATTCCAGAGCACTTCTGGAAGTGATTCCTGAGCACTGAGCTGTGGGGAGCTCCTGAGCACAGTCACGTGTGGCAAACCCAAAACAGGGCCAGATGGGACCAGAGCAATAATACAGCAGGAAGGGAGCTTGCCTTGCATGCAGCCAACTCAGGTTCAATCCTCAGAGCACCGCCATGCCAGGAGTGATTCCTGAATGTTCTGATTCCAGAGCCAGGAGTAAGCCCTGGCTTACTTACCCCAAAACAAAAATAAAATATCATAAACAGAACCATAGATCATACAGCAGGTAGGGGTGCACTCATCTTTCATGCAGCCAATTGGGGTTCTGTCCCCAGGACTACATATGGTCCTCTGAGCCCTAAGAGGAGTGAGCCCTGAACACAGAGCCAGGAGTAAGCCCTGAGCTCCATCAGTTATAAACCAAAAAGATTAAAAAAAAAGAACAGAAAAGAAATCAGAAGACAAAATTCTGTTTGTTTGGGAGACTTGCGCAGGGCAATGAGATGTGTTATGTCCATGCAGCTGGGTTGGGTATGAACCAGGCAAGCGCCTGACATGCTGTATCATCTCTCCAACCCCTGGATCCAATTCTTGAAGACTCTATGGTAGGAGTGCAGGGGTTGAGGCACTTGCATGGTGGACTACTGAATCCCATTCAGTCCCCAGCCCAGCATATAGTCCTCTGAGTATTCCAAAGTGTGGCCCCAAAATAAAATAATAAAAATAAATGAAGAATCAGGGCATAGTATAGTATAGCGGGCAAGACGCTTCCCTTGCATGTGGCCAACCCGGGTTAGGCCCCTAGCATCCCATATGGCCCCTCTATACCACCGTGAGTGATTCCTAAGTGCAGAGTCAGGAGTAACCCCTGAGCACTGCCAAGTGTGGTCCCAAATAAAACACAAAAATTAGATAAATAAAAACTCAGTACCTGGATATTCTATTAGGATCCTTCTATAGGTGGCATAAGGCACCTGGGGGTTCCCAGGATCTCAGGCTGTTGCTCTGAACAGGAGAGGGAAAGGAGCCCTCACAGTGGTTTCCGGAGCAATCCCAGAGTACAGTCAGGAGTAGATGTGGCTATGAGGAGGAGGAGGAGAAGAAAAAGAAGGAGGAGTAGGAGGAGAAGGAGAAGGAGGAGGAGAAGGAGGAGGCGGAGGAGGAGGAGGAGAAGGAGAAAAAGAAGAAGAAGAAGAAGAAGAAGAAGAAGAAGAAGAAGAAGAAGAAGAAGAAACAAAAAATAAGTCACCTTTATTAATGTAGAATTGACATCAATAAAATGTACAACTTCAAGGCTGGGGAGATACTCAAAGGGCTGGGTCATAGGCATGGAGCTTTATATGAGGGAGCCCCAAGTTCAATCTCTAGCGTCTCTTTGCCCTGGAGCCCTGCCAGGAGTTCTCTCCCTGAAAAATCATCACACTCCCGGTATAAGTGTGCAACAGACTGCACGTGACCCACACCACAACCAGGGCAAAGAGCATTTCTCACACTCCAAAAGGTTCGCCCCTTCCCACTCTGCAGCCCCGACTCCCCATCTCAGGCAACAAACTCCCCATCTCAGGCAACAAAGAATCTCTTTTCTGTCCTCTTTAAGAATTTCACATAAACGGACCAACACAGCGTGCTAGCCATTCACTGAAGCCTCAATTCCCCACGGGTTTGGCTTTTGCATTCCGCGGCCGCCGCCTGGCACGATGTACAGATTTTTCCAGTAGAGGGCGCCAGAGAGCCGTGGCAGGAGAAGGCGGTTCAGCCGGCCGCTCCCAGTCTGGCTTCCACCAGCCCTGCAAGGGTTCACGGTCTGCAGCCGGCATCCTCCCCGAGAGCCGAGGGCCACGTCAGGTCCCCTCCCAGTGCCTCTGCTGAGACATTCCTTGAGCAGGGTTTCTGGGAGATTCCTTTCCCCAGCCAGACACAGACACGGTACCACTGAATTGCCATCACAGGCCTAGAACAGGCGCATCGAAGGATGCAGGAAAGGAGGGCAGAGCGATGGTACCAGGGGGTAAGGCACTTGCCTTGTGCGTGACTGACTGTGTTTGATACCTGGAATTTCCATATGGTTCCCTCTCCAAGCCCACCAGCAGTGATCCCTGAGCACAGAGCAAGGAGTAAACACTGAGCATCGCCAGATGTGACCCCAAAACAAAACAAACAAACAAAATCCAAAACCAAGGTGCTACAAAAGGGGGGTTGTAGTTACCTGGAGCTGGATATGGGAAAAGACAGCACCCACAGTGGGAACAGGGGTTCGAGGGAGGCAGCACACACGCTCAAAAACTGTGGGGCTGGTGCCGCTATTCTAAGGTCACTGAAAAACACAGAACTGTTCACTGAGAAGGGACATCCGATTGATTTTGGGGTCACATTTGGCGGAGCTCAGTTCTTGTGGTGCTGAGCATTACCCAGGCCAACCCAGCAGTGCTCCATGATGACACCTGACAGTGCTTAGTGGTGCTGGGGACCATTAGGTGCTGGGGATTGAGCCCGGGATCCTTTCTCCAAAGTATGTGCTGCAGCATTCAGCCATCTCCCAGACCCCAAGGACTTGGCTTTTGTGGATGCAAATGTCTCCTTGATAAAGCTGTCAGCCTAGGTGGAGCGATAGCACAGCGGGTGAGCATTTGCCTTGCAGATGGCCAATGCAGTCTTCATCCCCGGCATCCCATATGGTCCCCAGAGCACCATCAGGAGTGATTCCTGAGTGCAGAACCAGGAGTAACCCCTGAGCATCACCAGGTGTGACCCAAAAGCAAAAAAAAAAAAAAAAAGAAAGAAAAGGAAAAAATGCTGTCAGCCCCTGCCCTTGGCAGTCAAAGCTGTAAGAACTGCCCAGTCTTCACCTTGACAGTAAGTAAAGGAGTGGGAGACGGCCAGGAGCCAAGAGGCTGTTCCCACTCTCTCTCAGGAATCCAGCTTCAGAATAAAAAGAAGGCATGAAACAAACAAGTGACCGCTACAATACTAAGAAGGAGGTCATCATTTCTTTCTTTCTTTTGTTTTTTTTCTTTCTTTTTGGGTCACGCTCAGCGATGCACAGGGGTACTTCTGGCTCTTGCACTCAGGAATTACTCCTGGCGGTGCTCGGGGGACCATATGGGATGGTGGGAATAGAACCCGGGTCGGCTACATGCAAGGCCTACCCACTGTGCTATTGCTCCAGCCCCTATCATTTATTTCCTTTTTTTTTTTTGTTTTGGGGTCACACCCTGCATGCAAGGCCTACTCACTGTGCTATCGCTCCAGCCCCTATCATTTATTTCCTTTTTTTTTGTTTTGGGGTCACACCCTGCAGTGCTCAGGGGTAAGTTGTGGCTCTGCATTCAGGAATTATTCCTGGAAGGGCTTGGGGATCATCTGGGGATGCAGGAGATCAAACCTGGATCAGCCGCATGCAAAGCAAATGTTCTACCTACTGTACTATGTCTCCAGTCCCAAAGGTTATCTTTTGAAAGTACAAACATTAGATTTAGCATGCACAAGACCTAGAGTTGGATCCCCGGCACCACATGGTCCCAAGCATTGCTGGATGTGGCGCTCATGGACCGGGGACCAGATCATCTGGCCCACCAGCATGTTTGTGAACCGTGTTAGTTTGGGGGCCACACCTGCTGGTGCTCAGGGACCAGAGGGTGCTGGGGGTTGAACCAGGGCCTTCAGCCTGCAAAGCCTGTGTTCTAACCCCCTCCCGGCTCTTCATCACTCCCATCACTCTCTTCCACAGAGAGCCCCCACCCCCACTCCCCCACAAACACACCTTGAGCTTGTGGGAAAGTGAGATGAGCTGAGGCAGGGTGGGACAGTGGACATGAATGGGTTCCACCCTCTGCGTTATTACTGTGATCAGCTGAAACACCTACACCTGCTCCTCTGGCTAGACAAATTTGGCTGAAAGGAGCCAGGTTTAGAAATAATGGGGTGAAGTCACAGGACTAAAGTCTGTACCAACATATAATCTTTATGGAAAATGGTACCGAGATTTCTTTAAAAGAAAAGAAAAGAAAGAAGGAAAGAAAGAGAGATAAAGAGAGGAAGAAAGAAAGAAAGGAAGGAAGGAAGGAAGAAAGAAAGAAAGAAAGAAAGAAAGAAAGAAAGAAAGAAAGAAGAGGAAATAGGGCTAGAGCAGTAGCAGAGAGGGTAGGGTGCTTACCTTGCCAGTGGCAGTCCCAGGTTCGATTCCTGGAACCAAATATGAACCCCAGAGCCCACCTTTCAGAAGTAAACCCTGAACACCATTTTCTGAACACCCCAAAACAAAAGAAAAAAGAAAGAAAATCCCAGTAGGAGAGAGGACAGAGCGCTTGCCTTGTATGCGGCTGACCCAAGTTCAATTCCCAGCACCCCCATCTGGTCCTCTGGGCCTGTCAGGAGTAATTCTGGAAGGCAGAGTCAGGAGTTACCCCTGAGCACTGCCATGTTTTGTCCACCCCGGTCCCCACAAAAGAAAATCTTTGCTACATGTCCTATCTCTGCTATCTTTGTCCCCACAAAAGAAAAACTTTGCTACATGTCCTATCTCTGCTATCTTTGTCCTCCCCACCCCTGGCCTTAAATACTTTAAATTCTACTAAAGAATTAGGAGCTCTGAAAGGTCTCTCTGTGCTACACTTCACCCTCTCAGAGAAATCCACTCAGCCCTCAAAGAAATCTACTTGGTCCTCAGTTAACTGGTCCTCACTGGCTAAGGACTTTCGTTCTTGGATTGTTTTGTTTGGTGGTGCTTAGGGTTTACTCCTGGATCCTCACTCGGGAATTACTCCTGCTGGTACTTAGGGAACCAGATGGGATGCTGGGAGGAAACCCTAGTTGGCCGCATACAAGGCAAGCACCCTATCCACTATACTATTGTACTGGCCCATAATGCAATTTTATTTTATTATAGATGTTTTTTGTTGTTTGTGATGCTCAGGAGTTACTCTTGACTCTGCACTCAGGGATTACTTCTGGTGGTGCTCAGGGGACCATATGGGAGGCCAGAGATCATGGGTCGGCTACATGGAAGGCAAGTGCCCTATCCACCGTGCTATTGCTCTAGCCCCTCATAATACAATTAAAAAAAATAATAATGTGAGGCCAGAGCAATTGTATACAACAGGCAGGGTGCTTGCCTTGCACCTGAGTTTGATCCCCGGCACCTCCTATGGTCCTCTGAGACCATCAGGAGTGATTCCTGAGTGCAGAGCTAGGAGTAAGCCCTGAGCACCGCTAGGTGTGACCCCCAAACCAAAAAATAAGTAAATAAAAATAAAATTGTATTGTGGAGCCACATCTAGCAGTGCTTAAGCCCAGAAGCCCAGAGCAGTGCTGCCCATGAGGGGCTGAATATGTAATGTTTTTTTGGGAAGATTTGCATAATACATTTTTTTTTTTAGTTTTCCTAAAGCAACTTTCTTTTTTCTTTCTTTCTTTCTTTTTTTTTTTTAAAGTTGTAGACTTACAAATTTTTGTGCTTGGGTTTCAGTTATACAATGATTGAGTACCCATCCCTCCACCAGTGCCCATTCTCCACCACCACCACTAATCCTAGTATCCCTCCCACCCCCCCCATCCCTGCACTGAATATGTAATTCTGGGCCCTGCTCATGCCAGGCTGTGACCTACCACTTGTACCATCTCCCTGTCTTCTCAAGATTCCTCTTGGGGGGTGGGGAGGCCTCCCAAGCAGTGGTCAGGGGCCCCTAATGATACCGGCCAGACTCTTGGGCCTCACTCTTTTGTGCTGGGGGAGGAGCAGTGTGTTGCCTGGGATCCAGTGGGGGCCCCCTGTGCTATTCTCCACTTCGCAGCAATCATATTTGTCACAGAAAAAAAAAAAAAAACAGAATTTAAGGGGCTTGGGAGATGCTTAACTGTCTGGCGTGCATTCTTTTTTTTGGGGGGGGAGGGAGCGGGGGAAGGGACATACATACCCAACTGTGCTCAGGGTTTACTCCTGGCTTTGCACTCAGAGATCACTCCTGCCAGAATTGGAGGGCCATATATGGGGTTCCAAGGATGGAACCCAGGTCAGCTACGTGCAATACAAGCGCTCTCCTGGCTGTACTATCTCTCCTGCCCTGAACATAAACATTTTATTTAAAAAGATATTTTTGGGTGTGTGACCCAGCATTCATGCCTCAAACATCTGACTGGATCCTCAGCACCTCCCCCCAAATATTTTTTAGCAGATCAGTTGGCCTGGCCTCTCAAAAAAAAAAAAAAAAAGACTGCAGAGCCCAGATACATTTAAAGGACCAAGAAACTCTACTCACAGAAATACAGAAATGCTTTTATGATACAAAAGTAGCGGTGGAAAAACCGCAAGGGAATTCCAGTATGTCGGACAACTAGTTAGTTGCCACCATTTTAAGCCAAGAATTAAATGGCCATTGTACACAAGTTACTAAAAATGAGTAATAAGCCAAGAATTTGCTTTCAAGATTTGGAAGTAACACAGCGGCACAAAACGCGGGGCGGTGGGGAGGGGGTGGAGGACGAAGAAGGCGGGGGAGCCTCCCAACACCATGTTAACTTTCACCCTTTTTGAAAAGTTCAGCGAATTCCCGCAACAGTTTGGCTGGCCTGGGGGGTAGGGAGCTGCTACCGCTTTAAGGATTTATTATTATTTGTTTAACGCAAAGAAAAAAGCCTCCTGGGTCCGCTTTGTCTTTTGTTCCTGGGTGTCCCCGGGGCATTTAAAAACTGCTGCTGACTTGCCAGGGAGGCTGGTCCCGGCGCCGCGGCTCCGAAAGCGGAGCAAAGGCAGCAGCTGCGGAACGTTGAAGGAAGGCTCCGGGCGGGCGCGGCGCAAAGACGCGACAGACGGGGACAAACGGCCACTTGGTTTAAATGGGCAGGGGCGCCCGCGGCCACCCGCGCCACGCGCCCGAGTGCTCAACCCAGCAAAGGCGCATCTAGGACTTGGGGTTTGCAGGTCGGACGAAGGGGTGTGATGCAGCGGGAGGGCGCCTGGACACGTGTTGGTCGAGGGTCTTTATTTAGGGGCGCGGCGCCGGCGGGGGGGTTGCTTAACGCCCCTAGAGCCCAGCCCCGTCTCTCCCTTTGGGGGTTTAAACGTGCGTCCCCCTAAGTGACCGAAATGCACTGGAGGCGGCCGGGGCAGCCTGAATCCAGGGCAGCTGGGGGCGGGGGTGGGCATCAGACGCCCGGGGACCCGCCCCTCCATTACCGGGACGTCCCAGCTGCTAGTGGCCACGAGTCCCCGACCCCGACTCGGGTCCCACCCTACCTGTCTCGATGCTCACCTGGCAGCGGGCTGGGATCCCGGTTGCCCACCGTCCTTTGGGGGGCTGGGCGGGAGGAGGGGGGGCTCCCCGGGATCGGCCCCGCCCAGGGAGCCCCGTCAGCGCCGTCCGGGTGGCCGGTCCTCTCCCGCGGGTAGTGGCTGATGTCCTGCGCCACCGGGGGGCGCGCGGCTCCGAGATCCGGCGGGATCTGGGAGGGCCCAGCTGCCCGGGGGTGGGCGGAGAGGAGGTCCCGTCCCCCTGCTCCGAAATTTGGGGGGTGTGGGCGCGCCCCTTGCAGGGCCCCACAATTTTCTTTTATGTGGTTACCTGCAGCTGGGGGCGTGCGCGGTCCGAGACCAGGGTCCAACGCGCGCACCCCCAGACCCCTCCGCTGGTCCGGCCCCACCTCCCCAAGAGCCCTAGCGGCCCCTCTGCCCGCCCCCAAATCCGCGTTTCCTTCCTGCCGGCCGCCGCCCCGGCTGCCCGAGTTTCGATCCCGTCGTCTCCGCAGCAGGCCGGGAACGCGCGGTCGATCCGCCCCGGGGCCGCAGCCCGACGCTTGGATCCGAGTACGGGCGCGCGATGCTTCCATTCCGCGCGCAAGTGTGGCCTCCCAAGTCCATGCGGGTCCTGGGATCGAACCTCTCTATCTCCTCCCAGACCACCCAATGGTGCCCCCGCCCTCCCCTCCACCCCCTGCCCCAAGAGGTAAACCGCGGGACGAATGGGCAGATTCCGTTGCACGAAGCAGCGGGCCATCACCGGCTTTTCCTGGTCCCCCACCCTGGCCCCTCAGTTCTTGCATATCGAACCCCAGGGGCAAGTGGGCCGAACACGAGCAGGAGAGGGGAGGCACTGATCAGAAACTTGCCTGGAGTCAAAGCGCCCACGGTGTGGTGGGGTCTTAAGTCCAAGAATGCCCAACCCCCCAAAAAAAAATCCCTCCAAACCCCAAGGATTATTCTTCTGGGGGTGTGGGAAGGAAGGCTCGAGCCAGACCTTGCGGGGCCTCAGGACTATTCCTGGCTCTGTGCTCAGGAGTGTATGTGTAGGATGTGACCATACACGGTGCTCCCAGGATCAAATCCGGGGGGCTGCATGCAAGGCCAGCGGCTAAAGCACTGTCCGCACCGAGTATTCTTACAGATGTGGATCTGGGAGCTGGGGGTGGTGGGACCGTCTGCCCCCTGGACCCTTATGCTGGGTTGGATGAGGCAAGCTGAAATTGTGCTTTTCCTCCTGAAAACCATTGTAGCTGAGGGCGTTTTATGGGACCCGCCCACGCAGGGAGTAGAGATGCAAACTCTGAGGACCAACAGGGGCCACCATGCTTGGGACCAATAGGAATAATGTCTCAGGTACTGTGTCTCTTTACTTTCACTTCTAGTGCCTAGGAAGTGTACTCTTTTCTGCTCTTCCTTTTTAGTTGGTTGGTTTGGGGGCACACATGAGCTCTGAGGAAGGAAGGAAGGAAGGAAGGAAGGAAGGAAGGAAGGAAGGAAGGAAGGAAGGAAGGAAGGAAGGGAGAGATAGTATTAGACCCAGGCCAACACTGGGTATGAACATCCCCCCTGCCCCCCAAAAAAGAACATGAGATCAGTGAGATCAGTTGTGTGGTTACCAGAAAAGGGGATGTGAGAATGGAGCGGAGGACGATTTGTGACACAGTCACAAATGTTGGGAGCAGTAGTACAGCACATAGGTACAGCCTTGCACACAGCTGACCTGGATTGGATTCTCAGCATCCCATATGGTCCCCACGCATGCTCTTCATGATCCCTGAGCATCGCCGGGTGAGGCCCAATAACAAACAATTGAAGAAAGTACACTCTTCTGTCAATAAGCGCTGGGGTCCCAAGGCGGCACATGATGATGGTCACCAGCTCTCTGGGCTGTGCATTATTAAGGGAAAGAATCCGAAGTGCTCTCAGCAAAGACAACAAGTGCTTCCTCTCCACGGAGATTATTGACTCTGAGAGGACGTTTAGCTGAACCCATTGTGGTCCTCACTCCACAATATACCTAAATCAAACCAGCAGCGTGGTCCCTTCAGTTGGAAGGCAACGCATGCCAATGATTTCTCAATAAAAGTGGAAGCAAGTTTTAAGTGCACAAAATTGCCTATGTAGAAATTTCATTTTTAAAAAGATAGTTGGAAAAAAAATAGTTGGAGGCTGGAACGATAGTTTAGAGGGTAGAGTGCTAACTTGGCACACGGCCGACCTGGGTTTAATGCCTGGCATCCCGTAGGGTGGCCCCGGCCTGCCAGGAGTGATCCCTGAGTGCAGAGAACAAGCCTTGAGCAACGCTGGGTGTGCTCCCCCCCCAAAAAAAACCCAAATAAATAAATAAATAAAATTAGTTGGGACCCAAAGGAGAAAAGGGCTGGAGAGTCTAAGTGATGGGCAGTGTCTGCCTTGCAGGCAGCCCACTGAGGTTCACTGCTCCTCACCGCTTAAGACCCCTGAACACCACCTGGAGTGCTCCCTGAGTACAGAGGTCGGAGTAAGCACTGGCTTTGGGGCATGCCCCCCCCAAATAAAACCAAGCAATTGAAATAGGCTGGGGGCTGGGGGGCTGACTCCCACAGAGGGGTATAGACTTTGCACGCAGGGGGCTGGTTCTAGCTCTGGGATAGCATGGTCCCTGAATGCCCTGGGAGTCATCCCTGAGCACCCCTGGGCATGGCCTCAGAGCCAAAACCAACACTAATATTAATAAACGGATAAAATGGAACCAAATAGGCATAACAAGCAAATCCTGTGTATAGCATGTGGGGTCTTGGGTTGGCTGTTTACTCAGGTGCTGGCTCCCCTCACGCTGCCCTCCCCCGCCCCCACTCCTAACACGGAGCCGGGGAGGGGGTGAGGAGTTGCGGTCACGGCAGAATGGCTGCACTGTGTTCACACAGAGCATGAATGGGAGCGTTGTGTGTAGGTACGGGATTTGCCCAGAGGTGGGAGGGTGGGAGGTTGGAATCTCCTCGGGGCCCACACCCCCTTCTTCCCCAAGTGACTGTAGCACACTGGCTGTTCCCAGACGCCTGCGTCTCCTCTCTGGTGACCCACGTGAACCATCTGAGAGCACAGAACCAGGAGTGAGTTGCGAGCACTGCCGGGTGTAGCTCTCCACAAAACAAACCTTTCCCAGACGTATCTGGCTGATCTGAATGAAAATTCATTTTTCTAATTTTGTTTTTAGGTCACACCCAGCAGTGCTCGGGGTTTACTCCTGGCTCTGTGCTTCGGGATCACACTCTTTTGGAAGGCAAGCCATAGCAGGTGGTGCTCAGGGGTTATTCCTGTCTCTGCGTTAAGGAATTATTCCTGACAGTGTTCGGGGGACCATATGGAATGGTAGGGATCGAATCCACGTTGGTTGAATGCATGGCAAGCACCCTCACTGCTGTACTATTGCTCCAGCCTCACTCAGGGATCATTCTTGGCAATGTTCGGGGTATCAGATGGGGCTCCAGGGATCAAACCTGATTTGGCTACATGCAAGGCAAGTGCCTTACCCACTATACTATCATTCCAACTCTCTGGATGAAATTCTTGAAGACCTGGGGCTGGAGTGATAAACAACGGGGAGGGCATTTTCCTTGCACGTGACCAACCTGGGATCCATCTCCAGAATCACATATGGTCCCCTGAGTACCACCAGCAAGAATACCTGAGTGCAGAGCCGGGTGTCATCCCTGAGTATCGCCAGGTGTGTTCCCCAAAAGCAAATACAAAAACAAAACAAAACAAAACAAAAAAAAACCCTTAAAGACCTGAGAACAGCCCTGAGGGTGGAGTTGCCTCTGCCCACTGCAGTTTGACCCATCACAGACTTGATATGTCACTGTGCTCCTGGCATTCTTAGGGGTTTTCAAACGCTGGTCCAGGGGCTGGTGTCCATTTGCATGCGTGAGAAGTAGAAAGCCACTAATCTGCCCAGGCCAGCCATGGCACAGTTGGGGCTTTGCAGGAGATGCAAATGTTCTCACAGGGCTAAAGCGCCGGAGGATGCATTTCTCAGAGTGCCCGGCACACAGACAGTTGGTTGCTTTGTGTCCACCAATTGGCTGCTGTGAGAATGTTGACTCACCAGTGTCTGCCTCCGTCACTTTCATCTCCGTTGGAGGCTTCGCCCAGAGCTCCGTGAGTGAAAAGTCCTGTTCCTTGGCTCTATTCCCACCCTCTCCTGGGTGTGAGATCACACACATGGAAAATTGATAACAGGAATGGGCTCTTGAGAGCACCAGATACTTCCTAATTATCACTGGGGGAGGGAAAGGGGCTACCCCAGGCCCCTGGGTTAATGGCAGAGTCCAAACTGGCCTTATCAAATGGTTCGCCAATCAGGTGGCACCGTTCCAATAAGCTACTGAAAGAAAAAGCTCAGGCAGTGTCAGCAGCATGCCTGGAGCTCTGTGTTTGAACCCCAGGTTTTCATGGTCCCAGAGAACTGCTGGAAGAAGCCTCTATGTTGAAAAATAAAGAAAAGTGAGATACACAAATGAATCTCAGGCCTGAGCAATTTGCTACAGATATGGCCCCGGACTTTGCAATAGGCCTTAGAAAAGTTTTTTTTTGTTTTGATTTTGTTTTTGTTTTTTGTTTCCCCCTCACTTTCTCTGAAAGGGCAGACAGTCCAGTCAGTCTGGGCTGCTCCAGACCGGGGCAGGTGTCGTCCCTCTGCCTGTCCTCTAGGAGCCCCGGTGGTCACCATTTTCTAAATAGTCAGTGACAAGCTCCAGGTACGAGCAGCAGTGGTGGCAAACGCCAGGCCTCGTGGGACAGGGAAGGAGTGGGCCCTTCTCCCTCCCCCTGCCCCGATGGGACTCCAAGATGACGCCACATCCGGCTACTGTCTACTTAAACTCCCACACAGCCATGATCCAGAGACACATAAACGCATCTTGGACCCAAGCAACTTGCTGCAGTGATCTCTTCAGACCCTAATTATTAAAATTTTAGAATTCCTAAAGCATGTGGCCATGCGACGTTATAGTGTATCCATAAGAAGCAATACAAAACACATTGTCTAGCATTGCCTTTTCGGCAGGTATGAGTGGTAGTGGGACTGGTCTTGCAATATCAAAGGTAAATAAAGTGGGAAAAAGAGAGTATTGTGCAGATTGTCTGCCACACAGGCAGGGGGAGGCATGGAATGGGGTGGGGGGGATACTGGGGATTTTGGTGGTGGAAAACATGCTCTGGTGAAGGGATGGGTGTTTGATGACTGTACGATCAAAGCTCAGACATGAAAGCTTTGTTAC